CATAACGAAAATACTTTTCTGTACATTAGGCTATACCTAAACAAGTTTATTCATGATTGATATCATCTATCAATATTAAATTCTTATTAATTATTTATACTAGCTAATTATAACCTTAATTGTTCAAGACTTTCATCCAATTTATCTTTGGCGAGTACAATAAGCTCGTTCTCTTCTTGCAACCATTGCTTCAACTTTAATATATTTTGATGTTCTTGAAGGTTTTTCAATTTATCATCAAATTCCTGCGTCTCTTCTGGTTGTTGCTCTCCCTCTTTGACACTTTTAATTATTTTTGAAACTTGAGAAGACATATTTTCCACAACACTATTCAAACACTTAGTATCGTTGGTATCGTGAGATATCTGTGCATTGACAGAATTTATTTCTTTAAACCATAGCTTTTCAGCGTCTGAAAGAGGTAAAGATTTTGAATATCTCATCTTTTGGATAGCATTAAAAATCTTCTTTTGCAACTTGTCAATTCTTTCATCAATTCTTTTTTGCTTAGAAATTAAATCATTAGCCTTTTTATTTTTAGAATCTAATGTACCTTTGTCTAAGCCAATTTTTTGGATTCTTTGCAAATTATCGATCTGGCTTTTTAGTTCATCAATTTGAGTCGTAACTCTCAAGTTCAAATGTATTGCAAATGAAGTAAATTTCGATATTTGTTGTATTGTTTCCGTAGAAAGGTAGTTGAGATTTTTCAACATTTCTGTATTAGTACCATATACCGGTGCTCCAAGTAAGTCTTTGTTCATAGACAACGATTTGCTAAGGGTTTCTGGGTTCACCCGTTTCAAAATATCTAATTCACTTAAGAGCTCATCAAATGGTTCCTTTATCAATATTGATTCATGATTTACCTTATCTATTATAGTATCAATATCAATAATCTCAGACTTTTGTGTTGATGCAGTGCTTTCGGATACTTGTTTAACTTCTAAGTTATTGTCTTTATTCTTCTTCAATATTATTAAGAAATCGCCTGCTTCATTCATTGTATCTTTAATCAAGGCTAAGCTACTGATTTCTTGTGCACCTTCAGCTACTAAAGTATAATTGCTGACAGCACTTAAGTTTTGAGGAGTGTGGCCATTTGAAATATCAAGAACTAGTTCTTCACACCATCTTCCACAATCGAAGTATATTATGTTATTTCCAATCTTAATTGAAACTTTTGATTGCTCAGAATTTAAACTATTCAATGAAACATTTTCAGAAGCACCAATAGGGAGTTGATCAATAGCTAAGGTACTTAACTCAGTGAATTCATCCTTCCAAAATAGTATTTCTGCTTCATGGTTTTTTGTTTCAGCTTCTTTGCTATTAGTATGAGGAATTGATTCTTCTTCTTCTTCATTCGTTAGTTCGACTTCGTCAATATAGCCAAAACCCTTCTTCGGTCTGATGTAGCCTTTTTTATTAATAGATTCACTCTTATTTGCTTCTATTTGAGAATTTTTCACAGGCGTTACGTTTTCATTACCCAAAGACTCATCATTATTTTCAAACTGCATTATTAAAGGCTTTAACTGGGAATGATAGCTTAGATATGTTTCGTTTGACTTGGAAATCGAAATGGCTGCCAAAATTGAAATGCTATTATTCGAAGCAATGCATGCTAAATCTTTGAGGGTTTTATCCTTCACTATAGTTACAGGCCCTTGGACAACTGGACTAAAGTTGCTGGGCAATTCTTGTGTTAAAACTGACAATTCGAGCGGATTTGCAGATAGCAAGTGCCTATATTCTTTCCTTGGGGTAAGAGAGGTTTCAAATTGTTTAGACAACGATGATATGTAAGCATATTGTTGCATAGATGTATGGTTCAATCCATTTTGGTTACTTGATTGAACCAAATCAGTTGATGGAAACTTCCCTTGAATTGCTGTAATCAATGATGCAGATTCATCTAGTAAATCCTGAACATTAGTTTTGGTTGTGGCTATGCTTCCTTGTTTATGAATGAAAGGATAAATTGCAAATACATTTGAAGACGAGGCAGCTACGTACAACGTTAATGAGCCAGATAAATTAGCTTCAGAGCCAAACGAAATTGACAGAGCAGTCTCTCCTTTAAATGCATTCTCCTTGTTTAAATCAATTGACAATTGTGGCTCGTGAGAGGAAAGCGATAAATCATAGGACTTGATTTGAGATTTATCATTCAATACGACAAAACAACAATCATTAGCAACAATTGATTGCCAGACCACTTTCTTTATTTGACCCTCAATACCGTGAATTTTATACGACTTCACTTGCAATAACGAAGAGTTACTGGAGGTTAAAGACGTTGGCAAGCTGACAACAACCAATTCAGTATCACCAATAATAGCCATCAATGATCCCAGAGAGTTCATCTCTAACGACCTTATTTTAAAATCATCATATTTATTGTCCAATAATCTAAAATTCGTATACTCAGGATTAATAGTACAACATCTTACTAGGTTTTCATTAGCAAAAAACAAATCTAAATTGTTTCTGCAGACCAATTTATTCTGTGAGACAAGTTTTGATTCACCGTCAACAGATAGTGACTCAAGAAATGTGTGAAAAATCTGCTGTTGGGTGATTCCTGATATAAACTTTTCAGCTTCATCTGTACCCACCATTCTTATTCTTCGGTTAGGTCTTAATTGGTTAATGGTTTTGTTTTTAAGTAGACTAATCCTTCATTACTTCCATATCAAATATAAAAAATTCATAACCTGCAATTTACCTCAACCTGCAAAATCTGCAAATTTATGATGCAAAATCCTTTATGCTAGCTAGCCTAACTAGAAACTAAACTCAGAGAAGGTCTCATCCTGGGGTCGATTCTCTATATTCTTGACGTACTTATTATTCCTTTTGTGGCAGAACGTGTCTTCTGAATAAAGAGAATAATTTTCGGGGTAATTGAAGTTTTTATTAGTAATATTTGAAACTTTGCATACTGTCGAAGACGATATCGTAGATGTAGATTGAAATGAGGAAGCCATCGAGTTGAATCTACTAGATAGGGATTTTTGGGAAGCTTGTCTATTTTTAAGAGAGAACATTCCTGAAAGATTTCCTAGCTTGGGAGTGGCAGGAAAGAACAACTTTGATGTATCAAAAATGCTTTTAGGACTACTTGGAGCACAGCTGGAAACCTTGGAACTATTATTTGGCGTGAATATTTTGGTAACGTTGTCAAATATATTGGAAGATATGTTATCACCGTCTTTTGTGGTTGATTTTGTTAAGACTGAAACGCCTGAATTGGGTCTTTCATCATCTGTAGCATTCTCCAGGTTCAATAACAGTTGCTTCGACTTCCACTTTTCGTGGTCGTAGGTCCTGGCGGTATTCTTGAACATTTGGCTGCGCTCCCATTTTGCATGTAAATGTTTTGGCAAATTTTTGGGAGGGGGGTCGATGTGAAATTCATGGTTGTATCTGGGAGTAAACCCTAAGCTATCGTCGGCGGATGTGTCTTTTCTGGGTGTAATATTGTAGTCTAGCAGTGGTATATTGACTTTGAGGTCTAAGTTTCCCGATAGAGAATCTTCGGTGGATACAAACGACCTATTATCCAAAACACAAGTTGCAATTGTTTTTGTAAGCTCCGAGGGAATCCCAAACATAGTCTCTGGAGATCCGGTAGCTGTTGGGGGTTTCTTAGCGAGTCGATGAAGGATGCGCTCTTTTATGGACCTTGATGATAGTCTCTTGGAACCTGTCATTTTCAATCCGGTATTTGATCGAAGTGAATCGTCACCGAGTTCATTCTGCGGGAACGAGTATCTGTCTGACTTGATCCTATTGTATATGGTGTTGGACCTTGCTTGTTGCATTACACTGAAGAGCGAGTCGTCACTACTTCCATGGTCGGCATCTTCATGCACACCGTTTTGATCCACACCAAGATCAAGACTGGATGACCCTACATCTGTTTCGTACAACAGGTACCTCGAACTCCATCCAGTTAACATAGCCTTCAATCTGTCCCGTTTGCGGTATTTTCGTCTTATTGGCGGCGTTTCTGCTCCATTAATCCTGTCTCGACTGTATCCATGAAGCCTCCAAGATTTCGCAGCTGAATAATTCGTTCTAACAGAAGAGTTATCACCTCCAAACGAAACATTAGAAGCCACTTTCCTTAATGTAGCGAAAGATCTTTTGGTCCTCATAAGCTTATGCTTTTTGAAATATATAACCAATTATTATCTTACAAGTCAATGATTAAAAATAATTTTGCTTATTAGTTTGTGGATTCTTGGAATTTTGCAACTATTTGTGAATTCTATCACTTCAAAAAAAATTAAAAATGCATAGAATAATAAAATATACTATAAACCCAATACTAAACCATTATCTACTAGAATAATATCCTTTAGGATATATCACTATTGTATAGGAGGAAAAACCAGACCAATGGTAAATTTCCGGTATTTTCAGAAACTCGCTCTTGGTAATCTATGGATATGTAAATACATATAATGAAATGAGACCTCATCAGGCCGTAACTTAATTGTCAAGTAAGATCAAGATCGTATATATGTCTTCATCTGTAGCCGTATTCAATCAATTTGGTCTTAATTTTGATAGTTCATAGAATGGTTGTCCTAATTCCGGACCGACAAACGTGAGTCTCAAAAAATGAACGTCTCAGATTCTTTAACGTATACTAATAGACTAAAGCATTCAGGATTTATAAGTGATACACAATGGGAAAACAATATATATCTACCGCAACTGCTTCGGATGCCCATAAACTGGATATACTTGCATTATCAGTGACTGATAGATACACAATCACTGTATCAAGTGATGGATATGCTAATTTTTGGGATAACAAGAAATATGAATTGCAAGAGCCTAATGATGTTGTTGTTAAAGAATTTGTAAATAAAATGGGGGTACATCATGTGGTAACGTATGAGAACATTTTGTCAGGATCTCATGTGAAGGTTGTTCTTATAGCATTTGCAAGCTTTGATGGATCGATTAGCTTCAAATATTTCATAAATGACGAATTATCGAGCTTAAAGGACGCAGAAATAGGGTTGGGGGCCAACAGCGCAAACTGGAGTCCTTGCTTCTACAAGGATCCCGAATCGAAGCAGGATTATTTTATTGTGACTCAGGCAAACGGATCAGCATTAGTGTATTATTTGAATATCGAATCAAACAAGGATAGCGAGGATATAGTGATTAAGCTCGAGAAATTTGGGGACCTTAATAATGCCAATTCGACTTTGTTTCCGAATTCTGTGGCGGTTTCACCTGGTGCTGATAAAAAGATTGCAGTGGGTTATACCAATGGTGATGTTTTGTTGTATGATTTAACCACTTTAAAGCCGATTTATACTTTCCGTTCTACTGATTTACAAGTATCCAGTAAATCTACAACCGCTAGTTCTATTCCAAGGGTTCTTGCATTTTCACCAGGTGGGACTTTGCTAGCAGTTGCTCGTGATAACCAGTCTGCGGGCTCCATCACCTTGTATGATGTGAAATACGGAGAAAATGTAGGCTCGTTGACTACTCCTTCACATTCATCAAAAACAACCATTGGTGGATTTGCACACGATGGATGGATTATGGGGTTGAGTTTTGACGAAAGTGGCGAAATACTAGCCAGTTGTGCTTTTGATAACTGTGTTAGGATTTGGAATATCGAAACCAGAGAAAGGGAAGCGACTATTAATATATCCACAAGCGACTTGGAAAGCAGCAATGGCAATGAATTGGATAATAGTATTGCAAGTGGAGTTCAATTTATTAAAAAAGGGATTAGAGCAGGTGCTAATGGTGATAGCAACGAGGGCTTATGTGTTATTAGTTTTGATAGAGCAGTGAGATGGTATAGAGAAGCAGGAGGTATTTAGATTGCGTATAAATTCAAATATATAAATCGTATATAAATAATCTAATAACCTAACCAGCCTCCATCGACGACTAATGTTTCACCAGTCACATACTTACTGGCTTCAGAACATAAGAAAACAGCAGGACCTTGGAAATCATCCATATCACCCCATCTTCCGATAGGAATACGAGAGATAAGTGTATCACGTCTTTTAGGATCAATTTGATCTGTAAGGTTAGTAGAAATGTATCCCGGGGCAATCGAGTTCACCCTGATACCTTTCAGAGACCAATCGTTCGAAAGAGCTGCTGTGAATTGCTTAATGCCACCTTTAGTAATTGCATATGCGGTAGAATCAACTCCCCCTTGAAATGAACACAAGGATGCAGTAAACACAATTTTACCCTTCGTCTTAGTTTCTAACATTTTGCATCCAATTGCCTTTGTAAGCTTAACAGGGATATTCAAGTTTATTCTCAAAACTTCGTCAAATTTGTCTTGAGGAAACTTATCGAATACAAAACGATTATTGATACCAGCATTATTAATTAAAATATCAATCTTTCCGCTTACTGACAACTTGAATGCTTCTCTAGCAATCCTTTCTACCAAGTCATCTTCACTTTCCGATCCACCAAAGTCAGCTTCAATTGAGCTGATTTTAACCTTTGGATTGACTTCTTGTAAAACTTTAATTGTATTTTCTAATGGCTTTTCGGATCTGTACGTCAAGATAATCTGATCAATATTTGCATCCGCTAAACCCTTTGCCATTCCTAAGCCAATACCATTAGTTCCGCCGGTGATTAAGGCAACTTGGCCTTCTAATGAAAATAACGATAACATATTTGTTCAATTCCTTTTCTATACTCGTAATTAAGTAGATGAAATAAAGAAAGCTTTCATCCCTTGAATTTGGAGTACCTCCGCAAATTTATTCTTCGCGGACCTAATCTGTACCGTTGATCTAAAAATTTCATTCTTTTTATACAGTGATAACGACCTACCATCAACTAATTACGAAGATACATGAAGGGATGGAAGTAGGAGAGAACAGTTCTAATAATAATAAGAGAAATTTGGTCGCTCTATCTGAGAAATTGAATCAACTAGTTGATAGAGAAATTGAAAATAAACAAACTTTACTCGAGGAATTATCTTCGCTTATTGCTAAAACAGGAGTTAATGAAACAGAATTGAACAGTCTCCTTGATTTGGTATTCGAACTAAGAACTCCTGTATATTTAAAGAGTTCACAGAAGAGATTCATTATCAAGAATTTACTTATACCGAATGGAAATTATAAACTATCCAAGCACATCGCATATCGAATTATAAGTAGCATTGGAGTACCTCAAATATATTATAAAAATAGAAAGGAGTCTAAACTGAAGAAATTATCTACAGGTATTCAATTATGCCTTCTTGAATGGTTGATATGTTCCTATCACTTATTTGAAAGTAAAGTGTTCAACAATTCAAGCATGATAACAATTTTAGTGAATTACTTGTCTTACGAGTTCCTGAGGCCCTATATGGCGAATCTCATCTTTCTAAGCGTGCTGAACAATAATAGAATGTTTAAAACATACTTCATGCCGAATACGTCGCACAACATTGCTCCCTTTAAACCTTGGCACGTTCAACGTGTAGTTGATCTTTTCTATAAGTTTCCCTTAGATGAGTACTTGAAAAGCTTATTGATTTTATTTAAGTCACTACAACCTAGCATTGATTTCAAAAAATTTGCAGAAAATGATAGCTATCATTTAAATAATTTGGGAACGTTGAATCCAAAGATATTTGTATACCCAAATTTCAATTATTTAGATAAATTGAAAGATATTCAGGAAATTAATGGCGGATTAGTAACTGAAGAACAAATTTCTCAAGAGCAAACTATTAATGATAATCTAAGGTATTACGATAATTTCAATTCTTCTGTCAAAAAGCGTAAAAAAAATGGAAATAGTGAAAAATTACCAGATGTACCTGATCTTGATGTTATAGAATTTGGGAACGGTTCAAGAAGGTCTAACAACGTGTCAATAAATGATATACATTCACTTGAAAGTTTGGTTGGTAATTTTGAAAACATTAGATCCATCAATATAAGTGCATTATTTAACCCACAGAAATTTGGTAATATTCGATACAGTTCTGATAAATTCAAAAAATTGTATTTTATATTACATGGCTTGAGTATTGACAACGAAAAATGGGAAAAGTCGATACGAAAGTTAGATTATTACATTAGATTAAGCATTTTGGATAATAATTTAACTATAAGAGATTTGGATATACTATGCGACAAAATAGCAGATTTCTTCTCATTTACTTTGGGATTATTGTTCTTACCTCTGATAAAAGACTATTTGTGCTTCAAATTTGATTCTCCAATATCTGGTGATAACGAATACATACACAAGTTTGAGAATTTAGCTCAACGACTCAAATTTTTAAAGTATTTACCTGTTTTAGAATTTGAAGATTTCAATGAAAATATAATTCAAAACATATTAGCAGTATTAGATGAAGAATCTCATATAAATGCAAAGAAATCGAGACGTGAGCAGGTATTGGTAGCATTTGTTAATGAATTAGCTTCCCTATTTTCTACTTGGTATTCGATTTATGCTCACAATTCTGATCCAGAATTAAAGGTTGCTGCTTTCAAAAATATTAATGGTTCATTGCCTATAATATACAAATTCATAGTTCAAAACTTTACTGAATCATCAATTGTTTTGCAGATTCTGTTATTAAGGATTTTTAAATTTATTCAATCCCTTGATTCCCAAGACCTTAATGACCACATAAATGCACTGACACTAGTCTTACCACAAAACTTATTTTACCAATTAATCTTTTCGAACAACCCGCTTGTAATGTCTGAAATATGTGGATATATGGCCTTTTGTAAGTCATTTAAGTTTAAAGAAAGTGACATTGCCTATAAGAATTTACAGAATTCATATATCATGGATACGCTTAACTTCATATGGCGTGACAAATCCTTTTATTATGATGATAATTCAACCGCATTCAGCAGGGCCATGTTCTTAGATCCCGAGTTTTTAAAGCATTTACGCAAGTTGAATATATTCAATTTTTCAGGATTACTCAGCTTACATACTGTTGGCAACTTATTTCATAACCCGTGCTGGTCCTTTATAACTACTCAGTTGATAAGAGAATTAGAAGACAAGACTGAAAGGATTACTATACGACATGCTGGACCCATAACAGAAGAAAGTGTAAGCAAATTAATACATGCTTCTGATGTTGAATGGCTTTCTTTGAGTTATGACGAACTCAAATTGCAAGTTTTGCGTTCACTAGATGACTTAGGATACACTGGTCTAGGTGACTTATTATTTAGTTCTCTTAAGACCCTAATGAATAAGAGAAATTAATAGCATGTATATGTATATATATTTATAATGAATTCAATGATCGACCATTTTCGTCCCGCACAAAAATTTAATCAAGTGAGTTGTGAAAAATTATGAATACATAAACATACCAACTCAGCAGTGTTGTCATCAGGATGTTGTGCATAAGACAACTGGCGCATATCAAAGCTCCTATACTAAGTAAATGTGTCGGAATTCTGAAACTGGCTCTGCGATTTTCTTCGATAGACACAAATCAATCAGCTAAGAACCAAATTAACTTGAATGAACTTGATAGTAAGTGGGCTGAACGGTGGAAAAGCATTTCGCCTTATGGGTCATTACATCCAAGTAAGCATATAGTAGATAAACTGGCCGAGCCATTTTACTGCTTGTCCATGTTTCCTTATCCTTCTGGTATGCTTCATATGGGGCATCTTAGGGTTTACACTATAAGTGATGTCATTGCTAGATTTAAGAGACTCAAAGGGTATAATGTTATTCATCCTATGGGATGGGATGCATTTGGACTACCAGCAGAGAATGCAGCTGTCGAAAGAGGAATAAATCCAGCTGTGTGGACTGAAAGCAATATCCAAAAGATGAAAGAACAGATGGGTTTAATGTTGGCAGATTTCGATTGGGATAGAGAGATTTCTACATGTTCCCCTGAATATTATAAATGGACACAGAAGATCTTTTTGCTTTTATTTGAACATGGTTTAGCATATAGAAACGAAGCTGAAATAAATTGGGATCCAGTAGACCAAACTGTTTTAGCTAATGAACAAGTTGATTCGGAAGGTAGATCATGGAGATCTGGGGCATTAGTCGAAAAAAAGAATCTCGAACAATGGTTCATTGGCATAACCAAATATGCAAAAGATTTAAATGAAGATTTAAAGGTTTTAGATAAGTGGCCCGATAAAGTTAAATCGATGCAAAGCCATTGGATTGGTGAATCACAAGGGGCTGAGATTAAGTTTTTGACAAATGACAATGAATTTAGTGAGATAAGAATCTTCACTACTAGACCTGATACATTATTTAGTGCCCAATTTATTGCTTTGGCATTGAACCACCCATTGGTCGAGAAATTTGCTGCGAAGGACCCTAAGTTAGCTCAGTTCATAAAAAGCTGTGAGAACTCTGAAGCTGATTCTAAGGAGGGTTATTTAATCGAAGGTGTGAAAGCTTCGATCCCGATTACGGTAAATAATGAAAAGAATCATAGATACGATATGCGTGTATATGCTGCTCCTTATGTTTTAGGAACATACGGTCATGGGGCAGTTATGGGATGTCCAGGACATGATGAACGTGATTTTGAATTCTGGAGAATTCATAATCCAAAAATTTCTCCAGTAGAAGTGGTTGGAAGTCCTAAACCAAGTAAGAATAAAAGCAACGCACTTTATACCAATAAACGGGGTGTTTTATATGACAAGTCCATTTTACCAAATGGATTAGAGAATTTAGGAGAATACAATAAGAAAACTACAAGCGAGGCTTCCCATAATATAGTTAAAACGTTAGAAGGATACAATTTAGGTTCGAAGTCAACCCAATATAGGATCAGGGATTGGCTCATTAGTAGACAAAGATACTGGGGAGCACCAATTCCTATTATCCATTGTGACAGTTGTGGACCTGTTGCTGTCCCAGATAAAGATCTACCAGTAGTGTTGCCTGAAATTGAAGGGCAAAGTTTTGGAAAAGGTAACCCGCTAGCAAAGCTTGATGATTTTGTAAATACGAAATGTCCTTCTTGCGGAAGCGATGCGAAAAGAGATACTGACACAATGGATACATTTATGGATTCATCATGGTATTTCTTTCGTTATACTGATCCCAAAAATACCGAATTACCATTTGACCATGAGATGGCCAGTAAGCATATGCCAATAGATATGTATATTGGAGGTGTTGAGCATGCAATTTTGCATTTATTGTACTCCAGATTTATTTCTAAATTTTTGGGTAATATTGGTTTATGGGACGGCAAAGAGCATAGGCACGAACCAATTAAACAATTGGTCACACAAGGCATGGTTCACGGCAAGACATATAGGGACCCAGAAAATGACAGAGTTTTGAAACCCGAAGAAGTAGACTTGTCAAATGTAAATGAACCTAAAATAATCAGCTCAGGCTCGATTCCAAACGTTTCTTATGAAAAAATGTCTAAATCTAAATACAATGGTGCTGACCCTTCTGAATGTATACAAAAGTACGGTGCTGATGCAACAAGAGCACATATGTTGTTTCAAGCGCCAATATCAGATATATTAAATTGGAATGAAGAACAGATTCAAGGAATCGATCGTTGGCTTCGGAGGGTAGTGAATTTGAATGATTTAATTGTTGACTCAATAAAAAATGACAATGGAAGAAATAATCATACATGTACTGAATTCCAACACATTCAATTAAATGATACTACTTACGAAACTATCAAATTTAATGAGACAGAATTTGAGTTATATAATGATTCCCAGCATTATGTTGCAAGCGTTTCCAAAGCTATAGAAAAAGACTTTTCATTTAATACAATAATATCGGATTTTATGAAATTTACCAACTCAATATATGCGGCATTAAAGTCAAATGACTACGTGAATTCTAATTTATTGCTTGATTCGTATAAGAGGTTGCTCATAATTATGGCACCAGTAACTCCCTGTGTTTCAGAGGAATGCTGGGAACAGATATCGAGGTCATTGCAAACTCCCTGGTCATCTATATTTTTCCAAAAATATCCTATGGTAAATTATATCGAGTCTTCACATGCTTCATATAATGTATTCGTAAATGGAAAAGCAAGGGCACTGTTCAAAGGACCAAAATCCTTAGTTACCATGAATGAGCATGAAATATTACAAGAGGCATTAAAGCATGGTTCAATCAGCCAATATGTTCCTGGTGGAATTATTAAAAAAATGATTGTTAAGCCTGGCATGATAAGCTTGCTTACACCAAAAAGATAGATACACTTGAATAGAGAAACTTGTAAATAATCATACGTATATAATATTGAATGTAAATATTAATTAGATTTGAAGATGTAAAAATAATAGGGGCAAATAATAGCATTAAAATATATACAATTGCTATTCAAGTAAAAAAATCTATATTACACTATTTACATCCCGAATGCTTTGATTGTGCAAACATTCCTGCATTAATATCCACGTTCCATAACATACCTCTTAAAGTCTTTACGCCTTATTTTACCTTCATAATTGATTTGAGCCCGCCTAGCAATTCCTCTAATAGTTTGACATGCATTAGTATGATCGATATCAGACGCAGAGCGGTATAACTCTCTTAGTTCTTTCCAAGTCCATTTGAATTGATATTCTGTACTCAACAATATAGCCAAAGCATCATCTAACAAATTCATCTTGGTTAAGCATGAAACCATAGAGCTTGCAAATTGAAAATCAAGGGCATCTTTGGTTGGCCTAGATAGAACTTTGAAATTTGAGGTTTTTCTGAAAGTCCCTCTTTCTGACCAAATTCGTTGAGCAAATTTATAATTCTTAAATTTTGCGGCAGCTTTTAATGCTATAACGTATGATAAGGATGTACGGGGGACCTTTCTATTTCTCAAATCAATATTATTTCCAAGATCTTTTAAAAGAGGAGACTTTGTAATAGATGTTTCATCGAATTGACCTTGCTGTCTGGAAATTGGTTCATTTTCTGTTTGAGTAATTTCAGTATTGGACGTTATGGATTCGGGAAGCTCTTCAACAATTATCCTTGTATCATTAGATATTCCTGTCTTATCAAGGATAGTCGAGCTATCAAATCTGTCTATAAAATCACTTAATCTACCCATCTCTGCTGCAATATTTAAAAATGTATTAGTGCAATCAGTGTTAATAAACTGTGGATTAAACATTAATGTGTGCGCCCATATTGCACTAGATTCGGCCATAATTTCCTCCTTAGATGTTAAGTCAAGAACGGGTAAAAATGGAATACTGGTTTGCACAGAAGTTGACTTAGGAAACAAGTTCACATCTGAAAGTATGTTTCTTCTAAAATTTCTTCCTTTTTCGTGAAAAGTGATTGAAGGCAACTCAATCTGTTGATCTGAATTAGCCACTTGACTTTTGGAATATGCTAGTAATAAAAAGGAAAATGATCTTGGCGTGGTAGCATTGGATTCGTTCAACTTGCTATAAAACGCTCTTGAAAGCGCCACATCACCATCCTTTGCAGATAAGTAAAGCATGTATTCGAATGTGTTTAGCGTCGGTTCCCAGTTGTTATTATAGATATCGAAAATAAAATCCCATGCTTTAAAACGTAATTCTGGTCTGGATGTACAACCACGAGCCAATGCAACCATTATTCTTTGGTTAATATCAATTTTTTCAGTAATCATCTCTCTATATAAATCTAACGCTTTTTCAATGTTGTCGTTGTTGACATACGAAACGATAATATCTTGGTACGCTCTGGTATCTGGTTTAGTCTTCTGAGATAAAAACTTCATTGAGTCGAAGATCTCAACAGCTTGTTTATGATCATTTGCCTTATAGACACAGGTAGATAAGATGCTAGAGAATGTCTTTTCCGAAGGCTCCAATTTATTCTTTTTCATCTCACTTAAACATACGTTAATCTTTTCTAGATTGTTATTTTTACCATAGGCTTGAATCATTAGTTCGTACGTTTCCCTCGATAGTTTTCCTTTTTTGTTAGTTTTCGTCAAGTAATTACAATATTGTTCAATTTGAGCTATATTTTCATCCGATAAATATCCCCCATGAGATAAACCTGCAATGAACACGTTTATAATCTTAGATGATTTTTTCACGTCACCGTCTTCTAAAAGCTGTTCTAATGTAGGTATAAAATGACGAATTTGGTCTTTCGGTATAGAGTAAATAAACATTCTGATGTCTTTTTCTGGTAAATCTTTAAACCCTCCACCTTCTTTGAGTTGTTGCAAAACCATAGCCCAATTAATATTTGTTTTAGAAACTAAAAACTTGATAGCCAATCCTAATCTTTTTGTAATGGATTCAGGTATATCTATTGCTGGCGTAATCAACGAATGATTTGAGGCATTAAATGGTTCTGAATGTTTCTGGATGCCACTAGGGCTAGGATTATTTACAGGTAATGCACCTACTTTTTCTTTACTCACTTCAAGCATATCATACACTTTTTCTGCATCTCTCTTCACCTCAGAAGGCATGGGAATTTCTTGAAGCTTTTCAACATCTTCCTTTTTCTTGATTATTCGAGCCACACTTGCCGTTAACGATTTCAACTCTTTCAACCTTCTTTCATATTCTAATTCTTGTTGCCTCGCTTTACGTTCAAATTCCAAATCCACCCATTCACTTAATTTTTCCTTATTATTTTGTCCTTTATCATCGTTAGAATGTTTCGATTTCTTTAATGTTGGCTTACCTTTCTGTGATCTAACCACGAATATATTTCGTGAGCTATATATTGATCCCAGCCATGTTGATATTTTTGGTATAGTTCTACCCATGCATCTCTTTTGGAGCGAGAGCCGTAACATCATTAAACGACGCTATGTTGAGTTTCTATAGTATCAATATTGGTAATAAAACTATACAATTGAACTGCAAAAAACACCTTTATAGAGAAAAAAATTTCATGGTAAATATGCGACATTTTATGATACGGCGGTTACGACATTTATATATAATGCCATTTTGTAGTATCGATATACGACAAGTGTTTGATATTATTATAGAATAGAGTACTGAAATATATCAAGTTATGTCATCTTCGACAGTGGCAGGATCAGTTTCAGGAAGAGATAGATCCATTTCGAATTCTAATGTTCATTCGGATATAGCATCAGTGTCTGCTACAGATGCAAATGCAACCACTTCTAGCAAACCTTATAATTCTTCAACTCCTGTTGGATCGGCCGGAGGATCATCATTTCCAGCGGCAATTAATCATGACATACCTCCAGATATGAGTTTATTATTACAGAAACTTGAAGAGGATTTTACGGTCAATAAGACAATAGACCAATGGACATATATCAATAGAAGAGAAGAAATTATGCAATCAGTCAATAAGTTACATGAACAACAGCAAAGCAATATCGAGCTTGATTCCAGCATGTTAGAAAAACCGTTATATCCACGTAGAGCAGCTGAAATTATGAATGAGTATAATCTTTCATCTGGGTACCTAATGGGAATACTTGCCAGTAGAGCCAGAATATACAAGACCGAAATAGCGTTTTCAGTACTTGATGCAAAGGGGAAAGAAATCTCGTCAATTACGTGGGAAAAGCTATATACTAAGGCTGTTAAAGTTGCACATGAGATCAACAAAATGGCACTCAAAAACAGTGATACAGTGGTGTTATTATACAAAGACGGAGAAGTCTGTGAATTTGCCGTGGCAATGTTTGGTTGTTTTATGGCTGGGGTTACAGCAATTCCTATTCACCAGGATATTTCTTTGCATGAGGTATTGGATATAATTAATTTAACGTCAACTAAATTGGTTTTGTATTCTGATATTGTGGCGAAAGAGTTGGATAAGTTGAATGCAACAGGCCAAAAAATAATTTGGCCCCCTAAGTTGATACGCTGGAAGACAACAGACTTTGGATCTGCAAAAAAATCCGACTTGGCGACATGGACTAACAAAATAAATCAACAGCAACAAGCATCTCGTGCATCAAAATCAGATTTGGCATATGTTGAATTTTCAAGATCACCCGTTGGCGAGCTAAGAGGGATCGCTCTAAGCCATAGAACCATTGTACATCAAATGAACTGTCTTAACATAACATTACTGAGTTTGCCCGAATCTGGTGGAGGTCTTCAAAGAAGTTACAAAGAGTACAAGGGAAATAAAAAAGTTGTTTTGGCTACCTTGGATATAAGGTTTTCTATTGGGTTAATTTTGGGAATATTGTTTACTGTATACTCGGGTAATATGCTTGTTTGGGTACCTCAGAAAGTAATGGAAGTTCAAGGTTTATATGCCAATATTTTATCGAAGTGTCGAGCATCATTATTATTAGCAGACTATCTTGGGTTGAAAAGAGTTACGTATGATTATCAGCAATCTCCTAATTCCACAAGATATTATTCTAAAACTCAGAAAGTTGATTTCTCTTCAGTGAAATGGGTTTTAGTCAATGCGTTAACAATTGACGGTGAATTTATCGAAATCTTGGCTCAAAGATATTTAAGACCACTAGGATGTCAAGAACCGGAAAATGCAATCATACCCATGTTAACTTTGAGCGAATATGGTGGTATGGTTATTTCATTGAGAGATTGGCTAGGCGGAAAAGAAAAATTAGGTATTGAGAACGATGGCGAGGAAGCTTCATCGAGCGATTTATCGGCCGTCTCGATAGATAAGGAAGCATTATCGAGAAATATAGTGAAGGTTGTTGATACTGCGCCATCAACTTCAGACGAAAATTCTGCGGATACTTTAAGAGTTGATGCGTTTGGGTTTCCATTGCCTGATGCAACATTGGCAGTTGTCAATCCTGAACTGTCTCTATTGGTAACAAAAGGTGAACTTGGAGAGATTTGGATAGATAGTCCTTGTCTTTCTGGGGGATTTTATGGTTTGCGAAAGGAATCAAAGCTGATTTTCCATGCTAAATGCCGTGACGCCAATGGGACACTTGAAATGGACTTTTTGAGGACAGGATTACTCGGATTTACTTACAATGGCAAAATTTACGTACTAGGGCTATACGAAGATAGGGTTCGTCATAGAGTAAGTTGGATTGATCAAAAATTATATTATAAACTAAAGAAAAACTTGATTATAGGAAATGGTTTCAGATATCACTATTCATCTCATTTACTAGCAACATTAGCCAGCGAAGTTAGAAATGTATATGATTGTACTATATTTGATGTGTTTATAGGTAATGAGTATTTGCCAGTTGCAATTATTGAAGCAGAAGTTATTAGAAAGCTTAGTGACGACCCCAACAACAATGATAATTCTGTAACTGGGGGAGGGAAGAATCAAACAGGCTCTGGTGATGGCGGCCAAGCAAACTCAGCGGTGCCTTTGAATGAGCCAGTATTGAATTCCATTGCGCAAAAATGCTTTGATACTTTGTATAAGCATCATTTTTTAAGGTTATACTGTGTTTTAATCGTTGATTGTGATACATTACCTAAAATTATGAGAAGTGGTGGAAGAGAGATTGCAAATATGCTTTGCAAAAAGAGATTTTTAGAAGGTTCTTTAAGGGCAGAATACGTTAAATTTTTTGTCAGCAAATCAATAAGTATGATTCCACATGGTGAAGACGTAATTGGCGGTATTTGGTCTCCTTACGTCTCAAGATTAAGGAACTCTGCATTAACTAGATTCCCAAATCAATTTTCAGCAATTGATTACCGCGAGAAGTCCTTAGATGACAAAACTGGTGCGCCCTTAACAGATTTTAAATCAATCATAGATATTTTGAAATTCAGAGTAGCTAGCGCAGGAGATGCTATTGCATTTCAAAGCATCGATAATAGTGGAAAATCTGCATCGAAGCCATTAACCTGGAAGAAATTTGAGAATAGAGTCTACGCAGTTTGTAGTTATTTGATTGATAAGCTTTCTATTAGACCTGGAAAGTATATCATTTTGATGTATTCATTATCAGAAGAATTTGTTATCGCCGTTTATGCCTGCTTGATATGTGGTGTAATCCCAATTCCTATGTTACCGTTTGATTCTAACAGAATTGGAGAGGATTTTCCAGCTTTTGTGGGAGTTATAAGGGATTTCGATGTCCATGAGATATTTGTAAATGAGGAAGTTGAGAAGTTCTTGAAGAATGGCCCAGTTGCCGATGCGTTAAAGAAGATGAATAATAAAAAATCAAGAATCCACAAAATTAAGAACACCGGTAAATTGACAAAAGTTTCAAACATTGCATCATTAAATTCTAAGATAAAGAAATATCAAGGGGAAGCTAATTTTCGCGATGACAGGACAATTGCAATGGTTTGGTTAAACTTCACGTCCGATCATTATAGAGTAGGTGCTACTTTGAGCCATAAAAATATCATTGGAATTTGTAAAGTGTTCAAAGAAACCTGCAACTTATCGTCGAGTTCATCCATAGTTGGATGTGTCCGTCATTCATGTGGAATTGGACTTGTACAAGCTGTATTTTTGGGGGTATTTTTGGGAACAACGACATACTTAAGTTCACCTGTTACTTTCGCCGAAAACCCTTTGGCATTTTTCCTTTCATTAGCACGTCATAAGGTTAAGGATGTCTTCGTGACCGAACAAATGTTGAAATACGCTGCATTAAAGTTCACACCAAAAGGATTTAATTTGGCTAATTTGAAAAATATGATGATAAGTACGGAAGGAAGAGTTGAAATCGATTTATTAAGAAAAATTGCTAAAGTTTTTCAACCTACAAAATTAAGTGCAGCTGCTATGTCATCAGTTTATACCCATTGTTTTAATCCAATTATTTCCACAAGATCATATATGACAGTTGCACCCGTTGATTTATATCTAGACCCTATCGCTTTGAGACAAGGATACATTTCTGCAGTAAATCAAGTTGACGTGCCAAATGCCTTACATATTCAAGACTCGGGTATGGTACCCGTTTGTACAGAAATTGCTATTGTTAACCCTGAGAATAATATGATCTGTAAAGAGGGCGAATTTGGTGAAATCTGGGTTTGCTCAGAGGCTAACCTTACTTCATTTACTAATGGACCAAATGGTCCAGTTGATAACTTCACTAAGCAGCAGTTTTTAGGAAAAATTCAAAATGGTAACCCTGAAATGACTTATTTGAGGACAGGTGATTTAGGATTTTTGCACCACATATCAATAACTAAGAATAGCAATAATGATAATACCAATCAACCAGATAATACCTCGTTCCAGCCCCTCTTTGTCCTTGGAAAAATAGCTGACACTTTTGAGGTAATGGGACTACACCATTTCCCAATTGATATTGAAAATACTATTGAGTCTTGCCATGTTGATATCTTCAAGAATGGTTCATGTATTTTCAAATGCGCTGAATACACTATTGTTGTATGCGAATCGAGAAGGATGAGAAATTTTGCATCTTTGGTCCCATTGATAGTAAACACAGTTCTCAGCAAACATCATGTTATAGTTGATATTGTAGCATTCATGAAGAAGGGAGAGTTCCCAATATCAAGATTGGGTACCAAACAAAGAGCTAGAATAATAGATGCATGGGTTCAAGGTATTCTTCCTGTTACAGCACTGTACGGAGTTAATTATGGTGAAAGCAACATGACTAAGCTTGTAAAAGAAATTGATGCTGTCGCCAGAGACCATCCTATAACAGGCTTAAAGAATCCAGCTCTATCTTTCTATGATCTTGATTTAGTTGATGAATACGAAGATATTTTTGATGGAAACCAACACGGTTTGGCCCTTAATGATGGTGCTTTTGATGCTGTTGACAAGAGAAAAGCAATTTTTTCAGTGTCAAATAATAGTTCAGTCTCTGATGAATCATTGCCTGTTCACAAGTGAGCTGTTGGGTTTATAATAACTCGTAGTTTATGTCTTTTAACGAATTCTATTTATTGTATTTGGTCGTGTAGAAATGCTCAATCGGAAATAAATTTTGACTAGGAAAAAGATAGAAGTATATTCATAGTCTATAGACATTGAACAAAAAACAAAAGGCAATCATGTCCTACGACAGAAAAAGGCCTATAAGCCCTCATACCGTAGAAAAAGAGAATGAAGGTGGATTTGGAATATCTAAATTATTTAATTTTTTAAAACCTAGATCATCACAACAATACAAGCAACAAAAGCAAAGACAGAATCAAATTCCATCAAGAAATGAACAAGAAGTATCACGTATAGAACCAGATCCATTGGTTAATAATTTTTCATCCAGTAGAAAGAGAACATTATCGATTCAATCACTCCATAATAATGGTGTTGTTCCACGCTCATCTACTTTGAATACGAATTATGGTTCATATACGAACTGTTATGATAGTTTAAAGAACGAGAATGAAGTATTAGATAATGACCTAGAAAGGAGATTGAGCACAGAATATGGGGATGATTTGGTTAAGGAAAGCATGTTCCCATTAAGCAAGTCAGAATTTCAAGAAAGAGATGAATCGCCAATGTCAGATTTAATGAAGCCTAGACCATCAATATTATCCGAAATTAATAAGAAAGAAAACCAAGACAATATGCCTATTATAATAGAACATGAATTTGCGCCGCTCTACAAAGATAGCGATGGAAATCTTGTTAGACCACCGTTTATTAATTTAGACCCAAGGGAAAGATATCATGTTTTACAGTTGAAAAAGTCTATCCAAGCTTCAGAGTCTTTACAAAACAGAATAAAGTATATGGTTAATCCTAATGAAACTCAATCTAAACCACTTCAGGAGAAGAATAAAGTTGAGACTTCAACACAAACCCATGACTCCAATTATTTAGAAAATTCGCTTAATTTTTCTAGCTTGAAAAGAAGATTACTGGCAAAGAAAGATCGCTCGAAGAGCAAGAGAGCAAAAAATATTAAAGGTTATTTCAGTGGAGAGTTTTTATATGATTCCATTGACGGTAATGAAAAGTCTAAGGATGAATTACATGGATATCTTGGGGATGTGGCTAAGCCTAAGTTTAAAAATAATACTAGCATAAATAAGAATGACAAATCTACAAGTGTACAACCTCGGAAAGATGAGAGCCAGATATTCAATCGGTTTAGTAATCAGAATATTAAATCTACTGATAATAGAATTGGACTTGATAAATCTTTGTTGAGCAATGAAAAAGTAAATGTCTCATTGGATTCTGACTATGTTGCTAAATCAGAAAAGGTGTCTAATATAATTAAACTAAAGGCCGATAGCTCAAATAAACCAAAGGAAAAGGAATCGGTTCAACCAAGTTCAGGATTTAAATTTTCGATTAACTCGAATGATATCAATTCAATTATCAATAAGAAGCAAGAAGATGACGAATTAGTCAACAAATCTAATGGGGCATTAAGTAAGGACGAAGATAATACAAAGCCCTCTTTTTCTTTTGGTACTTCTACGGACAAGAAGGAAACAGGCAAACCATTATTCTCTTTTGATTCGTCTGAATCGAAGAATGGTTCTGCAAATAAACCGGCATTTTCGTTTGGTACCAGCAATGTATCCAATGGAACTACTGAACCCACATTGAAACGTGGTAGAGTTTCAGAAGAAGAAGAGCCTTCTGAAAAGAAAGATAATTCGACTAATCAGAGCTTCTCCTTCGGTGCATCCTCTGATAAAAAGGAGGTAAGCAAGCCAAAGTTTACGTTCGGTGCCTCATCGGAAAAGACTGATAATGACAAGCCAACTGTTTCTTTCGGAAGTAATGAAACGAAGAATGCTTCAAATAGTACAAAACCATCATTTTCCTTCGGAGTGACGCCTGAAAAGAAGGAAGATGAAGTGAAGCCATCTTTTTCGTTTGGAACCGCAGCAAATAATAAAGATGAAATGCCCAAGCAGACATTTGCTTTTGGAAAGCCCTCCGATAACAAGGATAAAAACAATTCTGATGGCCTTCCAGCTGAAAACAAGGGTACATCTAAGCCAGCATTTACTTTTGGAGCCTCAACTGAGAAGAAAGAGGAAACGGCGAAGCCAGAACTTACGTTTGGAACATCCACAGAAAAGAAGGAAGATACTACCAAGCCTTCATTTACATTTGGGGCTTCAACCGATAAAAAAGAAGATAGTGCAAAGCCAGCATTTACATTTGGAGCACCTACAGAAAAGAAAGACGATTCTTCTAAACCGACATTCACATTTGGAGTCGGTACGGAAAAGAAAGAAGAAGCACCTAAACCAACCTTTACATTTGGAGCTGGTGCAGAAAAGAAGGAAGAAACATCTAAACCGGCATTCACATTTGGAGCTGGTGCAGAAAAGAAGGAAGAAACACCTAAGCCGGCTTTCACTTTTGGAGCGGGTACAGAGAAAAAGGAAGAAGCACCTAAGCCGGCATTCACTTTTGGAGCAGGTACAGAGAAAAAGGACGACACAGTCAAACCAGCATTCAATTTTGGAGCACCTAAAGAGACTCCAAAGCAAGCATTGGCCTTTGGTGCCAACGAAAAGAAAGAAACAACTCCATCTTTTTCGTTCGGCGAGAAGCCAGCTGGCACCATTGGTGTCCCTGCCTTTGGTGCGGCCAGAGACTCTACTCCCAAACCATTTGAGAAGCCTACAGCTGCGTTCGGAAGCGGCAGTACAACCCCAAACTTCAGTTTTGGAAGTAAAGAAACTACCCCCAAACCAAACTTTTCATTTGCAAGCGGTACTGGTGCTAATGCAATGCCCTCGAATGCTCCACAATCTAACAATCTATTTAATTTTACGGGTACTGTGAACAAGGAGGGAACACCTGATCCTGCGTCTATATTTGGAAGTGCTACTAATGTCATGAATGCAAATAATATACAGAATGGCATGAACGGTTTGAACAAGTCAGCTGAATCTTCTCCATTTGGGTTTAATGCTCACCAAGGCAAGCCAGATTTTAAATTTGCAAATGGTATTCAACAACCCCAATTTAATTCTGGACTTCCTTCTGACATGAATAATCAGAGCTTCAACTCAACATCCGTGATGACCCCTCCTACATTATCGACAACCCCTCCTATTATTAAGAGCAATCGGAAAATTGCCCAAATGAGACTGAGAAGAAGATGATTATAATGGTTCATGTGACTTCTATTTATCAGAATATAATTCATATGCGTTTCTATTATTTACGTGAATTACCCCGATCATACTTCATAGATTTATAATTGTAATATAAGTAAACCGTAATTCTATAAATGAGAACATAGTGTATTTAGAAAGTTGTACCTCTTAGAATATCTTGGTATTATTATTGAAAAAAAAAAAACAGTTCGGAAATTAGTTTAGGTAAAAGTCCGGTGTTTGCGAAATTGATTTTGATTACCTTTAAGAAAAGAAGTATTAGTTGGTATATGTGAAATGACAGATTACGACAACGTGCAGTATAGACCGGGGAGAATTCAGACCATTAATGCTGAACAAGAACTTGTTTTGAAGCAAGTTTGGGCGCACTATTTGAAATATTGGGGATATGAAGTGAATATTTCGAGTGAAGATATTAAGTACAAGGAAAGCTTTGTTCCTTCGACGACCACCGTTGAATACGGGGAGAGAACGGGAGAATTGGGGGTTTCGAATGGATTAGTGAAAACGAATACGAGAGGGTCAATTAATTCCAATGCGTCTCTCAAGAGTAATACAAAGAAGAAGGGCTTTTTTCATAAAGGAAGCGCTGAAATTCCTAAGGCGCCAGCAGATTCCAGGAGAAAGCGTGATATAGATGCAAATTGTGCTACAGAGAGATATTCTCCAGTGGTAGATGCTTCGGAGCAATTCAAGTATATTTACTACGACTATTACAAGCAGGGTTACGAATCGGAGGAGGAATCGGAAGATGACGTATCGGATATGAATTCGATGGACACATTCATTACTGCTTCCACATCGATTACTGATCCGGGTTCGTATGAATTGGTACAAGGCATTGAAAAACAAGACAACAATGTTCAACCAGTGGGTCAACCTTCAAGATCGTTCAAGGTTAAGCCAAATGCTAAAATTCTCCCCTGTCTTGCAAAATACAAACCAGAGGAATTGCATGAAGCTTTATTTAAAGCCTTGAGAAACGATCTTTTCGATAACTATGTCTTGAGGTTCGTGAGGGCTAGAAAGTTTAAATACGAAGACGCAATTGCTATGTTGTCCAAGTCATTGGACTGGAGACGCAATACCTTAGAAGTTGATGAGTTCTTTCTCGAAGGTGATGCCCCATCGTATTTGAATGGTACTAATAAAGGATTCATCAAGAATTTTACTGTGGGGAAGTGCTACTCAAGAGGTATGGATAAACAGAGAAATCCTATAGTCTTATTTAAGGCCAGATTGAACTATTCAGCAGACTCTCCTTTAGAAGGAACCAAGAGGTATGCACTTGTCATCATCGAATGGAGTAGATTAAATTTGAAAGATATTAGTGAATCGAAAGATCAGTGTTCCGTTATCTTCGATTTGACAGGATTCTCTTTGAAAAATAATGATTTGCCAGCAATTAAATTTTTAGCAGAGATTTTTGAAGCCCATTTGCCAGAAATTTTGGGTTCTATTTTGATTCATAATGCTCCCTGGATTTTCTCGACCATTTGGAATCTCATTAAGAACTGGCTTGACCCAGTCGTTGCATCGAAGATTCATTTCACTAAGAGCATCAAAGATTTGAACCAATTCATTGATAGTGATAACCTTCCTGAGTCGATAGGTGGTAATGATCCATACGCGGGCGAATATCCTGATCCAAAGCCTGAAGATGGTCATCCCCCCAAACCTAAAGACTCTGTTTATCGTCAAATAAGCAAACAAAGGGATGAAAATCTCGTTAAATTCTTAGAGACCACCAAGAGGTGGGTAGAATCCACTAATCCGGATGTTAGTGCTAGATATTTGCAAGACAAAATCGACCTTGGTATCGAAATTGCTCAGTCATATGTTGATTTGGATCCATATGTGAGAATACCTGGAATTTACGATAGAAATGGATCCCTTGACTTAAGCATTTGAAACTTTTAATTCGACAATTCTTTTTTTATCATATATCATATTATTATTATTATAGTGTTACTATATTTATGTATTAAATTCATGTGTTCCAGATCGTTTTACGGTACTGACGTCATCACTTTAGTAAATGCTATTTTAGTATAACGATTGTAGATAGTGTAGTTTAAACATTAAAGAAGAGACGTATGCAAATAATTAAGAAAAATGCTCTAGGCTGATATATAAACATTTCAGTCGGTATTCATAAAGCTGCTAATTGAGTCTTAGATAAAAATTAAGAGTGAGACCAAAATGAGGACAAAAATATTGAAATATCAGATAAGTAATGAGAATATAAAATATTCATATAACTATAACATACTGATATTTAAATATAATTATGTCACGCCGTTCCGGTAGATCTAAAACATACTCTGATCAATCAGAATTGAACTCAGAGTTTCCAGAAGATGATGAAATTAATAATTATGAGGCAGAAGCAGAGGATGAAGTCGATGAAGAGCAAGAAGTGACGAGATGCATTTGTGGACAAGACGAGGTCAATACTCGAGGTATAAACCCACAACTACATGCCTTACTATGGAAAGAGTATCAAATCAAGATTGATAATGGTTTGTTTATCCAATGTGATAAATGCTCTGTATGGCAGCATGGATATTGTGTTGGTTTATTCATAAATGAAGATGTCCCTGAGAAGTATTGGTGTGAAATATGCAAACCGGATCTCCACATATTCATATATGATAATAACGAGATAGTGAGGTCTTTATACAAGCCTGTTAATGATAAGCGTAAAAAATTATTAGTTGAAAACAGTATTAGTCAAGAAAATAACAATAAGCGGAATAAAGCCAAACGTCCAGGACAGTCTAATTCTTCTCCTGTGTCAGCATCGGAGAATAGCAAACTCCCACGAAAAGAACGCAGGCATTATGATGAAAGTTATGACGAACAATTACAACAAGCTTTGAGAGAAAGTGCTAAGGAGAGTGGTATATCATATGATTCTAAGGCTAAAAATAAGCGCAAGAAGAGTGGAGATTCAAGCGATACAAACAAAAAACTCAAACATGAGTCCGAGCAAGATCAATCAAATGCAGAGGAGACCGAAGTTAATGATGAATCAAAAGAAGAGTCCAGATTGAAGAAACTGAAGATAAAACCCAAAAGTTCAAAATCCAAAGCCACCAAGGGCACTTCTACTACTGATTCGACTCTGTCAACTTTGACGAAAGAAGAGCTAATAAACCAAGCATCGAAACCTAGGTATGTCAATGAAAAATCTTCTATTTATGAATTAAGGAAACGAACAGGAGCAATTTTAGAATGGCTAGGTAGATCACAACTTGAATTGGAGGAGGAAAAACTTAATAAAATCGAGTTATTCAGCTACAAGGACAAAATTGATTTGAACCAACAACAAATTGAACAAGACAACAATAAAGTTATTGAAGGCTTTAATGAAAATTTACAATTAATGGAGAAATTAACCGAAAAGATACTAAATTGGGAACAACAGTTTGGTAAATATGCTCCATAGATATATAGCTAAATATTGTTTATAAAATATCTCTTAATTGTTTAGTTCTCGAACCGTGATCAACTGTATTAGGTTGATTTGTATGGGTTTCATTAATATTATCATACATTTTATTTAACCATCTTTCACTATTCAAGATACTATCACTTCCAATAATCAAGTTGATCTTATTATTTGCCAAACTTAAATCATGAATTAATCTGGACTCTTCATAAGTAACACCCCCCTTGATGTAGATTATAATATCTTGTACTGAATCACCTGAATTTCCGTATTGCTTAGTAACTGTATCAGGAATTAATGTAGACAAATGGAATTGATTAGAGTGATTTTGACTCTGGTTTATCAATTCATTCAATAATTCATTTAGCTTTGGAATATATTGCATGTAAATATTGTTCGTAGTATTATTATTAGCTGAATTGTTAAATAACAGGTTAATGCTTATCTTCTTATTATTAAATATTTTGCCAATATTATTACTATTATTATTGTTGGTTGAAATTGGGGATTTATTGAATTGTTTGTTGAAATTTTTCATCAATGATATCTGTGATACGGTTGGTACCGGGTTAGTGATAGCAGGGTCATGAAACTTATTCAAGAACACTGCTAAATCATTTTCATTTTGATTGAACTTGACTGAGTAGAGCAATACTAATTTTATTTTATTCTCAGTAGAAATTGTTGACTTGTCTAATATTTCTAATACTCTAGTTCTGATAACTTGTTGACTCTCTAAATTACAAATAATAGTTTGTTGCAATTCACTAACTTCCCAAAGACTTTGATGTGAAATTTGACTATCCAATTCACTTATTAAATTTAAATGCTTCAATATGTTGTTCAGAAGTTTCTTGAATTCGGGAAATTTAGTTAATACCTTTTTCAATTCTGAAAGATTTTGTGTTTTCAAGTTTTCTATAGAAGATTGCTTAGTTTGTTTCTTGTATTCTTCAACATATTCTTGGAACTTATCAGTTAGATCACCGTAGTTCAAATACATAGATTGCTTAAAAAAAGGGTCTTGCGACTCAGATAAGATTATAGGTTCCTTGGACTCTGCTAATTCTACCATATTCTTATTAATACCAATTAATTCATGAATCATCGACTGATATGTCCAGGGAAGTATCAAGGGAGTTATTGGGTCATTTTTGCGGTCTAGTAATAGTAATATTGGAGGCACATCAGAGTTTTTATTCAAATCTTCAAATAAATTATTGTTAGAGTTAGAATTAATGTTGTACAATATTTCTGAACTCAATTTCTTCAATTCAATGGAATTCGATTCATATTTGATAATAGGACATTTCTTTAAGGATAATAGTAAACTTGCTAAACTATTAGACTCTTCAATTATACTATTCTGACTGTTGGATATATTGATCGTAAACAAATTATTGTTTACAATTAAATAATCTTGAAATATTTCAAGAACTTGACTTATTGCTTCAAATTCATCCGCTTCTGCAAGACCCTCCAACTGGTTCTTATTTAACGTGTTATTAGTGAACAACTCATATTTGTTAAAATGAGGATTCTTGAGTTCTTTTATCAAATTTCTTATAGAATCTTGGGTAGGTTTGATATAAACAACGCAATTAAGATGCTTCATAACGTTTAAACTCCCCTGATTCTCTATCATCTCTACAAGCACAATGTCATTTTGAAGTAATTGTGATTGTGTATAAGACATAGATATGATTGGGGTTGTATGTTTATCTACCAAAAGCACCCTTGCTTTGATTTCTGTGGATTGACTCGAAGTCTTGGTTTCAAACAACTTATTGAAGTATGTTTCACTTACTTTAGATAGATTCAACGTCATCTTGGTCCTTAAAGTAGAAGTTATCGTTCATGGGATTTCACTAATTAACAAGCAATTTTGATAGATTGTATTATACTGTATATAACGGTAGAAGTTTATATCTATTAAATATATGAATATATATAAATTATAAATGGGCATGATCTTCAGAATGCTTAGAGTAATAGAAATTTGAAAGTGGTTCAACGGGTCTAGGAATATCACCAGTTGGGTATGTTGATTTAAATTGGTCAACATTTTCAACTAATTTACCGGATGGATACTGAGGTGGTACGGGAGTCGAAAGTTCCCTCGTAATTGTTTCAGATAACTTGGCTTTCAAGTTATCTTTATTAGAAAGTTTGTTCTCCTTGTTATCTCCAATTGAATCGGCCAATACACCCACAAGCTTGTTTATATCATCCCCGTTTGTTTCAATTAAAGAATCCAATATGTCAGAGCTGATACTAAAATTATTACGATAAATAAAATTATTAATGGAACTGTGTAATAACTTCAGTCTGCTAAGCTCAGGTACACTAGGAGATTTCAAATGAACAATAATTCTAGAAGAAACATTAGAATCTGAAGAAATATAATCATTGTAGAAATTGATGAAGTCATCCTTGGTGATGGTTTCAAGCACTTTAACGTGCTTTTCTCTCTCTTGGAAATCGTAATATCCGCTAATAATAGAATTCCAAAACTTACTGACTTCTTCACTTAAGTTTTTTAATTTAGTCAATTTTTTATCCTTCAATGCTTGTTTGAATTTTGCGAAGTTTTCATCAGTAAGATCATTCTTTATAAATTTATCGAATTGCTTTAAAAATTCTTCAATTCTGTATTCAAGATATTCAGAAGATCTCTCTGATTGTACTAAAATTCTAAAACCCAAAGTAGTTCTGGTTAACCTGGTACCTGAAAATACAACATACCCCAATTGTTCTTTTGTTCTCAATTGAGAAAAGCAAGGCTCGTGAATAACTGTTCCTAATAAATCAGTTAAAACTCTTAAGCGAACATCATTAAATGAATCGCTTATTTGAATAAAATATTCGATACACGAATTGATGTTATTTTTATCTTGTAATGCTACTTCATACCTAATTCTTTGGTTAGGTGGAACAATGTGAGTTTTAAGTTTTACCACTTCATTAATTTCATCCTGGTTATCGCGGATTGTTTTGAACTTAGTAAAGTAACTTTGGACGACCCTTGAAATATCGTACGCTTTGGAGTCGTTAAAGTTACCATGGATTAATACCTCTCCAAATACACCCTGATCCCAGATTTTTTCAGTAGAAAATTCAAGTAATTCATCGAAATTTATTTCCTTGTTTAAAGTATCGATTTTTAAATCGTAAGTATACGTTTTATCATTGAGTAATGTTAAAAAGTGAGTGCCAATCTGCGAGTAAGGAACCTCAAATCCAAAATTTTTGAATTCCTGATTTAGTTTAAATTTGAAAACTTCAAATCTGTCTCTTTTAGGTTTAAAGGAAATAAGCTTTTGTAGAATTTGTTCTAACAAGACAGGTAATTTATCATTGTAACCGCTTACTCTTATTAACAAACCATCACGCCAATGATTGATTGTAAACGATATACCTACCAAAGATGCATAATAAACGATCTCATTTAATTCATCATCAATCAACTGGCTGAGAAGCATAGTGTAAATTGATGATTTGCAAGAAGTGTTTGCATTTGCTAAATGTAATACAATTTCGATCGCTCCCTTGGGAATTTGAAATTGATCATCTTGTTTATACCAAACTTGAAATTTATTATTATCTTCAATCAAATAAGGATGAGGTAATGGAGTTTCCAGTTTAGTCTTTGAAACAGTAAAATCTTCGGGTATGAATTCGTTTGGAATAGGGTAATGGAAATTTTCATTTGTTCTAGCACTTTGAATGCCTTCCTTCAAGCTATTTGATAAAGAGTCATACGAGTACTGAGTTCCATACCAGAGCTCGGATTTATCTAAGTCTGGTAGTGACTGGGATGTCAACAAAATACGGAAGTTGTTTGGATTTAAATATGAGCCGTATTCTTTAATTTCTTGACTTCTAAACTCCCTCAAAATGGAAGAGCTTAATAAATATTGGGGTGGAATATATGCACTTTCGGTAAATTTATAGAGAGAGTTACTCATTTTAGAAACTGTTTGAGCGGCTCTTTGTTTTTGTTTGAATTTGAAATTAACAGTAGACATGTTGCTCAATTCTTCCCATAACCATAACTTTGGTTCCTCATTTAAAATTAACTTCAAATATTCGAATACATTGACGACAATTGTTTCCCAGTTTTTTAAACCATTTGGAGTTAAATCAAATTCAAGCACGAAGATTGAGTTTCCTTGACAGACTTTCATATTACCTGCGGATAGCTCATTGACCCAGCCCTTCTGCTTTAAATAGTGTAAGATGGATCCAGAACTTTCGTGTCCTAATAAATGAGAATAATAACTAGCTGGCTTACTATCCCAGTTTGCCTCTTGGTCACTAGGGATCATAAAACTCAACTCCAATTTATCAGAATCCATTATTGGCTTTGCTTTTATAATTTTTCCAAGATGATCAGGATTATAAATCAACTCCCCATTGTAGCTTGGCCTAGGCAAGTTACTGTTAGGAACTTCCGAAAACTTTTCGATCGCCCAAGACGTTAATGTGTCCAAATCTTCTTTCCCCAAGATGACTAAGCTCATTAAGTTTGAAGAGTAGTGGTTTTTGTAAAAGTCAAGCAATATGTCTCTCACATTTAACCCTTGGCTAGTTGGATCTTCATGCAACGTCTTATAATTTCCCGTAGAAAACCCATTATATGGGTGTTGCGGATTACTTGTCAGTTTATCCAATTGATAGAATCTCCACATATCATTTTGCAAATTCTTCTTATTTTCTGAATCCACAGCCTTTATTTCACGGTCCTTACAGGACTGGCTGAATAACGGGCTGATGAAAAACTGAGAGAATCGATCCAACGCCCCCTCCAAATAGTCAGAACTCAACTCAAAATAATAGTTGGTATGTTCAGCAGCCGTGTATGCATTCGAATGCCCCGAATGCTTCGAAAGATAACTCGAATATTCGTTCTCTTCGGGATATTTGCTAGTACCCATGAACAACAAATGCTCACAGAAATGCGCCAACCCCGGGACTTGATAGTTTTTATCAGCAAAGGATCCCACGTTAACGTCTAAAGAAGCAGCAGCTTTATCGGTGGAGGAGTCATTGATTATAAGAACATGTAAGTCATTCGAATTTAATTTGACTAATCGGTACGAACGGTCGTCTAATATCGGCTTTTCGATATTAGAGTTATCTGCCAATATGGTGTACTTGTCACTTTGCATGCTTAGCTTTGTTATACTCGAGTAAAATACTTGGTTTAAATTAATTCCTGACTTATAATTAACGATTCGAGACAACCCTTTCGCTAAATACATTAACAAAACCAGATAAGCAAAGAATTTAAGAAAAAGATTCATATGCTAATGCTGACTTTGGTGGTTATTCTGAACTATGGCAATATGCCACTGCGTGTATTAACCGCGGTTTACGATTATATAGGAATATGATGAATTATGTACGATAGTGACAGAATATGAAGGGCATTATGACGTCTAAAGTGGCCAGAGACTACTGGTGAAGAGAATCTACCACTTTCTGGAGGTTTTCCAAGAAACTACTGACGAGATACTCAATGCTATCCAATTTAGTGAGGGCGCTCACTAAAACGGGGTCCGGGGAAGAAACCTCAATTTTCTTCAACACCATGACCACCATATTATTGTAAGTGACGCACTTTGTAATGTAGTCGATAGGATCGTGTTTTGGCTTCAACAGGATGTGATTCCACACGTTGTTGACGAAGTTGGACTGCGAGCGCAGTCCGTCGGGAGAAGTCGATGTCGACTGGTGTATTTTCTGCTCGATATCGGCAAAGTTGAGCGGTTGGGGTGCAGCCGGGGTGCTGGCCCTACTGGCATGCGAGCTGGGCAAGCGCATATCGTCTCTGAGCTTGTCAACATACGATTTACCCTCCGAGTCGATCTCGCACCACGGGCGATCTTGCACCAGGTGCAAGTATTTGAGATCAACACACACTTCTGCCTGACTGATGTATAAGTCGATGGCAATGTTGGTAGTGAGCACAGGACTGAAAGACGACCCCGGCGTCACATTGAGCGGAAATACTAGCTCGGGGTTCGTGGGCAATTGTAAGCTGTTTTTTGCAATCTGGATCTCGCGGAGCATCTCGTGGAACATGGCAATGAGTCGAGTGTGCTGGTGGTGACAATCGTCCAAAACCTCACCCGACGCCCTCTCTATGAGCCCCACGGCTGCATTTATCGACTTCTTGGCCTCAATGATCTGTGGAAGCAACACCGGCTTCTTGAGCGTCATCTTATTAAGTATCTTGTTAAAATGGCTCTCCTTCAACTGCACCGTCATCTGGGTGATATACGCCCCATCCCGCACCACAATACCCTTGAGCGCCTCCAGCTTCGTCGAGGACACTGGAAGCTTGATCTCGGGTCCCCTTTCGATCCGTTTCTGCTCATCGGGGTGTTGTGGCGAGTTGTACAAGATGAGATTTGAGCAGATGCCGAGTGCTTCGATTATCTGGGGAAATTCGGGTGTAATCACCTGAGAAATGAGCCAATGCAATTCCTGGTCGGCATGTTCCATCTGTATATCTGACACAACATTCTGCATCTGTCTCGAGTCCACTAGCATCGTTAATAAACCCGCTAGACCAATAAATAGACCGCCACTCGATCATTTATGTCCCATTTATTAGGGCCTTAATCATATCGCACTAACAGAAGCTAACCTGTAAAAACCCCCAACTCCCCCAATTTCCTCCAAGCTCCTCCAAATCGACCTAACCTGCAAAATGACCAATTATCACCAAAATTTTTGTCAACAACACCTTTCCCATTCAAACAACTACATGTGCAGGAGCGTTGTTTATATTCACAACCCAATAGATAGTTAAGTAAGACTTGAAAAGAGATAACAGAGAGCTAACAAGATGCTGGGACCTTCAACTTCGAGTGAAAGATCGACGGTAGCTACAAATAATCATAGGATTCATCCACAACACCAACAGGTTCACCCTCATCAACATGAGCTTGCTAGACAGCCAGATTATAATCAAGCAGCGGTAGCAGTTGCAGCGGCATCGGGGATGATGGCGCCAGGAGCGCATCCAGACGATGGGAGTCAGTTTCATCCACACCAGCACCATTATAATGCGGCAGCGCACTTTCAACAGCAACAAGTGCAACAGGCACAACAAGCGCAGTTGCAGCAATATCAGATGTTGCAGCAGCAACAGCAGCAGTTCCAGCAACAGCAGCAACAGATGCAGGCCCCACACCATCAGATGGCGGCCCAGCACCACATACAGCCACCATTACAGCAGCATGCGATGCACCAGGGCCAAATGCACGAGCCGGTGGGCCAAGTGGTGGGCCAGTCGGTGGGACAGGCCGTGGGTGGACCTCATGTAGGAGGCGAGTTTGACGGGGGTCAATATCTTACGTCAAAGTTCATGGAAAACGAGATTATCAAGACATTTCCTAGCAAGCCCGAATTAGTGAAGTTTGTGAAGAACGTGCTTAACGACGAGGAACAGTGTAAGATTGTGATCAATTCGTCGAAGCCAAAGGCGGTCTATTTCCAGTGTGAAAGGTCTGGATCGTTCAGGACAACTGTCAAGGACTCCACCAAGAGACAGAGAGTTGCGTACACCAAGAGAAACAAGTGTGGTTACCGGTTGGTAGCCAACTTGTATCCTCCCGAGAAAGACAAGAAGAGAGCTAAGAAACCAGAGGATGATGCCCTTGACAAAGACATAGACGATAAGCTCAACGAATTCCAGAATCAGAACCCTATGGCCGGCAACACCAATGAAATATGGATTTTGAGAATGATCCACCCCCAACACAATCACCCACCTGAGCCTAACGTGAACTCTTCCAATAAGAAAAAGAGGTCTAAATACACTAGGACGTTGGTGGAGAAGCCTTTGAACCGTGGAAACTCCAACCCGGTGAATAACTTCAATCCAAACGACATAGTCACTCATCAACACCAACACCCACATCAACAAGTCCATGTACCTCATCCACATGTGCATCCACATCATCATGAAGCTGCACATACGCCTTCAGTACAAGACCCAGCGGTGATTGCAGCAATGGAAGCTACTCCAAATACAGATGCAGCAGAAGCAGCCGTTGCTGCTGCTGCTGCCATGCACCACCAACATCCTCCGGTGGACCCAAATATCGACCCTAATGTCGACCCAAGTGTACAGGAACATGATCATTCTCATGGTACCTTACGATAATCCGACAAAACACCTATGTGTGGCCGAATTATGACCTTTGTTTGATATTTTATTCTAATTTTTGTATCCAACGTTTTTCAGTTTATATTTTATGTTTTACTATACTCATGTCGGTACATTTACTACTTTAGTATATACTACAATGTTTACCTTTATATATAATACTACTTTATTTGTTTTAAAACTTTGTATAATTTACTTCGTGATTTTGTTTTCGGCAAAAATATTTAACGCATAATCCTTTGAACTAATTATATAAAGATACACATTAATTATTTCACTTCATTGAGTTGTGGGATTATATATAACGTGAATTTAAGCAATATTTAGAAGCTGACATATATAATATCTTCTAATACCATGGATTCGAATGTCAGTAATACAGAAACACCAAATGATACTGACTCACCCCACACATCGACCCAACCAAAACCCTCGAATCGTTCAATATCACCGTTAACAAAAATCCCGTTGGAAGAAAGTGAACAGAATCCAAACTTAAGGCAAGAATCTTATTCTTCTATAGGCTCATCGCTGGATGGATCATCAAGGAGTTATAGAGAAGATAGTGCATTTGGGACAGAAGAAAACGATGAACGGCAACCACTATTGGTTGTTCGTAGCAGTGAATCAGTTGACGAGATAGCAAAGGATTATTTTAGTTATGAAAACAACAAAGCATTCATTTATACATTGTTGGCTCTCCTCGGGTTAGCATTTTTTTTCTATTTGACATTTCAGCAGCTGGATAGCTTGGTGATGCTGGCCATTGATACAAAATTTCATAGCTTATCTATAATGGATTTGAATAACGATGGACTTGATTTCCATGTGCTTGGATCCGTATCCATGCATTATAATAACATTGAAAATCACTTTTATCGGTTTTTTATGAAATTGGCATCAATTATCATCGGAAGCGTTATTGTTATTCCAAATGATGCTGTGAAGTTGTTTGCGGCATTGGAAGGAAGGAATGAATCGTTACATGTACTAAATATTTACCCTCCAGACATACAGGTTGATATTGCCAACAATGCATTAACTGAGATTGACTTTATAAGTAAGTCAGAATTGGTTGAGGAGAACATAGTTAAGTTTCTTAATACACTAGAAGATTCTAATAAGGAAGAACTAGTTGTGAAGCTAAGTGGTATATTTGACTCGACCATTGAATCCAAATTATTCGAATATTCTACTAAAAATGCCAGGTTTTACCTTGATTATAGTTTGAATAAAACTGACTTATCCCCATCTATATTGCTTGACCACTTGACTGTGCAGCAAAATCCCGAGAATAATACAGAGATTGAATTTTACAGCTCAATCAGTATGGATAATAAATTTCCTATAAACGTCGAATTGGAATCAATCGATTGGGATGTATATATTGCAGGTTGTCATAAAGAACTAATTAAGGTTGGGGAGTGGCAAAGTTCGAGCTTATCAATACAGCCTGACAATTCAATAGAGTTTGATATTAATGGAATTGTACGGGAAATCCCCGATAAATTAGTAGAAAATTGTGATGATAATAAGACTGTAATAAACAAAATGGTTCAAGACTACTTGCAAGGCAAAGCAACTTCAATTAACATAAGTGCATCAAACAGTGAAAAGAACCAAAAGACCTTACCAAGGTGGCTCTTATTCGTCTTAAACAAATCGGGCTATAAACTACTGGTTGGTTTACCGTATTACGAGGGCGATATTAGCAGCTACATCAAGAGCTACGATATAAGCACCCTTTTTGTAGAATTGCTATCATCAAAGTCTCATGAACTGTTCAGCTATGCTTTGAGCTCTAATGTTTCCATGATAACCACATTTCCAGGAATATTTGATATTAAGCTTAACCTTCCAAGGTTTCAAAGTAGTATTGCTATGAGAGACGAGTCGGAAACGATAATGAAGGGATGGTCAAACACAGATAATACGATGAACTTACATAGATACGACGATGAAAACCTTTTGAAATGGGATATAGGGGTCTCGAATTTCGAAGCTGATAATATAGAACCCGTCAAATTGGGCAAGTTGGCAAACAATCTACTTAACGGAGACGACATAAGGGTCCCAATATACTTGGACATGATACTTGATGAAATAGAATTGTCGATGCCCATTCTTACAACTACCTTGAAACACCTAATTTTGCCTCGCATACAGTTGAATAAGCCTACGGAATCTATCAACTCGATTGACGATATTATTGATACTTTGAATATAACTGTCGATAACATCATATACGTCGATTCGAGTAAGGAGGAGTTAACATTGATGATCGACTGCAGCTTGTTGAATCCTACGAATATATCCATTGACATACCTGAGGACAACATTTCGCTTCAACTTAGATACAACGAGACAATCATTGGCAGTGTTAGTGCAACCGATATATTGATTCCCCAAACCGATGACTATTTCAACATGAGCGTTTATCTCAATTTGAATGCAACTACGACACATGGCAAGGTCATGTTGGAAATGCTTATCGGTGAATTTATATCTGGCTACGAGGATCTTTATTTCTCGGTGGAAGGCACCAACAAATCCTCATCGAGCAATGGACTTAGCGATTTCTTATCTCAGATAGCCATCAATGATATTCGAGTGCCCAACGTATCGTTTTCATCGCAATGGGTGGAAAACCACCCCCAACTACTTGAAGCCCACCCCAAACACCAGTCACCCTTCCTCATCGATGCCACCATCCACATATTTTCGTCCGAAATAGAACTAACGCTCCTCAATCCTCTCGAAAATGCCGAGATTGCCGTCAAAGTATACCAGGCCCAGGCTTCGTACGAGAACACCAAGTTGGGCCATATGCAGCCTGATCAATATTTGCTTATCCCTCCTGGGGTATACAAAACCCCTCGCATTCCTTTTGTTATGGATAGTAACATAGGAATGGACATCTTGCGCAAAGCCTTAAACGGTAGCTTGCGGGTCCAAGTTCTAGCGGTATTTATGGCCAACATTGGCGAATTCGATCTCCTGTTACTATATGAGGGTAGTAATCTCAGTGCAGCCATTCGGTGGTAATCGCAAATGATATTGCAATATTATTATATAATAACACGACGCTAATTCTTGTCCCTCCAAACCCACCCACTGGGGTGACTTTATGTGAAGCTAGGTAAACTGGTTGCCAAATCCGGGTCGAACTGGGGAAATTAAAGACCTGGTGCATAGATGTATATCTTCAAACCGGACCCCCAATCCGAGCAATCCACTTAAGAGAAGATTAAATACAACACAAAATGCAACCTGTTCTAGAAGTCGAGCTCATGTCTCAATATTACATAATACAAACAAAATTCGACATCCACCGACCGCCACCAACCATTTCAGTAGCGTATATAATGTTATAAGTTAATTACATAATCATTTGACATTGTTTCATAGACCTACCTAAACAAGTCTAGATGTGGAACTTATTAAGGAGTGCGACAATGTCCCATACATTAAAAATTTTCTGCGACAATGTCGCGGTAAAATTACTAAAAATAGGTTTATTTTGATTTATAGGGAACAATTGGACATAAGTGTTTAGAAAACATTCTATATAATCCTTTTTTTTTCATACAAACAATTGATTTAGGTATCATAGAATAGTCTATCGCTCACATTACAATTATGCCTTCGTCCATGTTAAAGATTTCCACCTTAGTTGCATTAGCATCATACATTTCCACCACATTGGCCGCTCCACCAGCTTGTTTATTAGCTTGTGTTGCTCAAGTCGAAAAGAAGTCTGATTGTACCGGATTAAACGACTTATCTTGTATTTGCTCCAGCAACGGTAGTGATGTCAAGAAGTGTTTAGACAGTATCTGTCCAGAAGGAGATGCTGACACTGCCAAGTCAGCATTTGAAGATTCTTGTGAAGGTCACTCGAGCAGCTCTTCGTCGTCGAGTGCTGCTTCTTCCTCCTCCTCCAAGGCTTCCTCGAGCTCAGCTTCTTCTTCTTCTTCCAAGGCTTCCTCGAGCTCAGCTGCCTCGTCCGATGCTGCTTCCTCTTCTGTTGCTGCTGAATCCACCACCAAATCTTCTTCCCAAGGTTCCGAGACCTCTTCCGGTCCAACCCAAGCTTCCTCGCAAGCTGGTTCTGGTGAAACTTCTGCTGCCTCTACTGAAGCTTCCTCGCAAGTTTCTAGTGGTTCTAGTTCTGTCGAAGAATCTACCTCATTGGCCGGTGTTGCTACCACTGTTTCCAGTTCTTCAACTGGTTCCAGTGCTCCAGCTGTTGCAACTCAATCTGAAGACGGTGCTAATGCCGCTGGATTTTCCGTTGGTGCTCTTTTAGCTGGTTTAGCCGGTGCTGCTTTGTTATAAACTACATAAAATGATTTCTTTCTTCCGTATATCTTTAATTCGTTGATACCTTTTTACTAAAATATATGCTTTAAATAGTTGTGTATGTAGTGGCTTATTATTGTTGAACTGTGAAGCGAAAATTTGTTATCGCTGATCTGTTCCGCGGGCTCTTCCGATCAGATTCGATCATTGATTTATATAAATATAGGCGATTGTATTCCTTTATTAAGTCAGGGGGTTCTTATCTAGAAGGTTATACACGAAGTTAGATATTACCTTATTACTTGATTTAGAGAAAGTCGCTCTTAATAATGAGTGAATCAAATGGAGAGCTTGAGATGGCTGCTATGAAGCCTATCACATACACGTTATATTACGGCACATTTATTCATACTCCGAGACTAGGAGAATTGAAGATCTGCCTTAAAACTTTGGTTGGGGTCAATGAGCAGGGAGCAATTGACTTTATACATGAGAATTACATTCACGATGGGCAATCGGTTGTCGAATTTTTCAAACTGGAATATGAGAAACAAGGTAACCAAGCTGATACAAGTAACATGCATTATGTTGACATTTCTGAGGACGCTACCAAATTCTTTTGCCCAGGGTTTGTTGATACACACATACATGCATCTCAGTATCCTAACGTAGGAATTGGGTTGGGATGTCCACTATTGGACTGGTTGAAGGATTATACATACAGGTTAGAAAATGGGTTCACTAATCCAAAGGACGATGAATGCATGAAATTTGCTAATGATGTGTATAAGAAAATCATTAAAAAGACTTTAGAAACGGGTACTACATGTGCGTCATATTTTACCACCATCGACCCTCATACTACGATACTATTTGCTGACTTGTTATTGAAACTTGGACAAAGAGGGTTTGTTGGAAAGGTGTGCATGGACTCAAACGATGTTTTCGAAAGTTACCAAGAAGATCACGAAGAATGTGTAAATTCTATGAAATTAATCATCTCATACTACGAGAAGAACAACCCCAAAGGAGAAGACTTGATAAAACCTATTGTTACACCTAGATTTGCCCCTGTTTGTTCACTGGGATTAATGGAGTATCTTGGTTCCTTAGCTGCTGAGAAGGAATTGCCTATTCAAACCCACATCAGTGAAAATCACAATGAAATTGAATTAGTCGCAAAGTTATTCCCAGAGTTTGACAATTATGCTTCAGTTTATGATAACTTTAAGTTATTAAATTCATCTACAATATTAGCTCACGGAATTCACTTGGATGAGAAAGAACGGAAATTAATCAAAAGCAGAAACTGCTCTATTTCTCATTGCCCTACATCAAATACGTTTATTGCCAGTGGGGAAGCGCCAGTTAAGAAGTACTTGTATGAAGACAAAATTAACGTTTCTATAGGGTCAGATGTTTCCGGTGGATACAGCCCTTCCATATTGGAAGTGATCAAACAGTCAATATTGGTATCGCACCATCTCTCAATCAAGACGAAAGATCAATCAAGTTTTGATCCAAAACTCTCTGTGGCGGATGTAATTTATATGGCAACTCAAGCTGGTGCAAAAGCTGTGGGATTAGATAATGTAATTGGATCTTTTGAAATAGGTAAAAGATGGGATGCTCAATTGATTAATTTGAACTCTGCTAATTCCAATATCGATATATTCCCTTGTAACATTCCGGATGTGAACAATATAGATAAAGATACAGAAACTACTATTCTTAATTTGTTAGGAAAATGGATCTTTTGTGGTGATGATAGAAATTGCGTCATGGTTTGGTGCAATGGAAGACTAGTGATCAACAAGCAGTAAATTATTATGCAACAGTATTTATTTCACTTCATTTTTTGGTAAATTTTTAGCCTTTAGAATTATTAATTAATATTTATACTTAATATGCATTCACTACACATATAAATGAAGGGTAGAATTAAACAAAAACAAAATATCGGGTGCAAAATTGCGCCAAAAGGACAGATTTTATTCATGTCAGCCAGAAAAATCAAACAATTAAGATGTAGATGATTTATAGCCTCATATAAGAAGTTGCAATAACCTCGAAAGTATGCTATTATCGACTTTATGTAGGTGGCATTCTTCCATACCAATGCATGTTTATATCCCAACGTGTTTTCTCCTACACTCGAGCGACAAAATTTTCATTATAATAAAATATCAGATCTAGAAAGGAGCAGGTTAGGACTACTCAACGGGTATCAGGAGTAGCAGCATATTATAAATCTAAAGTAGGATAAGAGCTTTAATTCATCACGCTTACTCATTAATTCTCACTACGCGCTTAATGAAAAATTATTTGATAACAATTGAAGTATAGATAAATTACTTGACACACCTAATAAGATGACGGTGCCCGCTTCTGACGGGGATAGAGGTACCAAAAGGCGAACAGAAGGTGACGACGAAGAAGATGGCGATACTTTTAATCCAATGGTATGTTATATTTAGACTAGATCAACACTGAATGAAAATACTAACTGAATTAGCAAGAGCAAAGTGTATCAGACTACATGTCTCAAATATTACAAAATAAACGAAGAAAAATGACGCAGAAAGAATCAGATGATTCGGAATCTGATTCAGACTCAGATAGTGACGAGGATCTTGAAAATGATAGAGTTGATAGTTCTCCTGCCAAAGCTGGTGTGATTGAAAAAATTGTATTGAAGAATTTTATGTGCCATGATTTTTTTGAATTGAATTTAGGACCTCAGTTGAATTTCATTATAGGTAGAAACGGATCGGGCAAGAGTGCAATATTAACGGGTATATCCGTGGGGTTAGGAGTCAAGGCTTCTGATACCAGTAGAGGATCATCTATCAAAAATTTAATCAAGGATGGAAAGTCTACAGCAAGAGTGATCGTAGTATTTCGAAATGAAGGTATAGAAGCTTATAAACCAGAAGAATACGGATCTAAGATTATAATTGAAAGAAAGATACAAAGACAAGGCTCAAATGGATATTTCATTAGGTCGGAAAATCTTAAAACAATTTCAACAAAGAAGTCAGTTCTTGATGAAATATTGTATAAGTTTAACATAGCTATTGATAATCCAATGGCATTTTTGTCGCAAGATAAAGCCAGAGAATTTTTGACTCTGACTACTGATAAAGTTAAATATGATTATTTTATGGCCGGTTCCTTAATTAATGATATTATAGAGAATTATAGAATAACGAGTGGCAATATAGTCGAAGTACAAAACAAATTAAAACTTGCAAAGACCCATCTAGACGTTGCTACGAAGCACTACGAAGAGTCTGCATCATTATATAATAAGTTCAAGAAATCTGATTCCTTAAGAAAACACTTAGAGCTAATTCACGCTAAGATATATTGGTATAATGTGACAGTAATAGAAAAGAAGATTCAGAAATATCAAGATCAGTTACAACAAGCAAGCCATGATATCGAGGCAATAGAAAAGAAATTTGAAGAGATTGAACAAAGATCTAATCAACGTGAACAAAATGTGAAAGAATTGGAAGAAAAGAATATCATTATTTCGAAGGAAATCGTGGAATCTCAAGACTCTTATCAAGAGATTAAAATGACTTACCAGAGGTTGAAATCTGGTATCAATGAAGTCATCAATGAAATTAAAAAAGGAGAAGAGGATATAGAGGGATTTCATAAAGATATACAAAAATGCCAGACCATGATAGCAAAGGAACAGCAAAGAATTGATGAGATTAACGGTGGATCAAAAGAAAAGCTCAATAATAGTTTGAGTAAATTGAAAGCAAAGCTAGAAGATTTAGCTCAAGAAAAGGAAGATGTGCGGTCTAAAATCAATGAATCTGAAAATTATAGAGATCCTGAATTGTTAGACTACGAAGGAAAAGTTAAGGCATCTAAAGAAATAATGGCTATTCTTCGAGAGAAAAAAAAGAGCCTTTTAGCATCGCAGAAAGATAAATTTTCACCATGGGGGAATAATATAACTCATTTACTAGCCAATATTAAGGCTATCAATCAATGGCATCAAGAACCGATTGGTCCGATTGGATCGTTTGTCTCTGTCAAGGAAGGATATTCTGATTGGCGTGATTTAATAAATGCTTCTATCGGTAAAACTCTCGACTCATTTCTTGTTTGCGATGAGCATGATAGAAGGATATTGAGCGGCCTTTTCAAAAAATATCGAATATATAAGAATATCATTACCAGGAAGTTTGAAAGTTTTAATTTTGAGGATGGTATAGCGCATGGTCACACTACGTTCTTGGATATATTAACAATAGAAAATGAGAATGTACTCTACACTCTCATTGATTCAAACAGTATCGAAAAGAATGTTATATGTGAAGACAGAAATAGATCTCGAGAACTCGTTGCACAATCTAATGTCTTAAACGTTTATTCTCTCTTAAATAGTAGATCAGGACAAAGGTCAAGTGGTGACAGAAATACTTTCAAGATTGATCCGATTTATTACAGATTGAACGAGCCACATAAATTATCTAATAAGTCACAATCTAGTTCAGATGATATCAAGAAGACAGATGAACAAGTCGATGACGAAATCGAAAGAATCAACAAGTTGGAAAGACGGAAACGAGAAATAAAAATGAAATTACAGAATGAGAAACAGAACTTGGAAAATAGATATGAGGCGATTCAGAAAGAAACTAGAAAACTTAATGACGAACTCTTCAGAATTGAAAATAGTCTTAACGAAAATGGTGACTTGTCTAAAATTGAAGCATTGAAGATTCAAATTACAGAAGACGAAGCTCAAGCATCTCAGAAAGAGGGAATTTTAGAATCATTAAATGAAGATTTAGAGAAGGATCGTTCACAGTTCATTACTGTTAGAGAAAATATGAAAACACTTAAGCAAGAAATACAAGAAAAATTACAGTTGCAAGAGGATACCAAAAAGGCACTTGTCGAGTGTGAAATTGAACGATCGGCCATGCTTTCAGAAATTGAGCATTATAAAATGACTGTTTCCAAACGTCAAGATGCAATGGCTGTATGCCAAACTAAGATCAGTCAGGGCAACGAAAGACTAACTCCTCTTATTTCAGATGCAGAAAGTAAATGCCCTCGGAACCAAATTAATATAGCAAACGAGGATACTAATGAATCGATCAGCGCTGAATACGAAAAGGCTCAGGAGGCAGTAAAAGAAGCTGAGAAGTCGGTTGGCAGATCTTATCAGGAAATTCAGCAAGAATTATTGACGAACAAAGAGACTAAGGAGGTCTGTGAAGAAAGAGTAATAAATTTGGACAAAATATATCGATCATTATCAGATGATTTGAATAGTAGATTTAACTATTTACATACAACTATTCTCAAGAACATCAATGAAGCTTCTTCATCCTTTGAAAGGTCTTTGGCATTAAGAGGATTTAAAGGTGAATTAAAATTTGATTTTGGTGAGAAGAGTCTAACTATGCTTGTTCAAACTAAAGGTGACTTTAAAAAGAGAACAGTAGAATCATTGTCTGGTGGCGAAAAATCATTTACTCAAATAGCATTATTACTAGCAATTTGGAAAGTAATGGATTCCAAAGTACGTGGATTGGATGAATTCGATGTTTTTATGGACTCGGTGAATAGATCTATTAGTATTAAACTTTTATTAAGTGAATTGAGAAAGTATCCAAAGTCTCAATCAATTTTTATTACTCCTCAAGATATTGCGGTGGTAGGTGATTTGGATAGCAGAGATGTAAAGATCCATAAAATGAATGATCCAAGAAGTGATGGTTAATTTACGAAGACTATGTACAATGTTTATTTTCATATATAAAGTTAATGATAATAAAATAATTATAATCATGGAAGGAACAACTTCTAATCCCTCATGCGAACTAATTGAGAATACTTCGATTCATTTGCAGCTGAACATAAAATTTTCAACTTATTGAATTCTGTCTCATCCAAGAAAATCGTGATTGGATTATTAGGTGTAGACAATCGTAATAGATCATCCAAATAAACCAGTAACTTTTCCAAAGTAATACCTCGATATGATAACAAGGCTGTAATAAAAACCTCATGAAGTTTCATTGAATATATATTCAGGTTCGCTTTCTTATTGACATTATCCTGAAATAATTTTATTTCATGAATTAACTGGTATGTTCTTTCAGCTTCATTGGCTTGCATGTAATCATTATCGATAGCCAAATTCTTCAACCTATGTGTACATGCTTTGAATAGATAAATGAAGTCCTCCTCTCGAATAAGAACATTTGCATATACCTTATGATAAGTCTTGGGCAATTTAACTAACAACAGATATGCCTCATTTATATAACCTAACTCACATAAACAGGAGTTTATGAATGTATGTAGCATGAAATGACATCCTGTAATATAGTCCATAAGCGAATCAAGACGCTCTGGTCCTGAATTCTTCATCAAATGATTAATATTCGACTTTATTAAAGAGCGGAAATATGGCAAATCGCATATTCTTAATGAGCCTTCCACAACAGGGGTGTATGAGTGACCTGGATATGTATATACGTTTCTCTCTTCATCGGGCCTGAATAATTTCATATTCATTTCTTTTGAAGAAGCCTCTTCTTGAATATCTAAGGGTGTCTTTATTTCATCAGGAATGCGAGATACGGCATCATAATTGTTGTTCTTTATATTATCTCTCCTCCAACGAAAATGATTAAATGCAGACATTTTAGGCGTAGATATGTTGTCATTCTTGCTGTGGTTTTTATGACCTTTGAAAATAAAGGCAAGGGAACGAAAATGCTTTAGAGCCTCTCCCAAATTACCGTCGTTACTGTAAGCTTCTACAAGTGAGCATTTTAACGACTTGTAAGTATCAGCATGTCCGGAATACGAATAAAACCTTTTAAGGTAATTTAATAAACCTTTAATTCTCTCGGGGTCACGATTGTTCAGATATATCAGACCTAATGTCTCCAAGAATGAGTTTGCTACCAAAAAAGGAATGTGACTATTCTGGAAATTAATACCTGAGAATTCTTCAGAGCGAACTTGATGGTTATCTATAATTTCATGGTATACCAAGCATGAACCAAGGTAATGTCCCAATTCGCATGTCTTCGATAAATAGTACGACCACAATTCATTACTCAATTTAAAGTCAGGGACCTTGTCAAGAAGAATATGTAACAAAGTGGTAGCTGCGCTTATGTTCTCTTCTTGTACAAGGTTGAATATGAAAATCTCTAGTAAATGGATATTCAATTTGTGATGCAAGTTTTCGACTATGAATTGATAAATTTTGGAATGCTCAGTATTGTTATTACTGAGAAGTAATTGGAGTAATATATTATGCTTTAGACTATCTTTTGCCCCATCTTCGCTCAATTTTTCTAAGTACTCTTGTACATGTATATGGCAATGATTTGGAATGTTGGATAAGGCTTCAAGGAAATTATTCATAAGATAAGAATCACTGTTATCGATAGGTGCCGTAAAAAAAACACTATTTAGTATACCACTAATTGAATCACGGCTACGATCTTGCCTGAATTGGTTGAATCTAAGGTAATACTGTTCATATGTCTTATCGTTTCTATATTTCTCTGATTGGCATACCGCACTATATGACCTCGTTATATTTATTACTCGGGATTTTAGATGGATTTTTCTAAGATGCTTCGACCACATCACCTCCTAACTAAACCGGTGACTGTCTTTGTAAACTATATCCTTTGTTCTCAATGTGATAAGGCCACTGATTTAGAGTTGTACTTTATGATAGTGAAAAATTATTTAGTACCGTTCGAGATTATGTAATCACGATTATCACCAAAAATTTATTTGAAAAATTCTTCAAGTATCCAGAATCATAATACGGTAATTGTTTCATACAGAGATATACGCAAAATATGTTCAGGTCATGTATGGCTCGGTCACAGCGATCCATTAGAATACAAAATGCATTAAAACCAAATATTTTGTCTGTGACACCGGTTTTTCTCAAGCAAAATACAACTATTCGTTTCAATTCCACCAAGTCCAGTGAAATCGCTGATAAAGTATCTGAAATTAAGAATGAATTAACATCATTCGATCACGATGTAAACCCTACTGGATATATCAGTGATATGACTTCAGATCAATTAGGTTATTTAGACTCTATTGGATTAGCACAAGGGTATGGCCCAACTGCGCTTATTGAACGTTTATTAGAATATTCGCATGTTTATACTGGCTTACCATGGTGGGCCACTATTATATTGACAACTGCAGCAGTTAGATCTGTTATGTTCCCATTATACGTGAAAGCCTCTATTAACGGGGCTAAGATGGCTAAAATCAAGCCTGAATTGGATCAAGTTATGAAGGAGTTGAGAGAAGCAGAAAATCCACAGGAACAAGTCCAAGCTGCTCACAAAAGAAAGGCTTTAATGAAGGATAATGATGTGCATATGTCACACCAGATGTTTCCTGTGTTTCAATTACCAATTGCTTATGGGTTCTTCCAGGGTTTAAGAAAGATGGCTAATCACCCAGTTGAAGGTTTTTCCACTCAAGGTAATGCCTGGTTCGAAGATTTAACCCAAGTTGATCCTTACTGTGGATTACAAATTATATCTGCAGCTGTAGTTATAAGTATGGTAAGATTAGGGGGTGAAACAGGTGCAGCTGCTATGAATCCAATGATGAAGAAGGTTATGACTTATGTCCCAATTCTTTCTATATTCATTACTAAAGAACTTTCAGCAGCAGTTGTATTATATTTTGCCGCCAATGCTATCTTCTCGTTTATCCAAGCTTTGGTGTTGAGAAATAAATACTTCCGTAAGTTTGCAAAAATGCCACCAATAGTGCCTCCATCATCAATTCCTGGCGCTAAACAACCCCCAGCAACGGTCAGTGAATGGTGGAAAGAGTTCAATCAAAATATGAACCAAAACGTCGGAAAGAAAATGAAGGAGTCTAATACAAAATTAGGTGCAATCCATAAGAGAAAGAATGAAGTTAGTAATGGATTTATTAAGAAACATTAACTAGATTGTAAATAGTAAGCCGGAAAAACTGTTATTATAGTAATATATGCTCAAATATATACGTGAAAATGAAAGGATTCAAATCAGATATAAACTGTGTATTTCGTTATGTATAACTGAAGCAAAATGGGTGAACTGAAGGTAGAAAATAAATGATCGTGATGCACATATATTAAAATCACGACTTATGGTTCGTCTTGGAATACATAGTCATAGTTAGTAATTAATTTCTCTAAAATAGAATTCATGAAACCAAAGTTATTGATTAAACAATCCAAATTGCTTGCTTCAGTCAAGGCTGGTCCAATAACAGTAGCCAAGTTTGATGCGGTCATCTTATTATGCTCACTGAACCGTGAAACTTTTTGTAAATGTCTTAATAATAGTTTTAAAGTGTGGTAGTTCGTAGAAGGTAGGCTCTTTAATATCTGTTTATAATTTTCAATAACATTCGAATTGTCGGCTTTTTCTGGTGATTCTCTCTCTAAAATGAAAAAGCATTCGATAACCAGATCAATCAATAGCGCATCGGGTAGTTCTCTAAAATATGATTTGACACAACTTGCTAGGGTATGAGGATCGTATGCTCTATCACTAAAACTTATAGTTCCAGTTTTATCAATAATAGATTTAACATGATTCAACTCACTTACTGAAGAGCTGATTCTATAGATTCCAATATCCTTTAACCCTTCGTTCTCAATCTCTTCAAAAATTACTACCAAAAATTTGGGTACTGAAGATTGATCTCTGTTGCATACAACTTCAATTGGAATTCCAAATGTACTGAAAGCGTGGTTAGATTTAAGATTTAAATTCTTGGAATAAAACCAGTGCCTATTAGCATAATTTAGTTTCACTAACCAATCATTCAATTCACTCTCATTAGGTGCTTGAAAGAAAGAATCTTCATTTGGTGAATCAGAATCAATTTTAAAAGCAAATGGTAACGAATAAACCGGAAATATCTTCTTCCCTTTCAACGGTATAATTAAATACGGTTTCTGTTTAGGATCAGTATATGATTCAGGATTAGGCAATTCGTTAGAAGATATAATCCTTTCTGATGCACTTGATGCATTCAAAGAAAATGGCCTTGATTTTCCAAATATTCCACTGATTTTAAACCTCGAAGATGAATTTGATTTATAAGATAAGGATTGACGCCTTAAGCTGGAGCTCGATGACTTTTTCGATAACGTATGCATGGATGAAGTAGGATTAGTATTCAATGTATTTGAGCCACTGCCATCCCTTAAATGCTTCTTTTTATTATCTAATGTTAAAATCTTGTGTTGGTCATGTAAAACAGACCGGAATAGCTTGGATCTTTCTTGGCCAACAATAAAGTCCTTAATTTTTTGTGAATTAACTAGTGATTCGTCCAATTTCAATAAGAAATCAAACTCTCTGTTTTCATGACAATTGAATCCATTTGATTCTTGACCATCAATATCCTCAACACATAATTCTTTGATGATTTTGTAAATCAAATACCTCTTATTGAAGTTGATATTTTGTTTATGAAAGCTTGGACATTTATTTGCTTCAATTAAATTTTCAATTATCCAACCGAAGCAAGGTAACAAAGGCTCATTAATAGCCAAGCTAGCTTCGCTTATATTTGACGGTAATAACAGATTTATATCCTCAAATGCTGAATTCGTAGAATTTTCATTCAAACTCATTGAGGCTTTCATCCATAAACTTGCAAAGAGTCTACTTTCCGGTAAATAAATAACATTGGTAATAGCTGTTTCAATACAAGATGGAATGTTATCTTGATCACCCTCAAACACAAACTGATTGTCACTCATCTTCAATTTAGAAATTTTAAGCATTAGTAACAATGTTTTCATACGATCTAATCTTTCTTCAACAGTGATATTTAAATCAGCTAGTTGGATTAGCAAATAACTTCTAAACTTGAAGTATAATTTGAAAAGTTTTCGGAAAACTAGTGGGAATTGTTTCAAGATTAGTTGCTTCTCTTGGGGATCAGAAAGAGATTCAAAAAAGTTAAAAATATTTGAGACAATAAGGCTATCATCACTTGTAGAAGTCTTTTGAAGATTGAAGCCTAGCAATGAATTTTTTTCAAATTGATTTTCCAATATTTTATAAATTTTTATCCAGTCTTCCGTTTTTATTAACTTATAAAATGTAGTCAATAATTTGTTAAATTTATGCAAAAATTTTTCCACCTTGTTTAAATTTTTGTGCCCCGGTAGATTTCTATTAATGGGAACATCATGTAATGAATTACTAAATCGAAACTCTTTGATGAGATATTCGTCAAATTTCAGCATTTCAATTGGTCTGTAAGTCTTTTTAATAAATAATCTTTTCAATTTTTTGTAATAATTTACTAAATTTTCGAAAGCCTTTTCTAGTTGTGAATCAATCTTATTTGAATTATACCACTGCGAAATTTCATTGCTGAATAGTTTCAATAATTTAATAAATATTTTCTTATTAATCAAATCATTAACGAAGTTAGAGTAAAAATTATTAATCAAAACAATTAATACTTTCAAAATGTTTGTTTGAATTTCTAACAAAGCTTCATAATCAACGTTTCCTAATTCACTTATATTGACAGATGTATCGAGGTTCCAGTTAGGAAATTCACTTTGCAGCTCAATATCAACATTCCCATTTCTTATAAGATATAATTTTTTCATGATTGAAATAATCGCATTACTAGAATTAATGAATCTATGAGACAATTTATCCAAAAGCTCTTTAGTAGTTATGAAGGAATTATAATTCAACAAGAATACAAATCTGTATTCTGACAAGTTGATAGAAATATTCTCATTAAAATATTTTGCATCAATTAATAGTAAGTCAATTAATCTATCAATAGAAGCATATTTTGGAATGTAATTATTTTGTTGAGAAAATTTTGATGAATCACTCGAAATAAGACTATAATTTTTAGAATGCTTCTTTTTATTAATGTGTGTTTCTTCATTTTGTACTGCTGATGGATCCGGTTTATCATGTATATCAATATTGTTGAACTTGTCTGAATTTAAAATGTCATCTACGTCAATCCCTAAACCAGGCATTTCATCATCATCATCATCATCTTCTAAGCCCTGCAATGTCGACGAGTTGATAAATGATGATTCCAAATCAATTATAAAATCATCAACACGTAAAGTCAATTGATCATCAATTACAAAATTATGCTTGATTATCGAGGAATCTAGACTTTGGAATTTGGCCTTCTGTTCATTTGGACTGTTTTGCAAAAGCAAATCATCGTATTTTGCTAAAGCAATCTTAAAATAATTATTATTGAATGTTGGAATCTTAGATGCTCGATTATCACATAAAGATTGTTGTTGTGAGGGTAAAGAAATATTACTGTCGTTTGGCGCATTCAACGAGCTCAGTGAATCATTTGAGTGAATCGATATGCTCGAAATTGTGGCATTAAGACTATCTGAATTAGTGGATTGATTATCAGTAGGCAATTTTAGGTATGATTCTGGTAATTCAGGTTCCATCAATAATGACAACTTCATTATTTTCTCGAAGTTGGTAGAATCACAATTAACTTCAATCAATTTTAATAGCTTATTCTGCAAATCAGTATTGACATTGGAAGATGATGAATCATGGTACTTAGCAGGTAGCGGTTTAGTGTCATCACTATTGACCCCCAAATATAAGACCTGGTTTAGACTTTCATTGGAAAAAATAAATCCCATATTCTCATATCTTCTCAATACGTCGTCATTATACTTTATAATTTCATCATAGTTAGTTAAGCTTGACAAATACTCATTCCACCTATTAAAAGAATAATTAATCCTTTTCCATATAGATTCCAATTCGTGAATATCAGTAGAATGATTGTTCATGATTAAATCACCAAAGTACGGTATCACATTTTCTTTAGGGTAAATTTTCCCTAAACCTCTTGGTGCCATTATATGGTACGAATCTCTCGAAGAGAAATCATCAAATTTTAAATTTAGACTGTCAGAAGTTTTAGAAATTTGATCACTATTAATTGAGCCATTAACAAGAAATCTTCTGTCCAACTCAAACAAAACAGGCGACCAATCATTTTTTAATAATCTGATATAATCTGGTGAAACAAGATACCAGATTCTAGTTAGTCTCAATGTTGGTTGTGATAAAATAATTGACGCAATACCAAGCCATGACGACATATTTCCAGATTTCTCTAGAAAACAACCTAAGTCGATCCATTTCTCAAGCAATCTTGCTTTTCTCTCTAGGAAATTATTATTTTTAGCACTGATATTTTCAATGAATAAATGGTTTACTAGTAATCGTGACAAATAGTGAATATGATGGTCATTATCAAAAATTAATGGATTTTTTTTGTAAAAAAAGTCTTGTGTGCTGTTGTCCTTGAGCGATGAATATAACAACAATGATTTATCAATATTTGAATTCCAATTCTTGAAAAATTTAAGATCTATAAAATTGATTGTCTTGGAAAAATCGATTAAATTGATATCATTAATAAATACATTGGAATTCAAATCTTGGAAAGGATTTTCAGATGGTAAATCATACGTTACCAGTTCTATTATAGAATTTTGCTTTGCTACTAAGTTAGCCTTGAAGACTTGTATCTTATGCACGTTATCATCGTGCTGCAAGTTACCAGATAACACTTCAATTATTTTCAAAATAATAGGGTAGATTTCGTAACGAACTAAGAATCCTTGAAAATTATCTTGTATGTTGGACAATAATCGTAATAATCTGTCTGTTATTATTAATTCATTAAATTCTCCTTGAAGCTTGGAGTCAAACAAGTTTGACAAAAACGATAAAACCAACCTTGCGACTACTCCAAAGTCAGGAAACAACGGCAAAGTCTCTATCAATTGGTCGATGGATATATTATATGAGGGGTGGGTTTGAAATAATAAAAAGTGCACGAATGCCTCGATGGACGAGCCTGGCAAAAATTGGCGTCTTTCGAAATCATACTTCAATTCCGGGTGTGCCATGTCTATCCTGTAGTAAATTAATTGCGGGACGTCATCCAGAGTACCCTCCTGCGCTACAGACTGTTCCAGCACCCCCGATTCATTATTATGGTTAAACATGTCCGACTGTTGATCAGCACCTTCTGTCGCGTCGGTAAGTTGAAACCGTCTGGCGTTCAAGACCGTTGGTTTGTATAAGTACATATGAGACCCCTTCAATTCTGCTCTATACACCCTCAACATGTTTTCGCTCATATCATGCACAGAACTGGCTCCTATCGTCGCATTTAGCCATGCGTTTTTTACTATGTTCTGGTCGTAGTCGTTCTTTGCGAGCGTTGACACTGATCTCACCGAATTCTTGGTTCCTACTGTATGATCTGATTCCGCTGAACTTTCAGGTATGCTTCCAATGGTCGAATTTGCCAACGTCGACATATCGTCTACTCCATCGCTTTCTCCGTGCCCGCCGTTAGGCTTTTCGTGTTCTTGTTGTTCATTGCTGGAATATATCAGCATAAAACTCTTTCTTTTATCCCGTTCTTTTCTCTGACTCCAGATCTTTCTCATATTTTCTATCTACTGTTCGATTGTAGGATATCCTCCTATTATGGTCTTCAAATAATTGTATGTTTAGAAAGAAACAGTTGTGTTGATTCGGGTTGCGCTGATTAAATTTTGAGAAAATTTTGATACCGCGTATTGCCTAAGGAGGCTATTAACGTTGACGAAGAGAAATATGTACCGAAATTACAGTTATTGTCTATAAACGTTGATGCAATCAACATTATACGATGCAGTGGATGTTAGAGACATATATAGAAGTAGCGATGGTTACGATTTGATCATTAAATAATGCAGTGACTACGAAGTTGGACTACGAAGTTGGTGCTTAGTGTTACGAATTTAGTCTTTTGGCCTATAGTACCATAACTAATGACACGACTAGATAATTGTTAGTTAATTGATATGTATACCCAGTAAAAATGAAATAAAGCTGTCTATATAGAATGTTTGTACGTCAGATATTGTTGCTCAAATTTCACCACTAAATTTCACTGCTTAGTAAAGACTTTGTTTTTGCTAGGGTTTTCTCTGATAACGTAAGGTACATGGCATAGGGACTCACGAGCGAATAACCAGGCCGACATTGTTATTCAATTTCAATTTGTATGTCGCATTGTTACGTCAAGCTAGGACTCGTGCATTAAGCTACTCATTCTGGTGCTCGGGAATGGGGGACTTTGCTTGTGCCTGAAACCAGGATGGAGAGTGCGTCAGAATATCGTTTACACCAAGGGAAACACGGTCTGTAAATAGAGGATGTTTCATCGCCAATAAGTGTAGTACGACGTTTTGAAGGCTTGCGAAATCATCCCACGAAACGAGATTCGATCGATTGCAAAATCTGATGGAACTCTTATACTACTTTTAAAAAACATTATACGTATTAAAACAAGTAAACTAGAAGCACATTGAGGTGAGATAGACTAAAAAATCTTCAAACAGCTTCATGGATTCCAGCCAATACAATTGCATACTAATGAAGAGGTGAAATTCATGGTTCATGGTGAATAGCAGTCGGGTAAGAGGTTGTGCGACTATCTGCAGGGAAATATGAAAAATTCAAGTCTTTGGTACTAAATATGTAGCTTATGGCATCTTCAAGAATGTGGATTAATAGAGCTAGAAGATGTGTTGTCCGTAGACGTGGAGTGAGTATCAGTGGTAGATTTATAAGTACCAGCGAAAATGAGACAGTGAATTATGCTAATAGAAAGAATATAATCGAACAAAAGCCTCATGGGTACTATCCACCGATTGATACAATCAGACCCAATGACGCTAAACGTGCCCGTATACCGATCTTTAGACAGTCTTTTGAGACAGTTGATTTTCTTCAGTATCCTAATAAGCGGTATCCCGAGCTATACAATATCGAAGGTAAGATTATAAGTATACGGAAATCGGGGAAAGCGATGTACTTCATTGATTTAGTTCAAGACGGAGCAAAAGTGCAAATAATGGCCAGTAATAAGCTCATGCAAATGTCAGCTCAAGAATTTGATGATGCTCATGCATTTTTTAGAAAAGGTGACTTTATTTCTTGTGTCGGGTATCCTTCTGTCACCAACGTAGGTGAATTATCGTTGAAGCTATGCAGATCCATCAAGTTGGCATCACCATGCTTGAATCTGATGACTATTCCAGACAAGATCAAAGATAGGGGTCTTATAAATAGTAACCGTGTTTTGAATTATTTGGTCAACAGTGATCTGAAACAAAGGTTAATGATAAAATCCATTGTCATTCAGGCAATCAGACAGTTTTTCGTGAAAAGAGACTTCATGGAAGTTCAGACACCTATTCTTGGTGGTTACGGAACGGGGGCAAATGCAGAACCATTCAGAACTGTTCTGAACGCTTTGAAATCCACTGGGGATGGCAGCAACAAATATTTGCAGTTGAGAGTTGCGCCTGAACTTTGGTTAAAGAAATTGGTCATAAGTGGATTCGATAAGATCTTTGAAATAGGCCAAAATTTTAGAAACGAAGGAATTGACCTGACGCATAACCCTGAATTTACTACTTGCGAGTTTTATCAATCATTTACGAACTTGAATGAATTGATGATTCTCACTGAAGAGCTATTCAAGGAGATCCTTGACACTTTAAAAGAAAGAAAGCTATCATTGGTTCAAAAGCAATTGCCTTCGCTTTCGGCATTTGCCAGTGGTAGTTTTCCAAAGTACGAATTCATCCCTACATTAGAACTGAAGACTGGGATTCCATTACCAAGCCAATTGACCGCAGAAAGCTTAATTGAATATCATAAAAAGATAGGGCTTGAAGTTCCAGCATTGAAATCTCCCTCGAATCTCCTTGATAACCTCTCATCAATCTACTTGGAGTCAATTTCTCAGGATACAAAAACTCCCATTTTCATCTACAACCAACCTTCACTTTTATCACCTTTAGCCAAGTCAGCAATAATCAACTATGGCTCCAGGAGCTATGATATATCCTTGCGATTCGAATTATTCATACAAGGTAAAGAATATGTTAATTCCTATGAAGAAGAAAATTCTCCGTTTGAACAATCTAATAAGTTTAAACTACAACAGCTGGCTAAAACACAGTTTAATGATAATGAAATGATTATTCCTGATTGGGAATATATAAAACTGATGGAATATGGTTTACCTCCTACTGGTGGATGGGGATGCGGAATCGATCGTTTGTGTATGCTCTTCTCCGGAAGCGAAAGAATCGAGGATGTTCTTTCTTTTGGCAATATTAGAGACGTCGTTAGACAGTAAGTGTATATATATCTCGACCACTTGCTACATATTATTGTATATATAAAGCGTATATTTGTTCCTATTGTATTGTATTTTTGAACTCGAAATTTTTTTTTTCACTCGTCACCAAATTGAGATCGATATTTTTGAACTAATTCAGGACTGATAACAGTAGATCAGAACATTTTTAAATATAGCAATAGGAATAGGCTATACAGAGGATGGATTTTTATCAAAGAGAAGAGATCGATGGGGTTAGGTTTTCTTGGAATTGTGTTCCAAGGACAAAATTACAGCACCAGAGAAATGTTATTCCATTAGCCTCCATGTATACGCCGTTAAATAACAAATCCAGTATTCCAGTCGCTCCTGCAAATGATATGGTTGTTTGCCGTCAATGTCGGTCATTCATAAATCCATATGTAACAATGACAGAACAACAACCTGATGTTTGGTATTGTCAGTTTTGTCAGTTTGCTAATAGATTGGGTCAAAACCAAATGGCACCATCAGGTTTAAGTCCTGAGTGCTCAACTATCGAGTATTCTACCGGGAGAATGAGTAAGTTTCCACCGATTTTTTTTTATGTCGTTGATACATGTTTCGTGGATGAAGATTTGGAAGATGCATATAAATCGTTGAAGGAATCGTTGGTTATTTCGTTATCATTATTACCAGAGAATTCCTTAGTTGGGTTCGTTTCCTTCGGAAAAAATGTACACATTCACGATTTGTCGTCAGAGGGAATAGGCAAACAGCACACGTTTAACGGTGGTAAGGAATATACTTTAGAGCAAGTTCAAAAGTCATTGGGCCTATTAGCTTCCGGATTACGCTCACAAAATAACCAAAACTCCCAACATGATCCAATAAATGAACTTTTAGGGCCAATTGGTAGAAAATTTTTGCAACCTGTCAGTATGGTTGAATATCAATTGACATCAATCATCGAAAATTTGGTGTCAAATAGATTTCCATATCCAGCAATGAAAGAAAGAGCTAGTCGCGCTACCGGATCTGCTTTAAATATAGCTTCATTGTTATTGTCAGCAATATTAGGTGATAGTGGTACTACTGGGGGTCATATTTTGTGCTTTGTCGGCGGTGTTTGTACGTTTGGACCCGGAAGAATTGCTAGCACCCAATTGAAAGAGCCTATAAGATCACATAAGGATATAGAGAAGGCACATCAGACATTGCCATCTGTTCCAATAAATGGATCTAATTCTAAGCCTGATATATCTTTAGTGAAGAGTGCTAAGAAGTTCTACGAGAAGGTTACCAAACTGTTAGTAACTATGGGATTAAGTTGTAATATCTTTATTGGAAGTTATGACCAAATTGGTCTCTATGAAATGGATGAAATTTGTTATAAAACTGGTGGTGTTGTAGTGATGAGTGATTCTTTCAATACTGCAATTTTTAAGCAAAGTTTTATTAAATTTTTCAACAAGCAACAGGAAGATAATTCTGAGTATTTGGATATGGCATTCAACGCAACTTTAGAATGTCGTACTACGTTGGATTTACAAATCCAAGGGTTAGTCGGGAATGCCACAAAATTACCTTACAGGAAGGATAACCGATACATTGAACCAATTATTTCTAAAGTAAGTATTGGTGAAGGAAATACAAATACTTGGAAATTATGTAACTCTAATCCTCAATCGACTTATGCAATTTATTTCGATAAACTCGACTCACCATCAATAGGATTTAGCTATGTGCAATATTTATTCCACTATCAACACCCATCTGGTGAGTTGAGATTAAGAGTCACAACCGTTCCAGTTACTGTTATTGCTGATACTGATATAACAAACTTAGAATTAGGGTTTGACCAAGAAGCATCCATCGTGCTTATTGCAAGAGAATCAATTAACAAATTGCAGCCTATTCATGAAAATTCAGATAAGTCTCATTATGACCCATCTGATGTTTTGAAGCACTTAGACAAACTGCTTATTGATTACTGTACGAGGTATGCTGTATACACTAAGGGTATGCTTGAATCGTTTCGTTTATCTGCCGCGTTTGCATTATTTCCACAATTCATGTACTACTTAAGGAGGTCTCCATTCATACGAGTTTTCAACAATTCGCCAGATGAAACATCATTCGTAAGACATATATTTATGCATGAAGATGTGGGAAATTCGTTGATCATGATACAGCCTACATTATTGTCATATGATGTTGATACTTTTGGTGCCATTGACGAAGAGACTGGCGAGGCGAACACAGAACCAGAACCCGTTTTATTAGATTCATTATCCCTTGGCCCAAGTAAGGTATTGTTATTAGATACTTTCTTCCATATATTGATCTACCATGGCTCCAAGGTGGCTCAATGGCGTAAGGCTGGTTACCATACTATGGAAGGATACGAACATTTCAAGGAATTCTTAGAGGCACCTAAGCGAGAAGCCATGGAAATATTAATTGACAGATTTCCACTTCCTAGGTTCATTGACTGTGATGAAGGTGGATCTCAAGCTAGATTTTTAATGGCCAACTTAAATCCGTCAACTAGCTATGCATCTAACCCAAATAACATGTATGGGGGTCAATTAGATGTTTTGACTGATGATACAAATTTACAGCTGTTCATGGATCATGTTCAAAAAGTTATTATCATGAAGAAATAATTTTAATGATATCAACTCTGTACACTTAATAATAGACGTATAAATATGTCCAATACACAAAATGAATAATTAAATTTTTCGATTTGTAAAACTTTTCAATATATCTAGACAAGTAGTTTAGTATCTCAGAAATTTCTGAGAAATACTAGCCTTTGCTATTAACCTTACTATTAACGATGAAGAGAAAGTGGGTATCAAATGATATTGAAAAAATCTCGGAGGAAGTATGTACGAATCAATCATTTCTGATTTTGCAAATCCCCACATTGAAAGTACAGAAGTATAAAGCTCCACAGTTGAGCAAATTACAAGTCCCACCGACATTAGAGCTGGTTTCAGAATCCCCAAAGGTTACTGCTTGGGTGAGTGATTTATTACATTCCATGGCAAATCTGAGAGACGAGATAAAATTCGATGACCAAAATGGATCATGTACAAATGGAAATAATGGAGTCAAAGTGTTGATATTTTTGGGTGCAATGGGAAAAGAGTATATTACCTCTATCAGAGAACAATTAGAATGTTATGAGGACTCGTTGTTTTTCATTTCTTCTAGCTTGTTAGATTCGTGTGATGCTGCTCATCACTCTGATGACCAACAGTGTTTGCAATTATCGACATATTTCGAATTAATCGACCCTTTAGGAGGAGGAGCATACCCCTTAGATTACTTGGTAGTAGTTGACTCTCACGATAGCATAAGATGTAAAATTCCTATACGAATATGTCGTAACAACTTTCATAGTCCACATGAAAAATTTGGCGTTGACTTGGAAAGACTTCCAAGCTTGATTGAAGAGTATATGCAGCATTTTATGTCTATTCTGGCAATAACATATTAATCCTTTGTTACGTACACACTCTATATATATGGTCTAATATACATAATATCTATTGTAATAGTGCTAGCCTTTCCTGCTCCAAATCCTTGTATTGGTCTCTTTGGTTCTCAATTTCTTCTCTTACTTTGTTAATATACACATCCAATCTAGCCAACTCGTCGATTTCGTCAGGTCTCACATATTCTTGATCTCTCTTGGATTCATCAGATAGCTTATAAGGCAATAAATTCAGTGGCTTTTGCGTTAATATCTCGAAAACCTTCTCGGTGGGTTCTTGGAAAACTAATTCATCATATAATACAGAATGCACTTCACCATTCTCTTTTGGTGGATGCTGAGGGTTGAAAGGATGTAACTTAAGACCATGGAATATTTGAAAGTTCTTTTCGTTGATTCCCAACTCTGCTCCTGAGTGGAAATGCAATTTTATTATTATTTCGAACTCCCCCCACCCAGTCTCTGTAACTTGATATGGTGGCTTTTCGATCGATCGTACATGTGTGTCATACGTCTCATGTAGCTTGAATGTGACTTTTTTGATTAATGGAGTCAAATCTATGTTATCAAGAACTGGTTTGAAAAAAACTGTCCATTCATGTGTATGGTCTGGTGGTGTTTTTTCCGTTCTTTTTTCTGGAGCAAGGCGGACAGAATGATTTCCATAAAGTACTGGAACAGCAATGGATACGTTTTTTATTCTTTTAGAGCTATAACTCATATTATATGTGCCTAAATAAAGGAATAAACAAGCCTAAGTGGAACTTTCGATTATTAAATCTGTTGATAATTTGAGAGTGCGTGGATTTCACGAGCTCACTAAGTAAAGAAGATGTGAACAGTAATAAAGTATTTATAATTATTATTATTATATTGAACAGCTATACATGGTAATATTATGCTCGTAGATATATATATTTGTATTAATAACCCGCAATGTTCTCATTGAAAAAAAAAGGCCCCGACATCTAATATATAATCAGATTTGCTTAACAGCAGCAGATGTGGCCGATGTAACCAGAGCCAAGTTGTTGACTTCAGGAATGTCTTCATATTTATTTTCTTTACGAATCAAAATGGCTCTCAATCTGCTTTCTTGTTCCATAGTCTTATGTAAGTTTCTGAAATGAATGAAGAAAAGAAGAGTAAAGACACCACCGACAATTGCTAAAGCTGCGAAATACCAGACTAAGTTTGGATCTTTCAATGCAGGACTGATAGCATCACCAATAGCGGCAGCAATGGCAGTTGCAAGTAAGAACAAAGCTTGGACAACACCTTTCATGTGAGGAGGAGCTCTAGTGTAACCTAATTCATAACCAGAAGTGTTACCGAAACATTCAGCAGCAGCAGATAAAACGTATGGAGTCACCAGGACCCAAGCACTAAATGGTGCTACAATTCCCTTGTCAACACATTCTGTGGCATGGTCCCCACATTCGATTTGACTGTAGATTTCTTTTTGGATGATTGCAGCTGCTACCTGAGACAAAGCTGCTAATAAGAAACCAAGGGTAATTCTATATACCGGTTTAAAGTCAATCTTCCATCTACGCAATAAAGGATAAATACCGTAATCCAAAATTGGAATAAGCGCAATGATAGTGATTGGATTGAAGTTACTGTACATATCATTAGGAGTACCATCACTTGTCAAAGATCCCGATTGAGCAGTTAAAGCTGGAGTTGCACCGGTACCACCAGCATCACAAAGGTTGAAAATCACGAAATACAGGAAAACTTTACAAATATTAACAACTTGCTTGACATCTAAAACCCATTGGTCAGTCCAAGTAATAGGACTCTTCTTCTTTGCAACGAAGTATTCTTCACCTCTTGCTTTCATGCTAGTTGGAGTTGGGTAATCCCAGAAGGTTTTGTTCTTTAATCTCCTAATCCAGTTTCCTCTGAACAGGACTCTGATGATCTTGTTAGTATTGACAAGAACTGAGCCTTGAAGTTCTTCCTTCTTAAGTCTAGGACGCACGAACCAAAACACAAATGGCATAATAAGGTAGATAATGATTGGAATAAAGAAAGCGAACCAAAATCCGATTCTTTGTTCGATGTAAACACTTGGTATTGGGAAAAGAGCACCGACATTGATGGACCAGTAGAAAACCAAGACCATTCTTTCCAAAGACTTTTGACGGTCCACAATGACCTTTTCTCCAGATGGTAAAGTTTTAACGACGTCTGTTTGTTCTGGGTATTGATCCATCAAGAGTGGTAATAAATTAGGTTTAATGAAACCAGTACCAAAAGCCAACGTAATAATACCTAAAACAGTAGGAACAATACCATGACCCCCTTCAATAACAGATGGTGCAGCAGCCACAACAAGTAAAATATGGGCAACAAAACCACAGATAACACCAATCCAGATAGCTCTGAACTTACCAATTTGCGAATCAGCAACATAACCAGCGTATAAAGGCACAAGGTATGCCACGAATGTCAAAGTATAAGTAATGGCAGTTGCAACTGGCACACCTAAACCCAAGGCACCAGGATTAACACTACCAGGCATAAGCTTACCAGTGGAACTTCCTTCAGGTAATTTGTTGGTAACAAAGTTACTTAAAAGAGTCTGACATGAATAGTAAGAGGCTCTTTCAGCAAACTCAGCAACACAAAGCAAATAACAAGCCCAGTTAGCACTACCCAAAACTCTTCTCAAAGAAGAAGCTTCTTGTTTGGTAGGCTTTCTCAAACCCATAGGGTTGTGATCATCCACAAAGTTGGTTGAGTAGTTGTTGGTATCGTCAAAATCGTAGATACGTTCATCTTCAAACTCTTCGTTCGATGCGACCGAGCTCGCATCGAGATGAGTGTCCACGACATCATGTTCTGCCGTCTCATCGACGCTGTATTCGTCCTTCACTGGGTCTTTCTCACTAACTTCCTTTATGTTAGACATATTTACTTTGAAAAACTCCTAATCCAAGATCAACTTAAACATATTATTTTCAAGATAATGCTTTATATTTTAAATCCAAAACTGTGGAGATAATCAGTAGAGCCATTCGACAAACGGCAAATGCGAAAGGTGATAAGCTCGTATCTCTCACGGCGTTCGACACAAAATACGAAAGAGAGGGTTATCTTTCATTTCTTAATCAAGTTATATCCATCGGATAATGGGGAAAAAGATCGGCGAACCTAACTCTAAAACTTCTTTACAAATTGCCTTGCATAACACTTTTCTATTATACCTGATTGGCCTTCCTAACTTATCGGAACTGTCACACATGCGAAATATCGCAGTCAACAAATATTTTTTTCGCCAGTGCCGCATCATGTTCCAGAACATAATTTAGCATACTTCCAGTGCACCCTTTAAGGCACCCTTTAGTGCGACCTTCAGATCTTCCTGTAGATCATCTTCACACCATGTTACAGTTCGTTTATTGTCATTTTTATTGTACCAATTGTGGCTAACATTCGTGATGACGGCGTTCTTTCTTTACTTCGAATTTGTTTTAGTGACCGACGTATATTAGTTGTCTCATCTATCATTAATCTCTTCCAAGGCGCTAACAATCACGTCAGTAGTTGACATATCATAATTTGATTATATCCCCTTCGTAAATTTCCATGACTTGCAATATTGCAGATAAACTCCTATTATTGCAAATGGAGATAAGCATATATACTATTGCAAGTGAGATAAGCGTGTGTAGTATTGCAAATGGAGATAAGCGTGTGTAGTATTGCAAGTGAGATAGGCATATACAGATACATTAAGGTATCAATAATTTAAAATATCAATATTAAAGGAAAAATTAACGTAGGCGCTATATATAATATAGAGATTAATTGTGGTGTTAAATTGAAGTTATCAGTCATCAGTGACTCACTCAAATCGCGAATGCGGTGTTAATTTTAAAGTAATACAGCTAGTGTATCGAATTATACTACGGTATGAAGACATAGTTATACATTGATCGATAATTGAATATCTATAGTAGTCCATTATTGGTTATTTTCACCCCTCGATAGTCAAATGAGGGCAAGAAATGCCTCAGATGTATCTAATGTAGATTTGATCCGTGAATTGAGAGGCGGGCCAATCTCAGAAAATGTGGGGTTTAATCTCTTTCGCTCTTTGGACCTGAACTCTTGATATGCTAATACTAATAAAAGAAACCATCTCACTATCAGGAGCAAAATGCCGTACTATTTCTGAAAGTTACATAAGTAACACTAAAACAAACCATGTTACATTTGAAAGTCTTGTAGCATAAATCCGAAGAAAGTTTACTTGATGCTTCGATCACACGTGAAATGAGGAAAGAAACGTTACGAAGCGATTAGCCGATAAAATACGAAAATTAGAGTATTAACGAATAGAAAACAGATTATATATACATATATACATAGTGCTAAAGTTCTATATGCAGCCTAGCTAGGCATTAATGGTTTCCATTCCGACATTGTCTTGCCATTACCGTCGGACGAGGCACTTCTTGCCGACGAAGCGGGCGTTGAGTTTGGAACATCCGATGCAGATGTAGCTTCCAGCGATGACGGCTTAGTCTTAGACGAGGCCAACGACGCTGGTTTGATAGGAACAATCGGATTGAGCTTTGGGTGTTCTAGATCCACATTTCCTGTTGTAGCTGGTGAAGATACGGGAGAGCCCCTAGATGGCGTGGCAGAGTTGGATCTGCTCGAGATAAGAGGAGTCGTGGAGAATCCAATTGGCGGTTTGACGGGATTAGCCGTTTTCCTTGATGGAGGCGGCGGTGGGGGCGTAGATGCAGATGCAGATGGGGTACGCAGCAATGGATTCGATATGGATTTGGAAGGACTAGGAACGAGTGCTTCTTGATCATATGGAACCGGTGGTAGTTTTCTTGGAAACCCACTTGAAGTTGATTTTGATTGTTCCAGCGAGACTTGTTTTCTGCTCATTGGTGGTGGTGGAATTCTTTTTGGCAAAGTATTACTACGGCCGATAGGGCGAGCTGGCAATTTTGGTACATTTACATCAGCATCATCAAGAAGGTTCATTTCAGATAAAGTATCTACGGAAAAGCTAGAATCAGAATTCAACGACGAAGGTTTTGAAGACAGAGTCATGCTATCTGACAATTCCAATAATGATACTTCACCTATATCTCCATGCTCTTTTTTGTAAGTATCGTATAAATGTTTTGAAAGCTTAATTTTCATTTCTTCGTCCACAAATTTGACTCTACTTTTGAGTGTCGAATACACCGGTTTGTGGTCACTTGCAAGTATATCCATACATGAGTTATAATTTAATTGTTTTAATGGATCGGTACCCTTGGATGACATGTACAAGACTCTGTCCGTCCACGATGGTATTCTTTGCTTCTCAGACGAGTCATAGTTCGAAGTCCCCTTGTCAAACTTGTATGTAGGATAGAACTTAACAGCACCTTCTTTGAATCCGTAGAAAGCCCCTTTCTTAGTCATTTCGTGATTTAATTGATCCATCGCAGTTAATTCATCAAATGCTCCATTTTCAATAAAGTACCGGCATTGTTCATTAGGTAATGACACACGATAATTCAAGTCTCCAAACCAAATAATATGGTCATGGTCTTTGATAGTAAAATTTCTTGTAAATGTTAAACCAGACATAATGGTCATATAGTCATTATATCTTTCAACTAAGGCTGTTGTACCTGCAGCCAAATGAGACGTTATCAATACAAATGAAGTCAGACCGAACTCGAATCTAACACCACAAGCACCCTTGTTGGCAGCAATACCACCCAATCCAGTCTTCTTGGATGATCCAGCTACCTGTGTTACTTTATGAACTTGACTCTTTTTAACAAACAAAAAGAGCGACATCGATGCAATGGATTCAGCTCTCAATAACAAGTATGGTTCCGCCTGAGAATTTAACTGTGTCTCCAACAATTTCGCCCATAATGATGGCTTGGACGAGTCAGAACTTAAAATAGATCCCGCATTCAATTCTATAACTTCTTGTAAACCAATCGCATAGACATCTGGAAGTTCCATTCCAGTATTTTCTGGCGGGAAGAGAAAGCTGCTTAGATCAAGCTTACTATGCGGTGCTGCAGCATTGACATTGAAAGTACCAACGAAAATATTTATGTCATTCCAGGTTGTAAATGAGCTGGCTTCTGCATGCAACTTCTCCTGAACAAATTCGTTGATTGGATCATATATTCTCACGGGTGATGAGTTTTGCGCATCATAACCTAATAACAAATCCATAGTAGATTGCTTTTTAGAGTCCATAAAAGTATTCTGGTACATTCTAGAGACAGATTTGGTTACGTCAGAAAGAGCACCTGCAAAATTCATCTTACCTGATCTCGAAAATGAGGATTTTAAAGCATTTGTTCCCGTATAAATTTGTGATATAGCATCACCGTGATCAGCCCATAAAGTATTGTGCTTATTAACAAGATCATCAACGGCGTATCGTTCTTGGAGATTACCCTCACGAGTTCCGCGCTGATTCTGTAAAGTATGTTCCAAAATGCTTTGACAAATCACTTGTTGAATCAAATTGGTACGATCCAAACAGTCTAAACAATTAGTACGGAAAACACCATCTTGCCTGGTTACGGTTTCACCTTGGGCTGTATCGTAAACAAACCATCCAAAATTTTCCATAGAATCGTAAAGCATGGGTAAGATTTTCGTTGCACCTGCAAAACCACCACTCAGTTGCTTCGTTTCATGATGGAAATCAAACTCACTGAATGCCATTTCATCTCTGTGATCAGATCCGCTATATAATTGTTTGTAACGACGCAGGACTTGAACCTCTGCAGGTTTAGTCTTAGATAACAAATTAATAATATGACACACTCCGTACTTTTGACATATTTCAGTAAAATGTTTATTAAAAATTGGTTGCGTAGCCTCAAGCGATCTTGTGAGAGTAATCTTTGGGTTAATTAAAGTCAGATCCTGCTCCCAAAATGTCGGTACAGACCCTCTGATCTGAGTAAACGCAGAAATTTGCTCATGAGTAGGCTGATTGAAAATAAACTCAGTTTCAACGAAATTGGCCACGTTACCATTATCATCTATACCACGGGCATTGAATCTTGTACCAGCCCTTTTCCACGATTGCTTGGATATAATAGTCATACTTTCGCCCGACGAGTTCAAATTGACCGTTTTAGCAAACCCTCTAATAACTGTAGTTAAAAACCTATTGTCATCCAAGATGGCTTGCACGTACGAATCTAACTTGGATCTAAACTCGAATATCTCGCACATCATAAATGAATTCCACATATATTTCTCCAGATAGTGTTCGAGGTTGATTTTTCTCACACCTTTCTTTTCGTGGTGTAGTCTGGCGTTCTGGATACCTCTATTCTGGATTAGAGACGTCAAATCAAAATCATTGGAGTAATAAAACGACCCGTTCGATAAAAGCTTCTGCATTTCATGGCAAGGATGGGCCTCTCTAATATAATTATTTTCCGCCTCAAATTCGTCTGCAGTTGCTGCCATTGGAAGTCCCGTTGAGTCAAGACTCACAAAATCCCATTCATCACTCGATAATGAAAGAAAATCCACCGAATAAATCTTATCCACCGACTCATATTCCACTGGATGGGCAACGTCGGTGATTGCTCCCGTAATTACCGCCAAAAATGCCTTCTTATCAATGCTAATAAGCCCCAAACATCCAAATACCTCTTTTTTCAACAAAGTTCGAAATCCGTTCTCTTGGGTAATTTGATCGTTGGGTAACAATTCAACTGCCACGGCCGATTCCCTAGGCAAGTGTTTGGATTTACTGCTATGTAATTCCTGAAAGCATAGCGAATGTGTATCCGAGCGAATACAAATTGTACGAGGGTTTTCTTTATAAACCACCCTCATTATGCATTAATTTGCGGTTCCGTATGAGATATTCAATAAGATACTTCCAAAAGTTACTAGACGTAACTGATTGATAAATTGAAAGGACTGGAGTTTCGTGTCTAACCTGTAAAATGATTCGATCCAAGCGAGTTACAGGTTAGCTATTCTACTCTCTTTTGCCCCTATTAGTTGCTGCTAGAGTGAAGAATATGGCTTATTATGAGTCTAGGAGTATCAATGAAGTACGCAGAGGTTTCTTTTTGACATATTCAAGACAAAAAGGCTTACAAATTTGTTCATCTTGGTGTGTCGTAAGCATAGCACAATCGTACGAAAACGTCGCGAGACCCCATGGAACATACCCATTTTACGTCGAAACAGCTAAAACAGGCTATAGAGAAGCGTATATAATTCATTTTCTTAAAGAAGTATCTTACAATTGATCTAGATTATTCGTACACTCAAAATGAGTCTGGCAATTGGCATTATTGGAGGGGATTTGTTGTTTGTGATTTTTGGTGGGTGTATGGTCTTTTTGCGGCTCAGTGCAACCTATACCGAACATGAAAATAGTATCAAACCACAGAAACAACATACTATACGAATATATTGTATATTTGGGACGGGGTATTCCTTTTATAATAAATAGAAAGTTTATTGGATATACTTCATTCGTAGTGGTGGTTGGATTTATTATCTGGTAATTGGTCATCATTCAAGTCCACAATAAGTCCAATGGATCCAAAATAAGATCATTTTGGTCCACCATAAGTCCATTTTTCTCGGCATAAAGTTGTAGAAATCCTCTCCCCAATAATACTTCTCCATAATGTATTCTGATAGGGTAGACTCTATTCCCAATGCCTTGTGACAGAAAATAGTGGAAATTGTATTTATGGCCCGATTACATAATCGAGGTACTAATTTTCATGAAAAAGTTCAACGAAGCCTACAGTGTACAGCATTTATATTGTTCATTTGTGAAGAAATATAACAATAAAGTATTAATTGACGTAAAATGGCATCTCCAAACTACCAAATTACCTTATCGGACGAATCAAAGGAAAGAATTACCAAGGTTTTAGAATACTCCAAGACTATTGCTCACTACGGATTCATCCCATTTGTTTTATACTTGGGATGGTCAGCCACCCCAAACAGACCATCATTATTCAACTTGTTGAGTCCTTTCCCATCTGCTTAAGGGGATGAGTCTAGCGGGTGCTAGCACGAGCTGACGCAAGCGGACAAGAAGCTGTGCTGGTATGAATGAGCACGGGTGGAGCCACGGCAATTAATGCATGGACCATTAGGTGTATCATGGGTCGTAGGATGGTTATTGTGATTGCTTGTGCATTAGAGGTTCTGTGCGTACATTTTCTAATGGCGAGGACCCCTTGTTTGTGTATGGCTGATTATGTATATAGTTTGTTCATGAAATGAAAGTTATTCTATTTTATAGTTCTTTGTAGAGAAGTTATCGAGAAGCTTTAGAACTAGCGCGAGTGATGTTGTTGTACTGAGGTCCTTACACGGAGTATATTGAACATTTGAAGGGGGTTGCACTGGCATCTGAATAATGGTCCCGATTCTTGATGTTTGAGTCTGCGCATTTTTCAGATCAAGATGAGCTTAGCAACAGACTAATAGAAACCATATAAATATAAATATAGAAATAACAGTACCAGCCACAAATAATGGCTATAGAACATACTAATCATGATGTCATGTTTAGCAGAAGACAGGTTGAGATAATATCAGGGTTAGCAGCAGGGTTTTCGACTACTATCGTGATGCACCCTTTGGATTTGATAAAAGTAAGATTGCAGCTATCACTGGAAAACAGCACCCAACGATTCAAGTCATTGATAAATGTCATATCCAAAATAAATAATTCGGCCACTGCCGACTTCAATCAATATAAACAAATACATCATTCGTCTGGAATAAAAAGTGTCATTCTCGGTCGATATAAGTTTCCCCATACCATATTACAGTATTATAGGGGCATAGGGCCCAATATTGGAGGAAACATTGCTGCCTGGTCATTGTACTTTACATTGTATGCTGAGTTTAAACGGTTAATTAACTTCCAAAACCCCACTGCCAACTATTTTACATCGTCCACAGCTGCAGGTGTGGCAACTGGATTATTGACCAGCCCAATCTGGGTGTTGAAGACAAGAATATTGGGGACCACCAAGAACGATGCGGGAGCATACAGGTCCGTGACTGATGGGGTGAAGCGAATGCTACAAAAGGAAGGAGTTCTCGGATTTTGGAAAGGAGCCATCCCCGGATTATTTCAGGTATTTCAGGCAAGTTTACAATTCACCTTCTACGATCATTTCAAGCAGCACCAACTCTCAAAAAAGCCTTCCAATACGGATAGATTGTCCACGGGTGAGTATCTTGGGGCATCTGCTGCTTCCAAGATCGTGAGTACGATAATAATGTACCCGAGTCAGGTAATCAAATCAAGGCTTCAAAACTCCATCACCGAATACAAGTCCATAATAACTGTATGTAAGGAAATATGGCATAATGAGGGCTATTGGCGTGGGTTCTACAAGGGTGTTGGTACCAATATGCTTCGGGTTGTGCCCGCCACTTGCATCACTTTCGTATCATACGAGACTGCAAAGGATATAATATCCCACTTATAATGCAACCCTATATATATTCCTATTTAGACCCGTATATATGTACCATAGACCATAAATAATAGCTATAAAGCAATAAGCATCTATGATTTCGATGTTTTCACGTGAATTGCCATACGCGTTATGATAAACATTTCATATATATGGTGTTGATGATCTTCTTCTTGTAATACCAGGTAACACGGAGATGACAGAGAGTAAACGGGAACCACTATCAGATTCCGAAGAAGTTGAACAGGTTACTGCTAAAAAAAGAAAGCTTCAACCGGAAAATGGTCCTGGCAATGATGCCTGGGTCCCACCGTCGATAACTAGCATAGACAACCCGTTGAACTTCGATTCTTCAACATACCACTCGCGTATTCCACGAGAAATAGAGGCAGATATGACTGCTCCTGTGGTGCTTGGGGTTGATGAGGCCGGTAGAGGACCTGTGTTGGGCCCCATGGTGTATGGAATTGCATATTCGCTCGAATCGTACCTGAAGGACTTGCAAACGAAATACGGGTTTGCCGATTCCAAGACACTTAAAGACGACAAAAGACGCCAGTTGTTCCAGATGATTGAAAACGAAGCCCATGAATTGCACGGACATGTTGGATGGGCCACCACTACCATGACGGCGAAAGACATCTCGAGTGGTATGCTCCAGACAGTGTTGGGCAAAGGGTCGTACAATTTGAACGAACAGGCACATGATACCACCATTGAATTGATCAAACAGGTGATAGCAAAGGGTGTCAACGTTACTAAGGTGTTTGTCGATACAGTCGGTCCCCCAACTACGTATCAGGCCAAATTGCTGAAGATCTTCCCAACCGTCGCTATCACCGTCGCCAAAAAGGCCGATAGCATCTATCCTATCGTCAGTACCGCGTCCGTCGTGGCTAAAGTTACCCGTGATATTAACCTACACTACTACAATACCCATTTGCCTCTTTTGCACCACCATGTTTTAGGCTCGGGCTATCCTTCCGACCCCAACACTAGCAAATGGCTCCACGCCAACGTCGACCGGGTGTTTGGTTGGTGCTTCGGCCTAGTTCGTTTCTCGTGGCAAACTGCCAAAGACAGCTTAGAGAAACATAATGCTACTCCTGTCGTCTACGAGGCCCAATGCATCAAGGAGGACTCTGGTTACCACGACGTAGGAGACTTCTTCCTGGTTTCCGACACCCCGGCCACCAACTCTGGCACCAATTGTGGGCCCAATTCGTCAGGCCCTTCGCTCACAATCGACTCGCTGTTCTACGGCTCTACAAACGTTCTGCTCTAGTCATTTGTCCCTCCTCTGTATAGTACATTGTATAGTATTCATCCATTAATGCTACAGTAGTTATAATTGCAAAATTCGCCGGACCTTAAAATCCGAACAAAAGTGACACAAAACTGTGGGCGGAAGACAACCATGCGATCGATGAGTATTATAAACTAACTAACATAGTAAACCCAACAATCAATATAGTTTGTTAGACATATAACAGTTATATATTGGTAAACAGAAACAAGAATGAGTGCTTTAATCGCTGCGTCAAGATCTACCATGGCCTTTCGTGCCGTCGCTTGTACTAAACAATACAGTGCAGGGTATTTGCAATTAGCAAGATTATATTCATCGGGTAAATTTCCACCTCATACGGTGATCAATATGCCAGCATTATCACCAACCATGACACAAGGTAACATTGGTAGCTGGAGTAAGAGCGTTGGTGATGAATTGCACGCGGGAGAAGCAATTGCTGAAATCGAAACCGATAAGGCCTCCATGGACTTTGAATTTCAAGAAGACGGGTACTTGGCTAAGATTTTGTTAGGAGACGGATCCAAGGACATTCCAGTGGGTAAGCCAATTGCTGTTTACGTTGAAGAAGCCGAAGACGTTCAAGCATTTGAATCTTTCACCGCCGAAGATGCTGGTGATGCCGGTGCTGAGGCCAAGGCCCCAGAACCGGAAAAGGAATCGAAGCCAGAGGAATCGAAGTCTGAAGCCAGTGACAAGAAATCGAAGTCTGAAAGTACACCAGCTCCATCTAAGCCAGTTGCTGGCAGAATTTTCGCTTCTCCATTAGCCAAGACCATCGCTTTGGACAAGGGTATCGCTTTGAAGAACATCAAGGGTACAGGACCAAACGGTAGAATTGTAGCCAAGGACGTTGAGAACTACAAGGCTCCTGCTGCTGCTGCTGCTCCATCGGCCACCGGTGCCGCTGCTGCTGCTTACGAAGATGTTCCAATCTCAAACATGAGAAAGACCATTGCTACCAGATTAACCCAATCCTCGCAAGAATCTCCTTCATACATCGTTCAATCGCAAATCTCTGTTTCTAAGTTATTGAAGTTACGTCAATCATTGAATGCTGCTGCTGAAGGTAGATACAAGTTATCGATTAACGACTTGTTGATCAAGGCTATTGCGTTAGCTAACTTGAGAGTCCCAGAAGCCAACTCTGCTTGGTTAGGTGACCAAGGTATCATTAGAACCTACTCTAACGTCGATGTTTCCGTCGCTGTTGCCACCCCAACTGGTTTAATCACTCCAATTGTCAAGAACGCCCACACCAAGGGCTTAGCTGCTATCTCCAACGAAATCAAGGAATTAGGTAAGAAGGCCAAGGCCGGTAAGTTAGCTCCTGAAGAATACCAAGGTGGTACCATCACCATCTCTAACTTAGGTATGAACCATGCCGTTAACAGCTTCACCTCTATTATTAACCCTCCTCAATCAGCCATCGTTGCTATCGGTACTGTCGACAAGAAGGCTGTTCCATCTAACGTTAACGAACAAGGTTTTGTCTTTGATGATGTTATGACTATCACTGGTACTTTCGACCACAGAACTGTCGATGGTGCCCTTGGTGGTGAATGGATTAAAGCATTAAAGACTATTATCGAAAATCCTTTAGAAATGTTAGTCTAATTTAAAAAAGATTAGCTTTTCTACCGAGCTACATTGATTGAAAAATCTTAATACATCATAATCTATAACATAATACAAAATAAATCAACGAATAGAATAGAATATATGTCTTATTTCGTGTAGCTCGCTGCTCATGTCGTAATTTACTAGTAAAGTCTATATCATAGAATCGCCATACTTTATATTTAACCGTTTATTTGCCTAGAGTGAGCATCAACAATCAACAATTTTTGACAGAAAGTAAACACGTTTTATTGTTATCCTTGTTATCCTCTGTCAAGCAGAAAACATAAAGAACAAATGACATTGAAAACCATATATATTGCCAGACATGGGTACAGAGCCAACTGGTTACCTCCTCCACATCCGCCAAATCCTACTGGTATCGACAGTGATCCGCCATTGGCACCACACGGAATTGACCAAGCCAAACAATTAGCAGGATACCTTAACTCGTTACCTGTTAACGAACAACCCCAGTTTATATTATCGTCTCCATTCTACAGATGTGTGCAAACTAGTGAACCTATTTGTGAAATGCTTTCGGTGCCTTTGGTATTAGAGCGTGGCGTTGGTGAATGGTATAAGAAAAACCGTGGCATTGTTCCTGAACCAGCTAATTACGACGTGTTGAAACCATTCTTTCCTTGTTTAAAGGATTCAAATGAGTGGGATAGGGACTCAACTGTCGGGATAATTCCTTCTTTAGACGGGGAATCTGAAGATGATATTTTTGCCAGAAGTGTGCAATTTTGGAAAGCGTTCATACCTGTTTTTGAAGAAAAGTATCCAGAGATCACCACTATATTGATTGTCACACATGCTGCTACTAAGATTGCTCTCGGTATGTCGTTGCTTAAGTTCAACAACGTGTATGAAACAATCGATAACGATAACACAGTATTGAGAGCTGGTGCGTGTTCTTTAGATAAGTACGAGCGTGATACTAAGGATTGGTCTATCAAAATGAACGGGAATTGTGAATTTTTATTAGACGGCGAAGAAATGAACTGGAACTTCCACTCAGCATTTGAAGCTGGTTCCGATGAAGATATCAAAGCAAGACAAGAGGAAGCAAAAAGAAAAGCACAAGCCAACAACGCCAAAGAACAATTTGACAGAGAGCCCACTCCAGTAACAGAAATTGCGTCTGGATCCGAACCCTTGGCCAATGAAGAATACGAGGTACGTTCATAGAATGTTTTTAGAGTATAATACAATAGAGATTCCCATTACTAACTCATAGCAAGAATTTTTATGTAACAATAGATGTACCAATGATTGGTAATTCTAATCTTTCTCAATTTGAAGATGTTAACCAATCAGCATCCCAGTCGAAACAGGATTCGAAGGAAAATATAACATCCAACGCAAAACAAAACTATATCAAATCTTCGTCACACCTTCAAATCACCGACTTGAACAACAAAAACCCATTAATTAAATTATCCAATAGTAATGTCAGTACTGATAACGATTCCATTAATAACATATCAGTAATAGACGGTAATATCTATCAAACGAACTGGTCAAAATTAGTGGGGACCGAATTGGTTTTTGATGACTATGGTGAATTAATTGGAAGTGTAAGAGAACATTTAAAATGCGATGAAAACATAAAGATTACGTCCAAGAATGAAAAAGAAAAGAAAGATACGGATATGGCTGATGATGACGGCGACGTCAAGGTTAAAGATGAACAAACTTCTTTCTTGTTAAAAGCTATTAAAGCTGCAAAGAAAAAAGAAACCGAAGTAGAAGTGTAATTTAGTTTAATTTAATAGATTTAAATTAGTTGATTGTATATATATCTTACTATGTATTCAAATACGACAAATCGACATACTGCGACAGGAAAAGGTCGAATTTTATGGTAATTCAAAAGAACCTTTTTAGCAACGAAAGCAAACTGCATAAGCATTATGTCTTTTAGTCACCCATTATATGAAAGGTTGAAACAATTCCAGTTTGTATTGGCATCCACATCTCCACGAAGGTTGGAAATTCTCGAAAAAAATCTTCAAATTAAAGATATAGAGATAATGCCATCCAACTTTGAAGAGAATTTACTGAAGGAAGAACACACTTGTCAGGAATATGTCTCTAATACGTCATTAGGAAAAGGGCAAGCGGTAGTGAAGCAATTGATCTCGCAAAACGGACCTAGCTCGATTATCTTATCGTCTGATACCATTGTAACCTGCAACCAGGAAGTATTTGAAAAACCCCAGACTAAGGAAAGACAGCTTGAAATGTTCCATAAGTATCACCAGCATCCTGATTTGGAAGTTATAACGTCAGTGAATATCATAAAATATGATTCAGTCACAAAAGAGTCGATTATAAAATCAGCTATCGAGATTACCAAACTTAGGTTCAACGATGAATTATCGGACGAATTCTTGAAATACTACGTTGATAGCGAAGAGGGTTTACACGTAGCAGGTGGTTTCAAGTACCAGGAACTAGGATGCTTATTATTTAAGTCTATTGACGGAGACTACTTTAACATAGTTGGCTTGCCTGCTGGAACTACATTCCGGCTATTGTCTGACATTTTACAACCAGATCACTAACTTTCAAGGTAATTATTCTCCTTCCCCTGCATCGGTTTCTAATATTCCTGAAATCAGTTACCTTAAATTTGTAATCCCAAATACGCCTAAATCAAATACTACAAACTTGTGATAAGCTTCATGAGTCAAACGTTTCTAAGAGATATACTACTTTTGCCCCTTTAATATTATCATATACCACAAATACTGATTTGATTTAGGGAAATGTCTTATTGTCTCTCTAATTGCTAGTGGTCTAAATATATTGTGTGTTTTTTCTTTCTGTACTATAACCCTGTACCAACATCTTTGCAAGTCATTAAAGTTTTCAGAAATATTATAGCTGTTGCCATGACTGAACAAAGCAATATTTTGAACTATTCCAACTTTATTTACTATAATTATCGGTTGCATGTCAAACACTACATATGTCATTTATGTTGCAACTATTTTGCATACATACTACAATAAATTATTTTTCTTGGTCAAAATCAACTCTTTTTTTAAAACAAAACCCACAGCTTCTTGCTTATAACGACCATCCAGTAAATAATCAATTCCAATACCGATATAGGCCTATTACCAAATAGTAGAATAAGAACTGAAGCTAGAATAGAATATGGGATTATGGATTGTCCTGCATATATATTTATGTCCAAGATTAGCAATTTTGTGTAATGATTTATTTTTCAGGCGATGAGACCTAAATAAAAATTAATTTTGTAGTTAGATAAAGAGAGAACAGAGATAGAAGGCATAATATGGGTAAAGTTAGTAATAATAAGAAGCAGAACGCTGACAAAAAGGTCAAAGATATCGAAAAGGACTTACAATTGCCCGAATCTAGTGAAGAAGAGTTGTCGGGCGAAGAAGAAAGTGCCGAAAACAGCGATGAGAGCGATGAGGAAAGTGAAGGATTGGAAGGATTTTCCAGTGACAGTGATGAAGAGGACGAAGACTTAGACGACAAAGAAACTAAACAGCATGCCACTAAAAAGACCACTCCCACAGAAAAACACATACAGGCTTCCGGACATACGGTAACCAAAAAGAAGGCCGCTAGTGCAGCCTCCAACCCAGCCAAAAGCAAAAGGGGTGTCATATACATCGGACGTATTCCACACGGGTTCTACGAGGCCGAGATGAAGAAGTATTTCACACAGTTTGGAGACATCACCCGTTTGAGGTTGTCGAGAAACAAAAAAACCGGTAAGTCGAAGCACTACGGGTTCATCGAATTCGCTCACCATAACGTGGCCAAGGTCGCTGCCGAAACCATGAACAATTATCTTTTGTTCGGCCACTTGTTAAAGGTCCACTTGGTCGAAGACCCTAACATCCACGAGGACTTGTTCCAAGGTGCCAACATGAAATACAAGGTGATCCCATGGAAGAAGATCGGTCAGAACAAGAACGATGCCGCAAGATCAAAGGAAAAATGGGACAAATTGTCGCAAAAATGGTCGAAGAAGAGAGCCCTCAAGCAGAAACAGTTATCGGACAAGGGCATCGACTTCGACTTGTCAAATATATAGTTTTATCCATTAATACATAACTTTTACCGTACACATAATAGTAGTTTTGGGTCCGTATACTTCGTTTATACGTCACGTGATTTTCTTTTCTGTCGCTTACGTTCATGATTATTTTTATTGGGCTGATCTCTTCACATGGTATTCTCCAACAAGAAACCAACGTATATCAAACGTAAATCGTCAACGATTTGTTATAGAGATCAGAAAGAACAGGATACGTAAAATGTCTGAAGAAGAAAATTTGAAAGCATATACTTTAGATGAAGTTTCGCAACACAACACCGTGGACGACCTCTGGGTTATCTACGATGGAGGGGTCTACGATATCACCAAATACATAGATGAACATCCAGGTGGTGAAGAAGTTGTCGTTGATGTCGCTGGTACAGATGCTACTGAAGCTTTCGAAGACATTGGACACTCAGACGATGCCCGTGAAATTTTGAAGGGGTTATTGATTGGTAAAGTACAAGGTGGCACCATCAAGTCACCAGTTAGTGCTGTCAGTCAGTCTGAAAGCACCGGTTCTTCGATGCCAATGATTGCTATTTTTGTGTTGTTACTCGCTGTTGGTGTTTATTTTTATATCAAATAGGGATTGAGGTGTATTTAGTAAATACTACGTAATTCATATGCGAAAGATGCTACGAGAGGGCACTAGGTGTGGTCCAAGGACCATTGGAGAGACCACGAATGGGTCTATGGTGTAGAATGATATTGATTTCTCTTGAATGCCACGTCGGATGCAATTTGGTTCAGTCCAGCTTGTTGGCCCATTATTATCATATGATCGCGTATGTTTTTTTTATGTTGGATCCTACAGAACACTAGCATTATCCGAGCTATGCACATTTTGGGTATTGGGACGGTGATAAGCTAGATAAGTTTCGAAAGAAGTAAATCTTTAGAAATGAGCCGTTCTACTGTTTTTCCGTCGATGTAACGTTGTGCCGTTATGCCGATTAGAGTTAAGAAAGTGTCTACAACTATTCTTCCATATACCCGTTAATTGTAAATTCAGTAAGAACTACTTTTAGGCATAAAATTTACAACGGATAATCTAAGCAATACTGAGTTGCAACCATCTGTAGAAACTTGGGATACCAGGGTATTTTTAGTTGATCACTTATATTGGCCCATTCTCCAGGTATTGAATTCGAATTGATCCAACTAAAGCTTAACAACAATAAGCAATGTGCGTCATCAATATAGGATGGGCCTTACCGCATGTAGACAGTAGTGTGCTTTATGAATCATAAAATTTCAATTCATTATTAAGGTCGCATATGAGAACCAATTTGAGACGTAATTATTTCTAAAGTATTGTTCTTTATTCCTTTAAGAATATGTCAAAGTATCAACAGAGTTCACTTTTTATAAAGAGATTGGGGTTGGAGTATCCAATAATTCAATCCCCAATGGCAGGTATCAGTACTGTGAAATTGGCTTCTGTCATTAGTTCAAATGGAGGATTAGGATCGATACCTCTCGCATCAGTTGATGCTAGACAGCAAAGTGGAATTGACTCGATAGTCAAGCAATTGAATGAATTTAAGTCTTTAGCTAAAACCAATGTCGTTAACCTTAACTTTTTCTGTCATGATCATAAGGAACAAAAGACACCTACTAATGACCAAACTGCAAATTGGCATAAGCTTGTTGGTAAAGCAAGACCAAGCATTACTCAAGATATCCCAACCTTACAGAAATCTAATATTTCATTGGCAGAAGTTGAGAGTAGTCATCCTGAATTATTTTCAAAATTGCTAGAGAAATTGGTAGAATTCAAGCCAAAAGTTGTAAGCTTCCATTTTGGGTTCCCTTCCGAAAATGCCATTAAATTTTTACAGGAAAATGGAATTATGGTATTTGTGTCTGTAACCTCAGTAAAAGAGGCCGAAAAATTGATTGATTTAAAGGTTGATGGTTTGGTTAGCCAGGGGTATGAGGCCGGTGGCCATAGAGGAAACTTTTTGGTTACTGAAAGATTAGACGAAAATTTGTCCACCTTTTCGTTATTTACCCAAATAAAGAGGCTAGTAGATAATTCTACCTGGAAGCCTTTTATTATTCCAGCTGGTGGAATAATGGATGGCAAGACCATTGAAAACTACTTGGCCAATGGTGCCTCGGGTGTTCAACTTGGTACTATCTTCTTATCTACACCAGAATCTAACTCAAACGACTTTATTAAGAATGTAGTGTCGGGATCTAATGATATCCCTACGATAATGACAAGATTGGTTTCTGGAAAGCCTGCTAGATGCTTACGAACACCCTTCATCCAAGATCTAATTGAAGACTGTAGTAATTTAAATCTCGATGATCAGCCTTCATATGGTTATGCTTATTATGGCTACAAAACTATGGCGGGATTACTCAAAGACGTGCGTTATGGTTTTTATTTGGCCGGTCAAAATTATCATCAGATTAATCCAGATTTTAATACAGAACAAGTATTGTCAAATCTAGTTGACGAACTTAAACAAGCTGGCTTTAGTAGTACCTAAAATAGTTTTCTCTTCGAAGTACATTAGATTTTCTAGATATAACGATTTTATGCACATGTTTTGATATTAACTACAATCTTTCTTTCTCTCTCTTTCTCCGAGTTGGTATTTTGCAGCTACGCAGGACTGAAAATAAAAGGTTCAGCCTAATACATAAATAGAAGTTATGGTCTAAACAACTCTATTAGAAAGCTTACTCTATACTTCATTGTGTTAAGTAATGAAATGCCGTATACCTGAATCTTTTTGTTTCATATTTGTGGATTAATTAAATTGTGTTTTTTAAACATTTTTGACCAAAATTCAGAAAATTTTCAAAAAATTAAAAAGCCCCGAATACTGCAAACGTTACAGTTAGTATATTAAATAATTAACGATAACAAACACTATTTGAAAATATCACATATATACACAGCTAAGTCCGTTTATTTCTATTGTACACATCTATATCCTTTTAATTATTTGGTTTTAAACAGTACATTCTAACTGGGTATAATTCTTTTGGTAATCCTTTTTGGACATCGCTAGCAATTAATTTAAACCCAGCCTTAATGAACAATTCTCTAAATTTTGCATCAGTTCGTGTAACCGAAGAATCGGTTTCGTCGAAAATATCTTCGTATGGGGCAATATTTTCCTTAACTATCAAAGTTCCAATACCATTTCCAATTAATGCAGCTCTACACCTTTCCCAGAACTTGACCAATTCTTCATCTGGCAATTGACCAACACACCATTGACACCAGACTAACCAATACTTTCCTACCTTTTGTGGATCACATTCCCATTCTTGCATACCTATATCGTAAATGTCTCCTAATTTCCCTCTATTTTTGACGCTTTCTAACTCGTTGTACATTTGTGCAACAAATGGTTTAACTGGTTCCAATAAATCACATTTGTCACTTACTTTCCACAATAAATCTCTTGTTATCCTACCAATACCAGCACCCATATCAATAGTGAGCTTTTCCACCCCATCAGGACAGATCATTCTACTCTGCAACTTTCTCAAGAATGTAGAAGATCCAACAATATCGGCCTTAGGAACAGCTGTTTGCTCTCCAAATCCACCCAACACACCATCAACTGAAGCTGGCACGCCTGTCCAATATTCGATCGCAGCATTATAATTAATTTGTGAATCTGCAACATGATCCTCATTCATGCTGTGGTCATCATTAACCTGAATAGACTTAACTGGCATATTTATTGTTGTGTTCCTATAGAGCTACTTGACCTCTACTAGGTAAAACTTTTTTAATATATGTCCTGCGACATTTGAAGACATCATCACCAAATGTCGCGATATGGAAGACTTATACGCGTAAGCTTTTAAGACATAAATAAAGAACTTACCACGGTTTGTTGCATGTTTTTTAGGTTTAGGAGCTGTTAAAATGACTTCAAATTATTTTGATTTAGATGATATACTAGCTGATGGAGAGAAGATTCCATGTCGCTTCAATATTACCGTACCAGGATTGGGTTACTTAGAAGGAAACCCAGGAAAGGCAATTGCTAAAGATACAAAGATCGAATTGCCATTGTGGCTTGCAGAAATCTTAGCTATATGTGAATTACTGGAAGATTCTCAACAAAGTTTTATTGACTTGTCGCAACCAGATTTTATAAATTACAAAGTAATAAATGCTATCAAGACTAATGCAGTAAACATAGATTTGCATTCAATTTTAACCAATTATTATAAATTATGTGAAAAATGGGCATCAATGTTTAGTGATGCGGAGTTGATTGAAGTAGTCATGCAAATGTTGAAGGAAAGGTCGTTTGAAATTAATAATTATGCAAGTAACGCAAGCAAGCAGATCAATAACAATTTCATTTTCTCTTTAGATGAATTTGAAAAGAAATTATTCAAAATTACGGCTGACAGTAACAAGCTGATGAGAAAATGGTTAAAGGATTAAAATTGGGTAATGATTTATGTAATATAAAGTATGATGTTTATTTTCAATTGATTTAATATATTTGATATAGAATTATAGCATTAATCGGTACAAAAAGTAGTAATACATTTATACAGTCAGAGGTAAGTACTATCCTCCTTATTGTTCATCTTGAGCGGGAATTTCGTTTTGGGTATCAGTCAAGGATTCTTCTTTCTGATCTTCATTCACGGCATCTTCGTTAGGTAATTCATCATTTTCTTTTGGTTCTTCACCATCTTCATTAAACAAATCATCATCTAATTCATCGTCACTATCATCTATAGTTTCCTTCGACAATCTAGATACCTTTCTTTTCTTAGATGTCTTGATTTCATCTTCTTCATTGTCATTTTCTTCAATTTTTCTCTTTGAATCGTTTTCAGGTTCAGATTCATCTTCTGATGGAGATGGTGCATCTTCCTCACTATCACTAACAACATTCTTCCTCTTTCCTTTCTTTTTTCCTTTGGTGCCCTTTGTAGAAGACTTCTTACTTCTCTTCTTTTTTTCTTCCATAGCAGATTCCTTATTAAACAATTTGTCATCATCTTCATCATCAACAACAACATTCATTCTAGCTTCTTCTGCCCATTGCTGAGCTTGCTCTTGCAACTTAGCTCTTTCTTTCGCTCTCTCTTCTTCAACTTGTCTTTCCCTTGCTTTTCTATCTTCTTCTTCCTGTAATAACTGTGCAGCCTCTTGTTCTCTTAATTCCTTTGCTTCCTTTAATCTTATTTCAGATTTAGTAACACTTGCAACAGTTTCATCAAGACATGCATTTAATCTATTCAATAATGTATTAGTACCCAAATTAGCACGAGCTTTTAATTCGGATTTTGGATATGGTGGATGCTTTTCATCATCTGAAGATAAAGAATTTAAGGTCTCAATAGCTCTGTTCAAATTATCAATTCCTTCCTTAATTTCATCAACAAGTCTTTGTTCCAAAGGAAGCTTACTAATAAATTCAGCAATTTGGAATTGAATATAAGCAATGTTGAATCTTAATGAAGATTTCGCTCCAGTAGAATTTTGTAATGCCTTTTCAGAGTACGATAATGCATTATTCAAATAACTTAAATTCTTTTCAGAAAGACCTCTTGAGAGCCAAGCACGACCCAAGAATGATAATATTTTAGAGTCATTATTTGCAAATCTCATTAAAGCGATTTCATAATTTTCAATGGCCTTGGAATATTGTTTCAAGTCTAATAAGACATGTCCCAAATTGAGGTAGACTGAAATATCATTTAATGAATCTCTAATTTTTCTCAAAATGTCTAAACCTTTATTAGATTCCTTATTTTCAATGTATACGATGGCTAAACCTTGGGCACCATACACGTTGTGAGGATCAACCGACAATACCTTGGTGAATAATTCTACCGCTCTGATGTAGTATTTCTTTTTCTTGTCATCTTGACTCAGACCTTTTATATCTCTCGCCATAATGCAATAAATATTCGCCAACGACAATAATGCGTAACAATCATGAGAATCGTATTCAACCAACGTGTCCTTTTGGTGATTGGTATCCGCATCTGGCTTTAAACCCACCTTTTTACCAAAAGTCTTTACAAACCAACCGTAAAATGAACGAATTTCCAAATCTGAGGCATTCAAATTCAATAAGTTATCTACTTCTTGTTTTATTTCTTCTTTTGTAGATTTGTTAGTTGAGACACAATCCAAAAATAATAATCTCAATTTTGCAGAGAAATAATTTGGACAGTCTTTGAGTAAAGATTCATAAATCTCAATTGATTCTGATTCATTTGATAACTCTTTAGATCTAGCAAGATTGAAAGATATCGTTACATCTAAATCATTACGTAAGTCCATCAAAACATCACCATTTTCATCTTTGAAATCATCAGAAGCCTTCAATTTTTCAGAAGTTGCCTGGAAAATATTTGAAGCAGCCTCATAATTATGCTTAATGAAATTAAAAACACCAATATTATTATATACTTCTAATGGTGCATCCTGGTTAATTTGTTTCCTGGATTCAATAGCCTTATTGAGATAGGTCAAGGATTGATTCATATCTTTAGTTTCATATAACTTACTTAATATCAAAAATGCGTTCAAGGCAACTGGTTCTTGGTTAATAAATTCCAGGTCATCTTCATTCTTGGTAGTAGAAGTTCCTCTTATATTCTTGGCTAATCGCAAGTACCTTTCTAACATAGATATACCCTGTTCCTGTTTTCTCTTGCTTTTATGCTTCGAATATAATACACCTAAAGAATAATTAACTTCTAAGCACTTTGGGTTAGTTTTTAAAATAGATTCATAGGTAATGGTTGCCTCTTCTGTGGAACCACGGTTGATTTGTGATTGACCCAAACCTAGCTTGGCCATCAAGTTATTTTCATTCAACTTAATAGCTTCGTGAAAATATTTCTGTGATTGCATGAAATCAGATTTTGCAAAGGCAACCCTTCCCAACCAAAAAGCAGCTTGCGATAACAAATTTGATTGGAATTTTGAGACTTTAGAAGGGTTGTATAACTTAGTCGAAGCTGAAGCACCAGAAATTGAGTGAATAACTTTATTACTAATCTTTTCGACTAAGGAGTAGTCTTCCTTTGAATAATAGTAGGACGCTAGAGTCAATAAAATGATTGCATCATTAGACTTCTCTTTATAGTTCTCAGCCAATTGCTTTAAGCATTTCTCATAATTTAATTGGAAATCTTCATCACCCAATGAGTTATTGAAGTTAATGTTGAAGTTAGCCAAATTTAATAAAACTTTGGCCTTCAAGTTATTTGGATCAAGTTCCAATGCTCTCCTCCATGAACTTAAAGCCATTGACTCATCCTTGAGGAACCAAAAACATAAACCAATACCGATTCTTGGGTCTGGCTTCATTAAAGGATTTAAAATTAAAACTTGTTGATATAATTTTAACGCATTCGCATAATTCTTTGTTTTGTTCAAGATTATTTGAGCTTTTCCTAATAAAGCAAAACAGTTATTATTATCGATCTTCAACAACCTATCGAATATGTCCAAAGCAGGTTCAATTTGATCCTTGTACAAGTATAGCACAGCTTTTGCCAACAATACTGATACACCTCCTTTGGTGCTATCTAAATTCGAAACCTGATTAAGTTCCTCACCAGCTTTAACCAAGTTTTCATTCTTATCTACTCCGCTGGAGACAAATTTCAAATATAACCAACTTAAGTATGTATGAAATGACAATTTATCTTCATTGTTAAACTGCGATAATCCCATAGCAGTCTTAATAACATTCAAACTTTCATTCAACTTGTTTCGTTGCGAATATGCTGTAGCTACTGAAATCCAGTATTTCCTTGGACAGTTTTCTGTTTCTAAGAAACTGATTAATTCATTACTATCATCGGGTAATTCTTCTACTAAGTTAATACTAACAATTTGTCCATTACTCAAGGGAACATCTAAATTTCCAATCGTTTCAGCCGCGTGTTTTCCTAAATAAAAGGATACATCTATTGGATCTTCCATGTCCGAGCCTATTCTGATTGTTTATTTCGATTAAGAGAGAACTGAGCGTCAATTTTTAGTTACCAGTGAATCTTGTTGATTTTAATTTTCTGAATGAATGAAAATTACAACTTGAGTCGTGCGAAACCGAAAATATATTGATAACTATATAGTTTATATTCCATCTATTATAATCTGTGTATCTTTGTTAACCAAAGCATTGTGAACACAATCATTAAGAAAATTAGTAATGATGGTCTGCTGGGATAGTTTATAATTAGATCTAATGAGCTGTCCTTTAATTTTCAAATTGTTTGGATATTCAAGCAAGTTCGATATGTCAATTGAAATGAAAAGTTCAACTTTGAAATTCTCTTTTCCACAATAATATCGTATTTTGAAATCAATTACGTTGTCTTGTGTCTCAATGAAGATTATTGGTAATTTCCAGGAGATTGCATATATATCTTCGTCAATAGATTTTAACACGGACCAATGCTTTTTGAAATTTTGGAAGTTTTCTATTATTGTAGATCCAGAAATAGAGTCGAACAACTTTGGGGCAATGTCTGTCATTATAAAAGAATTCTTGAATGGAGTGGAAGAATTCTGATCGACAGAATAGCTTATGTTGCTTAAATCATGAATATCCTTAAAATCCATTGCAACTTCCACACCCATAAAATGGAAAACGAGTTTCGTACCTTCCATATATTTGTAGTTTAAGTTGGTGAAGGACTGTAAAAAGTTAAATTTTAATTTTAATAATTCAATTTCTGACAATTCGTACTTTTTGTTGGTATTTAAGGACTTCTCCACTTCATTTATTTCATCAGTGAACGCATTTATCAAAGCCTTATTATCGCTGATAATTGAGTTTAACTTATTTAATTCTTCATTTTGTTTGGTCTGGGTTTGTTGGTTTTCCTTGAATTGTTTACAAGTAGTTGTCAATTCATCCCTTAAGGAAACCAAATCACTTGAATTTATATCATTACAATGACTTTCAATTTGCAATAATTGGTTCAATTGATTTGACAAATTGTCAAATCTAATTTTTAGTTGTTCGTGAATTCTATTGATAAGTGTCAAGTTCTTCAATAGGAGCAGTTTGTCTTGAACAAGAGTATCATGCTTCTCATCTAATTGGATAATCAAATTCTTGATTAGCTGGGTTCTCCAGCCATACCACACCTCCTTGGCTTGATGTCTTGTGTAATCTTTGATTAATTGGAACTGCGATTTCATGCTTAATTTCTCATTTGGAGTACTCAGATAATATTGCTTGAATAATCTAGGATTGTTTTCCATTGTGAATTGATTGAATTGATCAAAGAGCATAGTTCCATCTTTGATATTTTTGGTAAGTTCCTTGCAACTGAATTCATAGAGTTCTAATAAAGGCATTTTATTCATAGCGGAAACAAAGTCATCAAATTTATAGTTTTCTTCATTATTAATTTTTGGTAATGAAATACTTATCCTGTCGACAGATTTAATACCAATTTCTAAGTCATCATAGAACCTAATGCTTATATCTTTCAAAAAATCGTTTAGTGAAACTGGTATGTAATTTGGGTCTAATTCGTCATCAGCTTCAATGGAATCCGTACTTATATCAGCTAAGGGGATAGTAGTAGTTATTGTCTTGTTGATATTATCATTGTAATCAATCTTGGGATACTTATGCGGTAATTCCTCAACATCATCTAATGTCCTCTTGAGTTGAACTTGCTTTATTTCACCATATTCTTGAGTCAATTGCATTTTTTGAGATGGTTGATCGCCTTCATGATTAGTTTCAGTCTTAGCAGATTCTTCTCGATTCCCATCTTGTTCAATTTGAGTTGACTCCATGTATGTGTAATCCTGAGTATCTTTATCTACATTTTGAATCGTTTCATTTACATTCGTAGTCGTAGCAAATTGATTAGAAATATTTCCCTCTTCTTGTTGTGCAGATTGTTCATCGTCATGATCTGAATGAATCTCCTTAGCTTCAATCTCTTGATTTGCACAATCATCTTCCAAGTTTTTGTTTTCTTTATATGATTCCTCTTTATTACCTTCAGAATGACCATCTTCATAATCACCAGTTTGTACTTCATTAGAAATATCTTCTGAAGTGACTGCTTTTATGTCTGTCTCCGGTTGCAGCTCATTATTTATTCTACTATTTTTATGATTTTGCTCACTTTCATTACTTGGAATGGTTTCATTTTCGACCTCTTGGAATTGAATATTTCCTAATTGATTCACCTGGTCTAAATCGGATATATTTATCTTTCCCAACTCTTGGGTAAATTCCATAATTGATTCATTTTCTTGTACTTTCTGACTTTCATTGTCTTGCATTATTGGGCCAGTATCAGGAAGCTCATTTATTAATTCGGTCCTGTTTTCTTGGTGATATATTCTAGTCATGTCCATGGTAATCTCCTGATTTAACTGGTCATTTTCCTGATAGTTGGTGCTATTCTGGATGTTAATGTGCGAATAAAATCTGGTTATATCCATAGTTTCTTCTAATTCATACTCATTTTCTTTCACAGTTCTCATGTCTTCGCTATTATTAACCTCTCTACGATATTCTAAATCCTTATGGTCATTAGCAGACTCTGGAATACCCATTGATTCTTCGTCTACACGATCACCGGTTCTTGTAGCAGTCTCATTATCACTATTTATTTCGGGACCATCATCTGAAACTTCACGGGTTTCAATATTTTGTTCGGGTTGTTCAACATTCAGCTTTTCAGAATTAATACTACTTTCAACCGTTTTGATAATGTTTTGGTAATTAAGCCCAATGTTACTGGTAAGTTCCATGTCTCCTTCTTCCTCATCTTGATAATACGGAGGGGAGTCAACAGTGGGGGAATTGCTGCTATCATTCCCTTTACTATTGCTTAATGTTTCTATCTCTTCAACATCGTTGGGTGTCATGATAGCATTATTTCCTTTATCCATATCATTATCACGCGTGCTATCTGTTGCAGCCTCAGGGTTAGGAACAAATTGTCCCGTCAATTCCATAGTTTCTTCTTCACCTTCGTCATCATTGCCGTCAAAGTTTGCTAAATCCTCGTCCGAATCTTCGTCTACCTTATTACTATTATCGTCGTTATACGTTCCTTGGTTCTGTTCCGTATCATCACGAGCAGTCCCCATTGTATTATCATCAGACGTGCTATTACTATCATCCCTAGATTCAATAGAGGAATTGCCAGAATCACTATTATCTCTCAGCAGCGGAATGATGGCAATGGTTTCCCTTCTTTTATCTGCCTGTACTGGGACAAAATTTATCTTATGAAGCGTCACTTCGGGATGAAAGGATACTCTTCTGTTTAAACGGTTTGTGGATGGCAACAATGGTAGCGTCGTATCATTCTTCAATATACTTCTAGACGGTCTCTCTCCCATATTTTCCTTATTTTCCTTATTCATGGTTGCCGACGTTAATAGTGTAAAAATGTTATAGAATATAGATCATGTAAACAATCAAATGTTTTGTAAACAAAAAAAATAGAGATCCGGTACGCGTACGACAAATAATGTTCCCTTGATATCTTTGTCCTGGTACTACAAGAGGCACTGGTACTGCATTAGTTAGGTCAAGACGATTTAGAATGTAAATGTCGGTCTGACAGCTTGTAAATACATGTCCCTTACATGCATCTACTGAATTGTAAAGGCTTCTTACAGCTTGTAACAAGAAATTACTATCTCAAGATATATTATACAAGTGGTGCCTTTCGCTCTATAAGTACCTTCCAGTTGCAATTAAGAGTACTTATAGAGTTGTGTGTGATCAATGGACTCATATCTACATGAATATCAAAGCTCCTGTTTCAAGGAATCGAGTTGCGACTCGCACTTTAATGATAGCCTGTTGAATAAACGCTCTGTAGAAACTAGCAAACCAAAACTAGCTGTGATTGATCCAGAAGAAACCAAAAATACAAAAAAAGAAGAGACCATGGATTAATGCTCCCATGTAACATATTCCCTGTGATGAGTTAATTCGATGAATTATATGACCCTATGTTGTAACTATATAATTCGTCATTTTGCAAGATCTCAAGTGATCTTTGATTCGCGAAGAACCTCGGTTGAATGGCAATTAGTACCCCAAATCCCGAATATCACAAGCTCCAGTCAACCGAAAAACCCCAGATACTTCTTTATAAATAAAAGAAAATCACTTCATATTAATTACTATTGATTGAATATAATTTGACAATAATTGAATTATAGATTGATTATATTAAAATAGAAAAAAAGATGGTCGCTGATACAATTCTTTATCATCCAACATTTGGTAAATTAACTAGATTTCTTGATAGTACTCCAAAGAGAGAAAAATGCTTTAGATTAGTGGTATATTTGTCAAGATTTTTATCATACTACTTACAAAGACAAGGATTTTCACCAGAAGTAGTTAATATTTTTAAGGATTTGAAGCATCACATCACAATTATCAGAAAGGGGATGAGATTCTTGAAGCCTTTGAACCACCTTCAAGCTGCAGCCCAGACTTTCGACAACAAGTTGATGGATCCAGTTTTACAAAAGACCACTGTCATCAGAAACTTGGGTTACGTAGGATACCTTTCGGTGGATTCAATTACATGGTTGAAGTTGATGAACGTTCTCTCAGCAAAGAGATTCCCAACCATTTCTACGTGGAGTTCGAGATTCTGGTTAATTGCCTTGATTGCAGGTGTTATTAACTCATTGAGAACCTTGAAGATCAGCAATGCCAAGTTAGAAGAAAAAGAAAGCGAAGAGATCAACCAAAAGATCTACGCTGCCAAGAGAAAATTAGTCTGGGACTTCTTGGATATGTTCATCTGTTTGAACAGTTTGAACTACTTGCACTTCACTGAAGGAGATGTTGGTTTGGCAGGTACCATTACCTCGATTATGGGCTTACATGACTTATGGAAATCTTCCAAATAATGAATTTACAGAGTATACGAGTCGTGAGTGGTTGGAAATCATATTACTTGCATATACCTTTATTTATTCCTTCATGTAACAGTGTTATCATCTACTATTTTTGATTTATTATTATATAGTAATACATACAAGTATTCCATGTTATCCCATAAGTAATAGCCGTGTGAGATATGCATCTCTGATATGCGGGTGGTGCAATCTGGTGCTAGTGTAAATTATCCAATTCGTGATTCTACAAAGAAACACTATAGAAATACGAATAGAAATCATCTCTACATACAAAGTGTCATATATCCTCGTGAATAATATCACAACTGCGTGCAATATTTGTACTATTTGGACTTTAAATTATTATCATCAAACCCTTGGTAATACCCATTCCAGTACCATTTCATGACCAAATCTTTCAATTCTTTCTGTAATTCTTCGCTATTCGATTGATCTGCAATTAGTTTTTCTAGGCTTCGTGCTTCTATGGTAAGTGTATGTTCTTGGTTGTGTGAAGTTTTCAATTTGCACCAGGCCTCATTTATTCTATCGTCTATAGATGACATATTGTATAAAAGAACGGTTCAAAAGTAAGAAATCAAAAATCAACCTGAAGGAACAGCTTCAATATTCTAGGCTTCTATTCCTTTCCTAGCTATAACATATAGAAAGTATGTCTTAGCAGTATAATAGTAGCTTCTTATTTTAGTGTAACTTGTAAACATATGTGTAATATGCAAACCATCTCATCACCTAAAAATTATTCAACTTGTTGATGATAAGCTGAGTGAATATATTCTACTAGAAAGACACTTAAATATGAGTAATGAAGATATTAGAGAAGTGAGGATTCATATAGGAAATATATCTCCTAAGTTGGCCGAAAAACAGCTGTCTTTAGAGACTAGATTGAGTAAATTTGGAAAAATTGTCAAGCCATTAGAATTACATACAAAACCGATTCAAGACTATTATTTTGGATTTATAACATTGGAGATAAGTAATGCAAATTTTGAAAAGTTGAAAAATGCATTTCATGGGATTCTTTTCATGGGAATGAAATTAACTGTAGGAATTGCCAAACAAAATTTTCCGGAAGCATGGACACAAGATTCTAAAAGACCAGACTTATTGAAGCTCGACAGAATAAAAAGAGACCTGATTCAAAGAGCTAGGACCCAGAGAATAAACGAAGCAAACACTCCGTATTTTGTAAATAATATTGATGGCAGCCTAGTCTCAGGGTCGTTAAATATCGGTGCAAATACGGCCTTGGGGTACTCGAAGTCAAGCCATACATTTAACAATATGTCAGGAAATACCAAGCAGACTCAACCAACTCAATCTTTGATTGGCACGAAGTCTTATAGTACAAATACTACACTGACCAATGTTGCGTGCCAATCTATATCTAGGACTTCAGGAAATGGTGAGATCATTAAAGGTAGACATAGAATCACCAAGAGACCACATCTTCATTTTGCGAAGGGCCATCAGACATTGCGGATATTGATTAATGGCGAATTAAAACAAATACAAGCCTACAAGACGAAGTTATGGGGAATGGAAAAACATAAGACTGCTAGAGATTTGACCTGGAAATATCATAATGGTACTTGGAGAAGTGGTGATGATCACATAATTGAGAAAAATACCACAGTGAAAATCAGAGACCCAATAATTGGAGGGCCACAGCCTGTAGAATGCGGGATTGATGGAGAAAAGGCTGAGAATTACGGAGCTGACATCGAAGTAGATTCTGAAGAGGACGAATTAAAGGAGGAAAGAAACAAGAATAGTGCAGTCTTAGCTTCTTTGTTCACAAATTATGACTTTGATAAACCTATGGATTTAAGCGATGTCGATGATAATGGAATTGATGAAAAAGATATTGTTTATGACAGTAAGGGCCGCCGTAAAGTCAACAGATACGATTATGAAATTGAGGGTAAGCAAGACGATGATGAAGCGGATGAGTCTAAATATAATATCGATTCTAACAAGGCCCAAGAAATAATCAACTCTTTTAAATTGCTGTCAGAAAGACCTAAGGAAGAGGTTTATTACGACGAAGACGACGAAGGAAATGAGTTAGACTTAGATGATTTGGGTAAACAATACACGACGGAAGCAATCAATGAAAAATACGACGAAGACCATGGATTCGAAGTTGTGAAGGATAATAATGAATTTCCAAACAATGTACATACTGAAGATTCAGATGAACAAATGGATGAATCAAACGAAACAGAAGAAGTAGAAGATGCAGAAGATGCAGAAGAAAAAGCAGAAGAAGAAGAAGAAGAAGAAGAAGAAGAAGAAGAAGAAGAAGAGTTCATTCCTACTTTTGGCAACAATAAGGAAGGTCAAGTCAATAATACTGATACTTTGAGGACCTTATTTAACCCTAATCAAGTAATCTCAGAGCCACAAGAATCTCTGTTCAAATTGGCTCTTTCCGAAGACGACGAAGATGTTGATGATGAAAAGGTAGTAGATATATCTCAACAAAAGGAATTATTAGATAAAATAAAATCTAAGCAGCAACAAGAGGCCGAGGAAATCTTAACTTCGAAGGCCAAAAAGTACGGGTTGTTTTGGTCCCATTCAGACTCTCCTTTCTTACAATCTCAATCACAATTGAATAAGGTTAGTGGTTCTAATGATCTAATTAAGTTGCCTGGTGAAGCTGATACACTCGTCGATAATGCAGAGGGTGAATCACCTTATGAACAATGGTTCTGGAAGATGAGAGGTGAGTTCTCTCGTGAATGCAAGAGACGTAAGAGAGATGTTTTAAGAATGTTTAAGAAGAAGACCAATAAAAACCCAGTTATATAGACTAGCAAATATATATAGCATACATAGCATCAGATACTCGTAAATAAATATTTGAGATAATCTATTTTACTCGCACTTAAGTTCTCATCAATGAACCTTCAGGGAAATTGTTAGAACTTATGCTATAATGCCAGAACAAGATACAAAGGAAGTTAAAAGGCCAGAATTACCTCCTTTCACATTGAGAAATGTGCTAATGGATATTTATAATGGTGTATTGGCTTTATTCACTGATCCGTTCTGTACTAGAATCGTTTGTCCAGTCGTGATTGTATTGACATCGTTATTATCGAAGGCCATAATATATAATGTTCCTTATACAGAAATTGACTTCAAGACATATATTCAGCAAATTCAAATAATTAACGATGGAGAACTTGATTATTCGTTAGTGAAGGGAGACACAGGTCAAATTGTTTATCCTGCTGGATTTGTACAAATCTATCAAGTCCTTAACTGGCTTACCGAAGAGGGTACTGACATTCACGCAGGTCAAACGTTATTTGGATATTTGTTGGCCTTAACTAACTTTTTGGTTATAATAGTCTATACAATGACTCCTAATTTTCAACCATGGCCAGTTTATCTTTTGCTTTTGAGTAAAAGATTATTCTCTATTTACGTGCTTCGATTATTCAATGATTGTTTTACTACAGTTTGCATGATCTCCGTGACAATTTTGTTACAGCAGGCAGCATACTGGTATAAGAAAGGCGGAAGTTCAATCAGTTTTTTGTTGACCATCGTCGCTGCTGATTTATACAGTATTGCAATTTCTATAAAGATGAATGCTTTGTTGTATCTCCCTGGTTTCCTCATAGTTGCATATTTCTTATGTGGTGAAAATCTATTCAAGTTTGGAGCAGTATTGTTGGTGATTCCAATTGTTCAGGTTCTTACGGGATGGAAGTTCTTGTTACCGTTCTTTTATGACGAAGAAGCTTCATACATTAGATGGAACTATATCAACCAAGCCTTTAACTTCAATAGAAAGTTCTTATATGAATGGACCGTAAATTGGAGATTTATTTCTGAAGAATTTTTTTTATCAGATACTTTTACTAATGGGTTATTGATAGCTAACGCTTCAATACTAATCTTTTTCGTTTTTACAAGATTTATTTCGCCCAAGATAATTGGGAAACCAATATCTCTTCTTATAAAAGATGGTATAGGTAGACCTTTGACTAACTCAGTTAATTATAACAATTTGTTGATAGATCCGAAGCATGGACCAAAACTTGTTATGTTGATACTAGGATCCACTAATGTCATAGGCATTTTATTTGCAAGATCTTTACACTATCAATTTCTTTCATGGTATTGTTGGCAATTACCCTTTATGCTCTATATGACTGGTTGGAGTTTGCTTATCTCCTTCCCTCTCTGGGCAATACATGAGTGGTGTTGGAATGTATTTCCATCTACATCCTTAAGTTCAGGCTTGTTGATAAGCATCCTAGTTATTGTATTATTTGGAGTATGGTACAATACGAGCGAATGGTTCCCTAGCCCGTCAGTTGACGAGACTGTTAACATTGACGCATCAGGCGAGTCTAAAAAGGACAAATAGATTACATTTATCTAATATCAATATAGTACATTATAGAAATAATTATTGCTAATTTACTCGTTAAGCTTAACGAGTGCTATAAAATTAATCATTAGTATACTGAAATAATATAACTAACCTTAAATAATACACTGGAATATAATACACATCTTAAATAAGACATAAAAAGCTATTCAAAAGGTTTTTGCATCGCCATAATACAAAAATACAACATGAACTTAATAATATTTGTTATTTTGTTGATATTAGTCACCATTTTCAATAGCATCCACACTTCCCCAATTAAATCCATTCATTCCATCGTTCAACGAATTATCACCACTTCCGTCCAAAAATTGGTTGAAATCAAAATCAATGTCGTCTAATCCACCATTGTTCATGGGTGCTCCGAAAAGGTGGTTATCATTATTGTTATTTCCTCCTAGTATTTCGACTGGGAAAATCTGATCACTAGGTTGATCCTGAAAGGATGTTGTGCTAGCAGAAGGAACGACATCTTCGTTCTTTTTATCTTTGGAAGGTTCTTCTGGAATAGGTTTCTCTTTGTTGGCTGTATTTTTAGTTACAGTTTGTTTATTTGGAGATTCAGTAGTAGAAGTATTTCTACGCTTTCTCTTAGAAACAGTCTCATTGGCTGATTCTGAAGCGGGTGTAAGTGGTGCAGAATACTCTTTTTTGAATGCTGTGCCAACATTGCTGTTATTAGTAGGATTATTACTCGTAGCGCTCGTTACACCACTATTTACATTGGAAGCTTTAGTAGTAGGAATCGAAGTTGCGCTTGGTTTTCTACCTCTTTTAATCGGCGCATCCTTCTTCCTTTTGGATACGGCAGCAGCATTACTGGTTGTTGGTGAAGGCTTATTATTAACAACGGGGGAATTTATGATTGCAGCAGGTGAGGCATTCAGAGCTTGGTTTTGAGAGTTCCCTTGTTGCAATTGAGCCTGAGGTGGCATCATACCTGAATTCAAAGCCATTAATCCATTCGGATCTGCAGTGCCATTATTCCTTGCGATATCAAGTCTCTTCTTGTTTTGCTTTTCAAGTAGCATTAATTGCATCTGATAATCTTGAAGGGCATTCATATTACGATTGGTAGGAGCTCCATTATCGGAAGCATTAGGGTTTGGAACCAACATATTGTCGCCTTGGTTACCAGGCACCGTAGGCTTGCCGTTGGAATTCATTCTCATTCCCATTTGAGATTGTGGCTGGGCAAATGCAGCTTGAGCTTGCCCATTACCATTTATTAGAGGCTGTTGAGGCTGTTGAAACTGTTGAACACCATTGGGTTGCTGAGTATGCTGCGCTTGAGCTATTTGGGGATTCATTCTTGGAACGTTAGAAGGTGAACCATGGCTTGAAATCTCTTGCGAAGTTGGTTGTCCAGGAGCAGGTGGTTGTTGTGGATGGTGTTGCTGAGCGGCAACAGCTTGTTGACGTAGGTTATTCATCTGGTTCTGTGCATGCTGTTGCATTCTATTCTGCGATTGTTGTTGCTGTTGCTGAGTAATGAACATTCTCTGTTGTAATGTAAGATTGTTATTTGGTGGCATATTACCAAACATTTGCTGCTGTTGCTGAGGATCTACAGGGTTGCCACCCATGGACATTTGTTGCTTCATCATCATTTGCATCATATAACGTTGTTGCTGTTGTTGTGGATCCAACTGTTGTTGTTGCGAATTGTATTGCTGTGGGGCTTGTTGCTGGTCCATCGATGTTTTCTGCTGCTGTTGCATTTGTCCGTTTGCGAGTCCGAACATGTTAGGTTGAATATTCAATCCTTGAAGTTCTTGCTGCTGTCTTTGTTTCAACATCTGCGATTGATAATACTGTGTCGCCAACTGCGATCCACCTTTATTATTTTTTGCTTGCATAACGTCCCAGAATACCAGCCACCACTCGAACAAAAACCCCTGTGGTGCTTCCATCGCCAACGCCAAACATGGTAAGTTATTCTCTTTTTGGAACTGCTGGGTATTAGCACTGGGTGTATGGGGTGTAGATACATTAGATGGACCTTGTGGATTGCCAGTAGCCATCTGATGAGGTGAATTGTTATTAGAACTCGATGAACTATTTTGTACAGAAGGCACCTCTGCCTCGTTTACAAAAATTTTCGCTGTTTGAGGAAGTCTGCTCTTAATAAGAAAATCATAAACATATGCATTCAAGAGCTGCTTTGCATTTGAAGCTTGGGAATCACTAATACTTGTATTTGAGTCCATCGGCCCTTTGTTTGTCGACGTTGTCCCGCTGGCCCCATTATCGGCTCCCAAACCCCCAGGAGTCTTCTTATTATGTAAATGTGGAGTACTATGATGACTCATGTTAGAATATATCAATATCTATTACTTTTTTCCCAATATATCTTCTGCTATCACCTAGTATGCTTCTTATCTATCCGTAATGTTTCAGTCAAGATTACAATGCTCTCCAATCGGATTGAATTATGCGTCAAAATCTTCTACTTTTTTATCAAAAGTAGCTTAGATTTTTTTGATTTGCTGATTGGTAGTTATATCTATGACAATTTTCACCGATTTCTTATTTACTAATCAATCAAATATGTCTCCTAGTAGCGGTATATTGTTTGACTATATTCTCAATAGACCCTTATTTATGAAAAATTGGGCGTTTCTCTATCGCCTTACTTCGATTACCCAATACGGAAATAAGTGACAAAATAATCTCAATAAATATATTTTATTCATTTTTAACCTATAATCCTTATAAACAAACAACGTAGAAGTATAACAAGATATATATATATATGTAATAGTATAACAAACAACAACAAAAGTTTTAATATCCAAAAAAACTAACTAGTGAACAAGCAAAATAGTACATTAAATTATGGCCCTTATATTTCCAATAACTCTTGCAGACAAACCCAAATACCGTCAAGAAAAAACCCCCCGTATTAGCCCCAGACAGTAGCATCGTTCAAGCTGCGATGACTGTCGTTATTGCCCCAGATGCTGCTGGATGTTGCGGTGGAGCTGAGAGATCCCGAGAGGTACCCAGAAAGCGGACCCGATGCGAGCTGGGTGTCAGTCTTGTAGTCTGTTGGTTGGAAAGGATCGAACGTGGTGTATATCAGTGGGTTGGAAGTGATTCTAGGAGACGGTGGTTGCTTTTCCAGGGTATTTGCTGGAATTTGGGGGACATATGGCATGGGTTGGTATCCTTCGGAATAAGTACTGCGAGCCATCTCTGAAGGAACATTTCCAAATACACTTGGGACAGAGGGAGCAACTTGAGGTTGATTTGCCGGCATATTAGGCTTAAATGGAACAGCGTTATGACGTCTTGTGTTCTGGTTGGTGTATGTGTAATGTCTAGGAGGTTGGTTTTCGATTTCGACTAATGTTTTTTCTATAAAGTCGATCTGGCTACCAAAAGGTGCCACTTTGATGGATCTTTTGGGATAACAGAAAGAGTCGACCATAGCTATTCTGTAAGGGTAATGGTTGTGGGTGGTAAACGTATTAGACGTGAAGAAAAGCACAAATCGAAGAAATAAAACTTATTTAGTTGGCTCGATTTATGTCCCCGGAAATTTTTCAGATGCTCACCGCTATATCAATATGACGATAGCGACACTAAAAAAAACTATTCCCAATTTTGTCTCCTACGGGTGTGATTACCAAAGGGTTGACAATCATAGCTAACAAGAATTCTGGTTTACCAGGCTTTCTTGACAATCTCGGTAAAACGTTAAAAGAATAGACAATATAATTGGGGTGTTTTTTGTAATATTAGTAGAATGTAGTAGGAACGAGAGAGTTTTTGATATACAAGTGGCAAGCTGACTGGGATCAAATTTCAATTATAATTGGGGATATTAGAGCTAAATTGTTATTGTCATGGAAGATTGAAAGCCTTTGAGACTACTGGAAGTATGTACAGTTGTAATTAACAGGACTCATTTCGCACTCTTTGAGATAGTATGGACAAAAGGTGTCTGTTTTGATTAGTAGAGTACAGATTTTCACTACATAAATATTATATACTTTCTAAAGAAACATTCAAATTGTATTGATATATTCTTGTATTTTTTAACACCATGTAGACATGGACATCTTGTATAAAGTTATATTCATAACGCTAGTTACTCAATCACATACTTAAACAATAGATTTGCAGTCAATATAATAAAAGAATTGAAGAATAAAGAAGCATCTAAGAGATATGTTGAAGCTAACTACGAGCAAGCTAGTATTTTATCTGATGCTCTTAGTAATTGGGGTAACAAGTAAAGTCGTTTAGAAATTAGAAAAGTCGATCGCATCATAATTTAGAATAACAATAATACATGAGACCATTTTATACAAATTTTATTAGTGAACTGAGGGTAAAAAACTCACTATGTAATAAACTTTTTACACTGGAATCAATGAAGGGCAAAGAAGGAAGCGGGAACCGTAAAATTAACGTCTATACTATTAAAATACAATAAGAATGTGATAACTATACAATAGCGGTGAAAGAATATCAAACTAACGTTTCTTTTTTTGTTTGATTTCTTCGTCTTTGGTGGCATGTAATTTGATCTGGTTAGGGTAATCTGGTTTGTTTCCTGTATGACCTTGAGACCAATCATAACTCATAGCGTAGGCAAATATAGTCCCGTTCTTGTTGAAACAAGTGGCCGGTATGGTGCAGTTGACAGCAGGGAAGGTCTTTAATCTTTGTTTAGCATCTTTGTCCCAGAAGCAGAAAGTTCCATCGGAACCAGCCGTGCTGAAAGTCCCGTAGACTGGATGGAATGCAATGGAGTTGACGGAATAGATGTGTGATTCTGAGTTGGCAGATGTACGCAAGGCAGACGTGGCATTGGCTCCAGTAGGACTTTTACGGTGACATCTAAAAGAGAAACCAAACTTGCTCTGCTCACTCTCATCAATATACTGGATGGCACATCTTCCTTCAATGGAGCCAACTGCAAAACCATTGCCTTGTGGGTAGCAACTTATGGACCTGGTTTGCCATTTCAAAGGAGACATCGAGTTTTTGAAAATTTGTTGGGGATTGTTCAAGTCAATGATGCTGATTTGTCTTTCAGCACACCCTACAACCAATAACTTTTGCGACGAGTCCATGCAATAAACCCTTTCTGGCAAATTAATGGTGGACACTGGCAGGGGTGATCTCATGTCCCAGTACTTCAAAGTCTTGTCCCACGACCCAGAAACAACCACTTGCGTGTTAGTAGGCCCACATTCAACATATCTAACAGCCTTGACAGGTGCATCATGTGCTCCTATCTGTTGTGCCTGCTGCGAGGCTATATCGAATAACTTGACCTGTTTATCAGCTCCTCCACTTATCACCTTGGTACCATCAATAGACCATCTGGCACTGAACACAGGCGCCTCGTGTTCAAACATCGCCCGACCTTGATTGTTACCCGTATTTGGATCAATTTCGTAGATACGGACCTTTTTGTCCCAACTAGCTGCCACTAACAAATCTTGTTGTGGTGAGAACGCTATGTCCGAAATCGAGTCTTCTGGTGGGTTATTAATAGTGATATCATTGATTAATTCCTGTCCATTGGACGCACTGGTATTTGTGGTGGATGCGGCAGTATTGCTGCTTAAAAATGACATCTTGGCTACTTCTAATGGATCATAAACCAGACTACTTTCTTCATACAAAATTTCAAAACATCACCAAAATTTTACTAAATCAACAACCTGCAAAATTGATGTAACATGTAAATACATTTTTTTGATAACACTTGGAACCCATAACTACTACTATTAAGTATAGCTAATACGAATTAAACGTCAGTTTTGCTCAATTGTTGCTTTGTTATAGATATTCTATTTTGTTAGGAGTTCAAAATTAGGAGATCTGGTAAAGGAAATGTCGTTTTCAGTACCGAATTCGGTCAAAGTGTCCTACGATGATGATGAGATACCCATACTATCATATGATAATGATAGACCCATATCGGCGAATGTACGAAGTGATATGAGTAAAAAGGAATATGAGAATAATACTTATATCGATTGGAATAGAGAATCTATGGTGGAACCTAAGTCTTCAGCACTTATATATCGAAAATGGACCACGATTATCGTACTGTCAATTATTTTGGGATACGTGACAACTTTCATCGATTTGGCTTCTGTGTGGTTAAATGATGTTAAAAAGGGGCTCTGTTACGGGGAGATAGACAAATGGTCGCTTTCGAACCCATATCTGACGTGCCCAGCGGACGATTGGTATGACTGGTCGCAGATCTTGGTAGGGTCTCAAGGGATTATTTCAAATATTTTGATCAATTTTCCAATATACTTGGTGTTTGCTGGATGTTGGATAGCAGTGGCGGCGTACATCACTATTAATCGAGACATTTTTATTAAGCAATCAGGAATTCCCGAAATTAAGCTCATTATCTCTGGATTCAACTACGATTTGCCGGTGTATTTAGGATTGCACACATTAATCTATAAGATATTCGGATTGATTCTTGTTGTTAGTTCTGGATTATGGTTGGGAAAGGAAGGTCCCTTGGTCCATGTTTCATGTTGTATCCTTAATATACTCTATGGCGCTATTGTGAACAAGGAAAGTCAGAACGAGGCTGTTAGGAGAGAGTTATTGAGTGCTGCGACTGCTACTGGAATATCTGTTGCCTTTAATGCACCAATTGGAGGTGTTCTTTTTGTGTTGGAGAGTACACCTAGCTTCTTCATGCCTACGAAGGTTATGTGGAATTCTTTCTTGAGTGCTACTACTGCTGTGGTAGTCCTTACTGGGTTTAAGTTATTTACTGAAGGAGAAAACTTCTATGAAAAGGATTTGTTCAAAGTGAACTTTGGAAACTTCAGTTGGCTCTTCGTAGAGCTTATTCCCTTTGTCATTTTGGGGGTACTAGGTGCATTATATGGATATATATTCATTAAATTTAATGCGAAGTTTTCCTCAAAACACTTTAGAGGTAAAGTGCAAGGGAAATTGTGTCAAATTTTAAATCTTTCCGATTCTTGGGGCAAGTATTTAGAAATATTTGCTATTGTTGTGCTAACAACTATACTTAATTTCCCGTTTGAGATGACAAAATTACCATTACATGCATATTTGAAAATATTGTTTACTGATTGTCCCGATGATTCTAATATAGATTTAGATTCTAATTCTTCTAACTTCATGTGCCTGCCATCGAATGGCATTACTAGTTTGAAATTGCTTTATATCATTGTTCAAGGGTTCTTTCTTACATCTTATACTTACGGAGTTAATTTACCTGGTGGCGTTTTGATGCCGTCCTTAGTTTTAGGTGCCACAACTGGAAGGTTGCTAGGAATTATTTCACAGGCTTTACAAAACCAATTTAGCTGGGAGTCTTTGGCTACCTGTACCCAAAACTCATGTCTTGTTTCACCATCCTCGTATGCTGTTATAGGAGCGGCATCATTCGTGGCAGGAATAACGAAGTTGACGATGTGTGTTGTAGTGATCATGTTTGAATTAACGGGTGCAATTACATATGTTTTACCAATTATGTGTTCTGTTATGGTCCTGAAATTTGTGAACGATTGGCTCTGTAACGATAATATTTATGATTCTTGGTTAAAAAATCACTTTAATAGATATGAAAGTCACAAAGGTGAACCAAACGAAGGGAAAGGAAATGGTTTGTGTGACTTCACAAATTTAACGGCTACAGTAAAAAACAGATTACCCGATGTTACTATCGCTAAGGCAATGGTTCCCATTCATAAGACAAAATACATAAGTCTTATACCTGAGGAGCCGTACACAATTAAATCATTATATCAATTTATGAATGATGATAATCATGAAGGTTATCCAATAATTGTAAATGACTCAAATCCTATTAGCTTAGGATATGTCTATAAGACTAACATAGCTTCTAAATTGTCAACCATAGATAGCGAATTAGACAATTCGGTTATCAGCTTTCAAATTCAAGGCTTGCCAAATCACATTCTATCCCAGCAATTGCATTACGAGCGTTCATTTGAATCGACAAATATAATACGATTAGATATCAATACTGAAAACTCCGTTATCATTACCAATGACCAGACTCCTTTGGTTTTGGTTTTAGAAATGTTTGAAAAGTTGAGCTTGAACTACTTAATTATCATGAATCATAATCCTCATGTAGATCAGCTAATGAGTGGTTTTATAGATCGTTTCATTATTTCTCGATTGATAAATCTGCATTTCCGTAAATTACAAGGTGAGGACGCAGATTCGGATAGCATGCAAGATTTTGATATTGAGAACACATTAGAAGATGAACACTTATTAACTACTCGTTTGGATCGTATGAGCGTAGAATTGATTACATAGCGCATAATAGAAGCCAATTTACGTTGATAAGGCATTTTTAGTATCTCAGCTACGTAGATTTTTTGTAGTGCGATGTTTTTACTTAAGTGATAAGATAGCTATTCAGGACGAATTGGTAATGAAATAGGGATGGCTTCGTCTAAACCCCCCCAGAACACTCTCGTATTTGAAAATTTACCCAGTAAGGCAAACCTCAACTTATGGTTGATGGGAATAGATACCCAATTTTTTAATATTAATAATATATTTCGGGGTATAAAACTAATACCACCAGGAATTCATTTATTTCACTATTCAATTCCCCCCGGTGATGAAAGCCCACAGAGCAACGGGATACCTTCGGAAGCAATATCCTCTAGTTCTCGTTTTGGAATTTGGCTTGACTGTAAAGATAATGATGTTTTGATATTACGTTGGGATGATGAATCTGAACGATTAAATATTGTTGATCCAAATAAGGATGAAGAACAATTAAATTACAGTAAATGCTTGAGTAGTATTGGGGACATATATCCGTTTATGGTGAGTTATCCAGAGAATTCACTGAAATGGTTCAATTTTTTGATCAATTATATCGATTTTGAGGTGATTCAAGAATTTGTACCTTGTGATAATGACATGTATTCGGGAGATATTACATCAATGATGCCTTCTAAAGAGGAAAACATGGTTCTCCTAGATGCACTACAGAAAGTGAATCCTGGGGCATTGTCTTCGTTAGAGGATCAAACCGATAAAGAGTTGAAATATACAATTATACAGTTCAAGATCAGTAAAGAGAATACAGAATCGGTGAAAGAAGTAACAGAAAATTATCTTGATAAATCATGGTATTTGAATCAGTTATATGGTAATGACATTGAGTTGATGTTGGGTGAGTTACAGCTATCATTTATAAATTTTGTCATACTTGGAAATTTTTGTTCAGGGTTGCAATGGCTTAACATTATAAGATTGATTCTGATGAGTAGGAAATTTATAAAATCAAGTCAAAAAGTTGCATTAGATTTTTTGACTGTATTCCAACATCATTTGGAACAGTTACCAAAAGAATATTTAATCGATGATCTTGCTCTCAATAACCTGCTTGACTTGCAGAAATACATCTTAGTATTAGAAAATTTTGCCAGAGACATTTTCCCGAAAGACACATGGGATCTTAATGGTTGTTGTGGTAAGATGAAACTTTCTGGATTCATCAAAGAAAAGTGGCAGCGTATTCTCAACATTAATAAATCCAAGTTCAATATCGATTTTGAAAAATTAGGCCAGAGAAATATAGATGAAAATGAGATAGAAGTTTATGACTTGAATGATTATGATGAAAATGACGAAGATGCTCCTGCTATAGTGAGTTGAAAGTTATATAGACTAATGATGATTTATTTACAATTTATATACATGGTTGTAGCTTCGTTCAACTAGACGTAATGAGGCTAATTTTATCTACTTATCTTCACTTTTCTTCTTCTTTTTACTCTGCTTCTTAAGCTTCTCTTCCCGGGATACGATCTTTCCCTTGTGAATGTCCTTCCCGTCGTTAAGCAAATTAGCATATGCCTCACGGTAGTCGTCTTTTTCTTCTGTAGTTAAAGCATTCCATTCATTAGCAATTTCTCTCCTTGATTCTTTTTTATCGAGATGGCTGTATTTTGGGTGTGTTATAGAAAAATAGTAGTTCCAGGCATGAATAAACGTCACAGTTCCCAATCTTGATCGCTTTTTCGGTACTGCTGTTTGCTTAGAGGAAATGCTCAAAGAAGGAATATCTTCCTTCAACTGAGTTCTATACAATGCTTCATCTTTTTGTTTCTTTATATCTGCTCTTGTGGTCTTAGTCATGATTGGTTTGGTACTTATGTCTACCGTTCGACCCCAATCATCGACAACTTCTTGTAACACTTCATGCGATCTTGGAACTTCTTTAATATCAGGATATCTATCTTCTATTGCTTTGTGTATATTCAGGGTAGTCCATCTGTAAGCATAATATGGTTTTGGAATGATGAACCATCCATAATTTGTATGAATTGCATGGAAATTATAAGGTTTCTCAACTACCAACCGGGATGGTAAAAATTCTATTGGCTTAGATGCTGCTGTACGGTATCCAGCTTTCGCCAGCACTCCATAGCACATCTTACTTGTCCTGAACATGTCAATAGTGCCTAATTTAATGCAAATCTCCAGTTTTTGACTTAATTGAGTAATTTATTTGTACAAATATTTTTCTCATCGGGGTGAGTTTATCAAATGGTATACTCCAGAATTATAATATAACTTCTTTTCAAGAACTATACTAATACTATAGACCTTAAATAGAATGCAGACGCCTAACTCTCCTTTATTTCCTGCTCAGAAGTTGACGTTATCACCTAGCGCTGTAAGCTTGGGTGGATTAGCTGGAGCATCATCTGGAGTTGGCGGTTCAACCTTGATACCACAGTTACCTGATAAGCCACTTACAGAAACGACGTCTATGCAAATGTATGTGATACCGGCAGAGAAGAACTTGTTTATGCAAGGATTTGAACCTGAAGAATATGAAGGTAGACCGCCGACGCTATTGAGAGGTTGTTTGTTCTTGCGGGTATTTAAACCGTCAAAAATTAGATCGGTAACTCTAACGTTTAAAGGACAACAAAGGACAGATTGGCCAGAAGGTATACCACCAAAGAAAACATCATATGTGGAAGTAAATGATATCTTGTCCCATACATGGCCATTCTATCAACTGGGAAATCCTCTTCACAGTGCTAATGGAGGGGCTGATTTCTTTCAAGAATTACTGAAGGAAAACTCATCTGAAATAGAAACTTTAACGCTTAACCCATCAATATCAAGGTCTAACTCTCCTGCCCCCGACAGTGGACGTGGTAACTTTTTCACTAGAAATTTATCTCCGGCAACTATTATGAAAAGAGCCACATCCCCTTCTTTGACAGTCAACGAATCGTTTTCGAACCTCACATCTGTATTGTCTACCGAGACTGATCCTAATAAGCCAGGATTATTTGCACCTGGTGACTATATCTATAACTTTGAGCATCCGTTACACCCATCTATACCCGAAACTTGTTCTGTTACATTTGGGGAAGTATTTTATTATATTGAAGCATCAGTTGTTAGAGCTGGAACCTTTAAACTGAACTTGACAGGAAAATTACCTATTAATATAATTAGAACACCCTCAGAATCGAATATGGAAGAAAATGAACCAATAATTATAACTAGGGATTGGGAAGACCAATTAAGATACGATATTGTTATAGGGAGAAAATCCATTGTTTTGGACTCGTATTTGCCTTTGGCGTTTAGATTCGTGCCTCTATGGGGAAAGGTTGCTTTACACAGAATAAGAGTTTATTTGTCTGAAAATTTGGAATATTATTGCCAGAACAAAAAGGTTCACAGGCTTGAACCTCCCAAAAAATATCTTTTGCTAGAGCATAAGGCAAAGAAAGGAAAATCATTACTATCTAAAAACCTGGGTCAGGGTGAAGAAGGAGACGAAGAAGATGAAGATGATGAGATATTACCAAAGGAATTGGAATTTCAATTATTTGTTCCAAAAGTCCTCAATGGTAGAATCAAACATGAAATACATCCTGATACATCGTATGAAAATATCCAAGCTCATCATTGGATAAAAATTTGTTTGAGACTTTCTAGAACAGATCCAGAAGATTCCTCAAAGAGAAAACATTATGAAATTCTGATTGATTCGCCAATTCATATATTGTCATCATTAGCTGCACATCTGAATACATTATTACCAGCCTACGATGAACATCTTGCCTTAAGCTCAGCTTATAATTTTCAACACCATGGCACTCCACCATTATCTCCTGAAGTTATACCTATTGATAATACTATCGGTAGTGATAGAAATATAACGACAAAGGGTGCTGAAAACAGTGTTTCATTAGATGCGATGATAGAAAGCCCACATGTGGATTTTGAACACATTACTACCCACGACGGCAATTTAGACTTTTCAGACGCAGATATGCATTTAGAGGCCAACTTATACCTGCCACCAGATGATAATAGGCCAGAAATGGCATCTCCACAGGCCTTACCACACCTGGGTACTTTTAGTTCGCCGCTTCAAATTTTGAAGTAAATCGTCCAATTCCATAGTTGGTAAACTCATTTGTACGTTAGTTTAGTTAGTTATTTAAGTATCTCAATTATAATAAATATTTACTTAGTCTCTATACAAAT